GCTGCGTGAAACTCACCCACAGGCAGCACGTGTAGAACGACTGGCAGTAGGCTTTAAAAAGCGTTAATTTGACTGCCCTACTACAACGTGAGAACCTGCGAGCCAGCATATTGCAGCGAACCGCCAACGACCTACGCTCCCTCTCGATATCATCATTATCGTGCAAATCCTCCGTGACCCAATGGCCCAAGTATTTAAATTTCTGAACACGTTTCAGTGGATTATTAAAGAGTGTTATTTCAGGTAGATTCGTGTAGTTTATTGAACCTGACTTAAAAAGAATCCACTCACTTTTGCTAGTGTTATACCTGAGCCCATGGGCAAGTCCATAACACTCACAGATAGCAATTAGTCGCCTTATCCCACTAATAGATGGGCTCAACAGCACCATATCATCAGCGTAACTGATGTTATTTATACAAACACCGTCTACGTAACAGCCAACGTTTGCGCTGTTGAGCTCACCTATCAGCTGGTTCACATAAAGATTGAACAAGCGAGGAGAGCTCAACCCCCCTTGCCTCACTCCACAACGTAGCCCATACATATCGGAATAAGTTCCTGCCCATTTTACAGTATTCATCTGGTTACTGTACCAAAATTTAAACAAACATAAAACTTCTTTAGGTACCTTAGTCTCACAGTAAAGCTTTTGCCATAACTTATCGTAATTTACAAGGTCAAAAGCCCTAGACAGATCCAAAAAACAAGCAATTATTGGTGTTTTTCTGGTCGTATAATAATTAACAGTTTGTTTAAGACATAGCACAGCACTTTCGGTTGATAAACCGGGCCTAAAACCAAATTGGTTATCATGCAACTCTATGTTATCAGCCAATATATTGTCCAATAGACCGTCCAGAACTTTCGCGATAATTGTAGCAAGCGATATTGGTCTATAATTAGAAATATCTGAAATATCCCCTGATTTGGTTTTTATGATAGGTACTACAACTGTTCTAATGAGATCTGCCGGTAAATAACTATGACTCAAACATAATGTATAAAACATTGCAAGTACACGCGGCAAATGAACTCCAGCATACTTTAGGTGTTCAATAGTCAGACAATCAAAACCGGGAGACTTTCCTCTCGTCATTTCTTTTATTACACTCGCCACTTTCTTAGCGGAAAATGTAATTGGCGCTGATACGGCACACTTAGGCTGGTAGTTTATTAATTCTAATTCTTTAATTACAGAAGGCTCAATCTTAAAATGGCTACTGAATGCATTGGCAATGTCCGCTGACCCATGCACACCCGCCACGCTCACTGGTAGACCCGATTTACAGCCGAGTGATTTTGTAGTTTTCCAGAATTTACTAAAATTTTTATCTGAGTGGCACTGAGCTATGTTATCCATTTTTAATTGCTGTTGCTTATCCTGTAAAAGCTTTAATTTATATTTAAAGTAACTTCTAGATGTACACATTTTGTCATATATATAGCCAGAACACGGTTTGCCATATAATATCCAGTTCTTGTAATGTAAACGCGCCTCACAGTGAGCATCGCGAACGTACTTGTTCCAACCTGGGATATATTTCCTACGTTTACAATTGTTTTTCTTATTAACATATGATTTTTCCGAGGCTTCTTTAAGAACGCATACAATATCTCTATACATAGAGTCTAACAATAAAAAGTGTTCCGTTTTCTTACACATACTGTCAGCACAATTACAAAATTCGGAAGGAAAATCAATTTTACGCAAGTTTAAGTTACAATAATCAAAATATTGTTGCATTTGTTGGGAGTTTCTATCACCCCACAACACCCTATTACTCCCGCTAACAGATGGAGGCATAGCCCTAGGTTTTATTAAATTAATATTGCACTCCAGTAACAAAGGCATATGATCAGACCAGTAAACGTCATACAGCACAGCGGCATTGACAACTAAGGGTCTAGCCGCACTAGTCACTACACAGTGATCTAACCATCTACGAGAACCATTAGCCGAACTTGTAAAAGTATATGTATCCTCCGGTAACAGTTCTTTATCAACCCAACACCATAACTGTTCAGTACAAACTGTAAGTAACTCACTCGCAAATCTGGTATCAGGATGAGTATTGAAATCCCCTAATATAAAAACGCTTTCTACACCACTGCTCTCAATTATTGAGATAATTTCACTTAGACACTCCGTATATTCCATGAGATTATCTGCACTGTCAGTAGGCATATACACGTTAAAAATTAACAATGAGCGATTCTCTTGTTCTATCTTCACACACGTTACACGATCGCTGTGGCAAGAGATAACAGAAACCGAACGAAACACCGATTTTCTCCACAATAACGCAACACCGCCGTATGGTCTCCCTTTGAGAACGCCTGCAGAAATATCAACGGCAGATTTTCCCGTGTACGCAAAGTCCTTATCGATGCTTCCAAGGTACGGCACGTCGTGGGGTAGAAGCCAAGTCTCCTGCAAAGCGACAACGTCAGAAACACCACATATCTTCCTTACGCAGTCCAAAGAACGAACAACGTTTTTGCAATTGAAGGATGAAAAAGTTACATTCGTGTAGCTATTATCCATTAGTGTTAGGATTTTCTTCACTTCTTACCTGGGAATTTTCCCTTTCTTTATTCGTTTTGAAATAAACGAAGCGACGAAAACGTATGCCTTCCGGCCACAGCTTGTCATCTAAGAACGCACTAATTTTATGTTTTGTCACAAACAATTTAAAAGCATTGTAGGGCCTTTCTGATTTCATATTAATTTTCTCGAGTTGAACTGTTTCATTTGTCATTTTAAGAATATAATTGCAAATGTCTTCCTTAGTAGTATCTTTATTTACATTTGATATAAAAAGCGGTATTTTTGTATCCGCCGCTTTAAAATTTCCCGTACTGGAAGTGATAGCTGTTCCCGTTTTTCCGTCCAAGCGATTCTTGTACCTTATTCTTTGAACCAGTGTCCAATCATCATCAGCCTTATTTTTCACTTTTGGCCATTCGCCTTGTTTTAGTACTGCGGCCATTGATATTTTTGGTAATTGCTTTACTGGTGAACAATCAGCTGATTTAACTTTGTTTTCCAACACAGTTGTGTTGACAGGTGCAGTCGTATCGCCTGTTTCCACAGCTAGGTCACACGTGCTGGTGCGAACGAGAGAGCGATATTTCGGTGCGCTGTCGCCGCCACTGTGTGACACTGTGTCGCTCAGTGCCTCAACCTCCGTAGACAACGGTGACAAACCGAACGGCCCGCTGTCCATGTTTGCGTACCCTCCTCCCCTTATTTTATTCACATTAAGATTAAATAACGGATTTGGTAAATTTTGCACGGATGAATTTAGATATTCTTTGGTCACATAATCCTTCTTTATACTCTCTATTTCATTCCGTAAAACCAGTATATCCCTCAGCAATTTTGTAACATCTACGTGATCGAAACTTATAGGCGGTAATTTGTGTAAATGATACGCAACAAATACAGGCAGCTGATCAGGATCAGTTGTTTTAAATACCGTTATCACGTCTTCCAAGTCTTTCTGTTTTTTGTCTTTTCTTCTGGATATCATTTTGCGATTCGTCTTTACCGACGTAAACAACAAATTCTTGGCTTCGTTGATCTCTTCCTCAGAAAATGCAGAAACACATATACTGATTAAACTTTCATTATCCATAACGTCATGTCTACTACGAATAAATGAGAGCACTTCCGATATCACAACATTGCAATTAGCACACTTAATCGTATTATTTACGGACATTGTCGCACGGTGACTATTCGCTAGGCGCGCGCGCACGAGACTCTTGCGAGACGCGTTTTGCTGAGACTAATAAATATTTAGGAATAAATTGTAATAGAAGAGCTCGATGGCGCAAGTGGTTAGCACGTTCAGCTATCGTGGATTCAAAAACATACAAATGTCAAAGTTCCAAGATTTGTCGGTCAAACTCGCAATTGATGCAGACCACCAAAACAAAAAAAGTTTCGTAACTCGGTCATGTTTTCAGACACGAGAGATACGATTTACTGCAATTCATTATGATGGGAAAAATTGCGGGGAAACGTCGAAAATAGTCGTGGCTTCGAAACATCCGCGAGAGTCCAGTCCACTTATTCAAGAGCGCCGCGGAATTGTTTCATCTCGCCAGGGACAAAGCGCGGTTTTCAAAGCTGATGTTCAACATTCAGTAATAAGAGAGGAACATGAAGAGAGATACAAGGAAAAGGAGGTTTTTGCCTTTTTTGGAAGTGTCGATGTATTGTAGTTATTGTTAACCTAGTAAGACGGAATTCCTAGTACGCGAGTCGAATACACACTCGCTTATTTGTAATATTATTTCCATATATGAATAACAAACTTAAGTGACTGCGATTCTAATAAAAATATAGTAATGGATTTTATAAACGTTACTGATATAATTTCAGTTCTTTGTGTTACTTTCTATCGAGAAGGCTCTCTCACTGGGGAGCTAGAGATACAAATAAGCTGTAGGTATTATCTCATTCACAAGAATTGTTTGTAACACTGAATAATTAAATAGGTGATGACGTATCACTGTTTTGTACAATTATCAAATTTGATTAGTATAAATCATACTAACATTTGTCGATTCGGGATTCGAACCTGGATACATACCACTCGGCCACGAAGGTCGTCAAATAATACCATGAACTTGTGAGAAGTACTAAGTTTTATATACCTTTGGTACAATATCGGTTATTGGTATTGGAACTAACCTAATCTGTAAAGGGTTAAAAAGAGCATGGAAAGATAATTCAATCTTTGATTTGTAATTTTTAAAAAAGCGCGATCATTGAAGTTAAGCAAGTTTTGCAGTGATCGGTCGTTGGATAGGTAACCAAGAATTTATTTTATCTAGTTCTTTCGTGCTTCTAAACCGTTGATCCTGGCTTCATCAGCATTCGTAAGCACCCACCAAACTGGGCCTGGGTCATGGCCCAATGTCTCTATTGTGCCCCAGCAGCGGGGACATTCATAGGCCGATGATGATATATTTGATACACTTCATAGAAAAAAGGCGGTTCGGACAATGCGTCGACGGACTGCGAGATGACCACGTTCTACTTCGAGATTCAGGAGAAGCACCTCCCGCAGGCGATGGACATGTTCAGCCAGTTCTTCGTCAGCCCGCTCATGCTTAAGGAAGCGATGCAACGCGAAAGAGAAGCTATCGAATCTGGTAAGATCGGTACACATGTAATTCTTTTTATTATTATACTCTGTTTTCAGATTGTGTTTTACCTACTTTACGTTTTTTAGCAAATACTCTTTCGTCCTGTACTCTTAGCACGAACCAATAACGAATTCGAATAGTTGAATTAGATATACGTTAAATGTGTACTGCTTTTTAGTTCTCGTTACGTCCGCTGTGGCGCTGTTGTTCAAGTTTCCATACAAAATTTGACATTGACATTTCGCACTTAAAAACTATTCGAATTCTATATTGGTTCGTGCTAAGGGATCAGATCAGATCCTTAATTGAAAGTCCATCCTCAATTTAATTTCTCTGATCCAGTATCCTTAGCACGAACCAATATCGAATTCGAATAAGTAAGTAGTTGAATTCGATTTCGATACGTCATGAAGTTTTTATGGAAGATTTTTAATTTACGTTCACGTCCTTTGTGGCGCTTTTAAAATTTTGCATACTTGATTTCTTTTTCTTGACATTTGACGAGTATCGAGATCGAATTTATTTATTCGAATTCGATATTGTTTGGTGCTAACTGTACCTAGAGTTCAAGAATTTGCTACTGTTCTTTAAGAAAAAAAATGTTAACATGTACACATCGCCTGTTGCTCCTTTGATTCTTTGCCATCATCGTAAAACTTATACACTAAATATGTATTTATCATTATTTATGTAATGATTGTTATATCCAAGCGAAATAGTAAACATGTTGTCTTGTTATTTAAAGACGCAGACATTTATTTACCATTGTCAGTGACCACAACTTATAATAGCCCAATTTAATTTGCATATGCCAAATATAGCGTCATTGACGTGTGGCTATAGGAATGATGTTTATGCCAGTATTATTTAGCTGTCTAATGCGTCTCACTTACCTATCTTGCTTGTTGCTCAGCCAACCCACAAGGCGTCGTTATGTGGCTTGACGTAAAGTATGCGTGCTTTAACAATAAACAACATAATTATCTAACATAATGCGTGTTATATTTATATTATACTCTAGGAAAGACGTGTATTTATTTGATTTCTATAGTGGTGCTAGATTTCTTATGGTGCGTCATACAACATTTATTATTCCATCCCATTCTACTTTGATTTTAAAATTCGGTTAGCTATTTTGATGTCAAAATGTAACAGGCAATGGTAAATGGTCCTATGGGAACTTTAAATAAGTGTGGACTGTATTAGGTAACTGGTACATAGGTTACAAAAAAGAAATTAGATAAGAATTAGCGGTGTTAAATTCATTTAAAAGTTTGAACGCGATTTGAGCGATAAAGGGTGTGTCATCCGTCGCCGCAGCCGCAGCCGTCCCGCACGTCTTTCCTTGCGTTAGACTGGTCGGCGACAGGCAGAGTTACTCTCGCCCCTTATTAATAAAAAGAACTTTATACCGTAATCTTTAGTGCTTTACAAAACGTTTTTGAAGTAAATCAGACCTCAAACTTGGTCACTAAATCAATTAAGTATACCATTTTAGAGTTCGCAATAGCGTCCCCTTCGGACTCAAATCGCAAAGACCAGCTGCTCTCGAGCCTATTCCCCAAAGATCATCCGGCGAGGATATTCACGTGGGGCAACTTGCGGAGCCTTCGAGACGATATAGACGATGATGAGAAGTTGTATAAAGCTGCGCACGAGTTCAGGAAGCGGCATTATAGCGCTAATAGGATGACTGTCGCTGTACAGGTTAGTTATAAAAAAAATATACTGGAAATTTTGCTGATGTATGTTTTGTTAATTAGATCTATATAGTTATAAGTGCCATGTCATTATTAGATTGCCAAATATAAGAAAATAATATCTCATCAAACTCGTACACCTGTAATCCACCAAACCAAATATAAATCGAATTATAACGTAACAGATGTTCCTTATAGTTATTTATACAACTGTTGTATAATGTGGGGTATGAAAACGCGAATGTGGGATAATGGTATCACGTGAGTGTTTTAATACCTAATTATAAGAGTTGACAGAGAGAAGACTTTATCTCCACCCATGATATGAATCCTCTATAGAAGATTCTGAAACCACGCGGCGTTCTAAGAACTTAAAATTCATGGAAAGTTTCGGCGCTGCTGCGGTAGTGAAGCAAGTGACAATGTTCTTTTTTGAAATTCATAATTCGACGCATCCAGCAGTGAAAATTGAGGCTGTCTGATGAGGAAGCCCTTGGCCTGGAAGGGATTTAACAAAAGTGTTATTATGAAATTCATAAAAAAAACATTATGACACTTTAACGGGAGTGATAATGTTTTTTTTATTATGACATTGGACGTTTTATTGTTAGCAATAAAGCTAACTGTTTCAGAATCTTTAATAACGGTTAATTAGCATGGGTGTAGATACAATGAATATTTCTAACACTCACCAATTAGCCTAGTTCCAAAGTAAGCACTGTAAGGCTTGTTTTATGGGATACGTAAATAAGTATATTTATTTATCGAGAAATATGTATAAACATCCATGAATTAGCTACAAATGCTCGTATACATCACACATTTGCCTCACCGGGATTCGAACCCGTCTCTATCTGAGTAGGCGACAACTCGGAAACTCGGCGTACATTTGGAGGTCGTCAAAATAATATTACAACAGGAATAATTTCTTTGTGGTCAAACTGCCTAATCAGTTTGATTAACAGGAATAATAATCCGTTAATTCGTCCATGTAATCAAACTTAGCTAAACTTAAGGCGCATCGCCATATACTCGTAGCTCAAAGATGGCCGCATAATAGTGAAAGGTGAAGCTTTTCAGGTCTGCAAATAAAAATAAATCGGCTTGCTTAAACCTGTTTACACATTTAGTACACATGACTACATCCTTGTCAATAGCCTATTTGTCAGTATGAAAAATAACATTAAAATTTAAAGCGCTTTCACTATTCCTTCGTGTGACCTGCCTGTAAACGCCATATTTGCTAGAGAAACATAGCGATCATATTTGAAAACAATATTTTAATTTTCGTTTCTTTACATACGCAAGAGAATGATAAATATCTACTTTTTGTGAACTCACTATTACACTAATCAATAACTTTTTATTTTTATTTTTTATATAGAGGTGGGCAAATGACACTGCCCCACCTGATGTTAAGTGGTAATAAAGTCCAAACACGAAGATAGCTGGTACAGCAGTTATAAACTGCTACACCAGTCATCCTCACCTTGCAGGCCTTCAAAAATACTTCTTCACGCCTCTCTTAAACGACCCCAGATTATAGGAAGGAGGGAACACTTGCGCGGGTAAAGAAAGCCACTTACAAATAGTACGACAAAAAAATGGGTCACCGAATTTCGTATTAACGTCTTTAAAAATTGGGCAAATAACCTATTGTTAAGTCAAACACATAGAATGACGCTTAAAAGCTAATATTTTAGCTTTCAACAAGAAATCTAGTGCCAGTGGGTCTAAATTTAAAGTTGTTCTTCAGGCTCGTATGGATCTGGAAGCATTAGAGCAGTACGTAGTGAGCACTTTTGGCCGCGTGCCTACAAACAAACTACCCCCTGAAGACTTCTCCCAGTTCGCATTTACTCCAGACTCTGTTACGCCCGAATTCCGCAGCATGTTCTACGTCAAGCCGGTCAGCGATACCACCGAGGTCAGTTCTAATGCTATCATCATCAACCTGTTTTATTATCAAATACAAAAATTATAATGTTATTACATTGTTTTGAAAGTTATGGCACTGCTATAAGAAAAATAACAACACTGTTTTAATTGCAGTGTTGTTATATATTTCTATTAAGATGGTGGTTGTAGTAACAACACTGACAACGGTACTCAGTCGTTCTTGAATTTTTTTAAATTCTTAATTAAACGTTTTTAAATCTGATCACTAATGATAATCATTTACCTCACCATTGATTTATATTGCAGGTACATTTGACGTGGTGTATGCGTTCGTTAATATCCGAGTACCAGTCTAAGCCACACCAGTATATATCGTACCTTCTAGGCCACGAGGGCAAAGGTAGCCTCCTGTCCTACCTGAGGAAAAAGTGAGTGTCTATATACTAATATAGTAAAGATCTAATCTGATGTTGTCAGGTTGTAAGATTTCGCTCTTAGCGATAAGACCGCCCATTATTACTCTGTATTCTGTGGTTTATGTTTTCTGTGGTGTAAAAAGAAAGAGTTCTGTATTGCATTGTATTTTCTGAGCGTCGTTTACTGCAGAAACTTAATATTTAGAGCCTTGTTTCAGCAAGTAATTGACAAAATCCATAGATATCATAGGTATTCGGATCTTTTATTCCAGATAAATTACAATTATGTTGTTTCAAAGGTTTTGAATAGAAAAAAAATATTCGTTTAGACGTGAAAAGTAACAAACATACACACTCACTAACTTTCGCCTTTATAATATTAGTGTGATAGAAAATATGAACTTAGAACTTTTATGCAAGACAATTCCTACTTTATTTTATTGGTAAAGACACAATAACAATCAATTGGCTATTGTATTACACGTTAATAACAAAAATACATTGCAAGGCCATTAACGTAATAAATGCACATGCATGCATGCACAACATTAAAAATTATTGATTTATAAAAACAGATTTTGTATTATATTAGACAGGAAAACAACTAAACAGCATAACAAAGAAAGCAGTGACTTTCTGAATGTTTGATTAAATAAATCTAAACATAGATCGTGATACGCATGACAAATTTTATATAGAGAATTATTTATTGTTAGAGCAAGACGCCACTATACTTAGGGTACGGCCAGAGTGCACTCAGATTCAGATTCAGATTCTGAAAACAAGCGCGAGAAATAAACAGTGTAGTCTAAGCAGGTTGCCTGCTGTTTCTCGCGCTTTGTTTTCTGAGTCGGAATCTGAATCTGAATCAGGAGTGCACTCTGGCCGTACCCTTCGACTACACCGTTTATTTCTCGCGCTTGTTTTCGGAATCTGAATCTGAATCTGAGTGCACTCTGGCCGCACCCTTACAGTAGAGTGGCATCCCGTTCCCTGTTTTTTAAAATCGTAATTTACGTTTCCGTTTCTTTAAGCACGTTATCAACGTAACGTTACTTAGCTTGTTAAAATTTTATTTATTTTTTAGGGTGTGGGCACTTGGTATTTACACGGGTAATTCTGAAAGCGGCATCGATTACACCTCAATGTACAGTCTCTTCTCTACGCAAGTAGTGCTCACTAAGAACGGGTTAGATCACATAGACGAGGTGCGTATCAACAACATATCTCTATTTGCAATGCATTTTCTACCTTAATGTTTTTAAATAAAGTTTAAAAATGGATTGAGAAAACGTTACAGTTTGTGTCAACTGTAGTGTTTTCTTTATTGCGGCATTGTAGATTTTGAAATTATTTTGTTTTCACTTTGGTTGGTTGTTATGTACGAATATAATATAATTAATGAAACGCCTACAGCATTTTCTCTGTGCTAGCAGGATTCTATCATATATTTTGTACTGAGGTTACCGTTTCTAGTATTTTAACATAATTTTTATTTCAGGTTTTAGAAGCTATCTTTTCTTATATAAATATGCTGAGGAAACTGGGGCCCTCCGAGAGAATATACAATGAAATAAAGGTAAATAATTAAACTTCATTAATTGAAATTAAGGTTAACACAAATTCGATGTTAAACCTATAGAGTCCGTTTTCAATAGTCCTGACGATAGCGTACTTAACAAGATTTTGAGATGTTTTATTATACAACAATTACTTGTGTTTATGTTATGGAATTTATATAAAGTGGATATAAAGTTATTAAAATAAAAGAATACATTATGGCGTTTTATAATGACTTGTGCCGCCACACGTCGATCATGTGCGTCGAACCTTTCCGTAAGCGGTCAATTTCTTTCTTCTTTTTAAAGAAAAGCTCCTTTTCCGATGTAATGATCTTGAATCAGAATATCACTACAGAGTACATAATTAAAAAGTTATTGCAACTGTATTGCCTAGAATTTCCAGCTTAGATTAGATTATAGGAGTTTAACGTTGACAGGCGATCGAAGAGACCAGTTTCCGGTTCGAAGAAGAGTCTCAACCCGCCGATCATGTGGAATCTCTCGCTGAAAATATGCACTTCTACCCGCCAGAACACTATATTACTGGGGATAAACTTTACTATAAATATGACCCTAAGGTGAGTAGCTAAAAGCATTTTTTAACGGAACTCAAATTGTATTGAAAATATGTTTTTTTTAAGATTTAGGTGATATCATATAGCAATTTTCGTTTGTTTCATATTTAAGGTAAGATTCTGTTATTTAGTGTTTGTATGTTTAACAAAAGTCGATACTTGAGGATCTACCAAGTAACTTTATTTTTTAATTTTATTTATCAATTTATAGTCAGGCAACGTGCATACATGCATACCTTAAAGTCTAACATATATACAGATAAATACTAATAAAACATCATAATTAGTAAATAAACTTAATACTTATGTTAGTAAAATTTAATGAACACGTATTGACGGCATCGTGTGGCGCAGAGTGGTGTCCGGCAACCGGCCTCGGAACCGCCGGAATACAACACCTTTCGGCCAAAGCTCTTCTTTCATAAAGTTCGCTAGGTGTTCGGTTGGTACTCTCATCACGAATGAATTAAAATTCATATTATGGCGAGATTCCAACCGTGTGACTCTAAGGGAGAACTTCGTCTTGATCCGCAGTTACGTGGTAAAGGGGCTTAACAGAAAGATAAAACAAGTTTTCTTTAAGATATTTATAAAACAACTAGCTGACCCAGCGAACTTCGTACCGCCCTAAAAAAATAGGGGTTGTCCAGCGGACAAAATTGTGAATCTAAACCATTCTCAGATCCCCTTGAACACACACAAAAAATTTCATCAAAATCGGTCCAGTAGTTTAAGAGAAGTTCAGTGACATACACACACACAGAAGAATTATATATATAAAACAATTGGAGAATTATTTACAGTTTCGTTTAGCTCAACTCGCCTGTACAATATCAAAAATTAAGATAAAGTTGAATGATATTTAGAGGAGTTGAACAGGATTGCTTGGATAACTTGATTTGTTGTTGTCTGTATGCATTATTAACATAAAATGATTAAATAAATCAGTTTTTTATGCACTGATTTTATTTATTTATTAACTTTTCGCATTCTTTTCAATTTTGGAACCGGTGGTAGTTTATGAAGTTAGGGTCCAATACATCAACTCAAAATAAAGGATTAAATGAAATACTTTATTAGTTGAATTAGCTAATAAATTCAAGCATAGACAATAAAGTTTTAAAAATATTTCAATGAACTATCCTAACGCTTAATAAAACTCTTTCAAAGGTAGCTCGACAAAGTAAATAAAAATCATTATTCCGATGATGCATTCCTAAAAAGGATTTATTTATTTATTGACGTTTCAATAAATAAATAAATTCAGCGCATATAACCCGTAAAACTGTTTTATTTAATGAGTGATGTGCGTGAAAACCTAGGAAACAAATATAAAATTATTAAATTATGTTTCTGTTAGGGCATAACTGAACTTCTGGATTGTATGCGAGCGGACACAGTGAACATAATGGTTTTATCAAACAAACACTCCACGCCGATACAATACGACGCCAAAGAGAAGTGGTTCGGCACCGAATATAAACGGCAAGGTACGTAAAATAAAATACCATTTATGTTTCATATTATTTCCATTTCATTGTGTCGATAATTGTGTAACTAACATACTTTATAGATAGGATAAAATCTGTTGTGTGAGGTTACATTTTAGCCGAAAAAGTTTGTAGTCCGCTTCTTTATATCTAGCGCAGACAAATATTGATTAAGGTGTAAACTACCAAATTTTGTAACCACAAATTATACAACTAAGAATAATTTCAATAATCAAGCTCCATTGAGAGAAAGACCTTTTAGAGCTTTATTTCCTACTAGCGACAGCCCGCGACTTCGTCCGCGTTAACTTTAGTTTGAGAATTCCTCAGTAACCTATCATTTTCCCGGGATCAAAGTATCCGTTGTCTCAATCCAGGTCATAAACTATGTGTGTACCAAATTTCATCCAAATCCGGTCAGTAGTTTTGCGTGATTGAGTAACAAGCATACAAACTTTCGCATTGATAATATTAGTATGATTCTATCTATACCAATATTATAAAACTGAAGAGTTTGTTTGGTTAAACGTGCCAATCTCAGGAACCATCAGATCATTAGGGCACGATTTGAAAAAGAAATTGTGTTAGATAGTCCATTTATCGAGGAAGGCTAAAGGCTAAATAATATCACGCTACGACCAATAGGAGCTGAGCATAGATGAAAGTTTAAAAAAAAAAGGTGTGTGCTTATGACCACACGACTGAAGTGGAACTTCTTTAGCTCCATTATTATATATTTGTGTGTGTGTACAATATATACATGTTTGTACATATACATATTTCATTTACTTGCTATAAGAGAATGAGATTAAAAAATGTGCGCGTGCACTGCTTTCTCTCGCTTATATCCCCCTATCAACTCCCGTTCGCCTCGCCCGAACACACTTTTCGTAACGCGTAACGCATTCGCCAGCTTACGCCCCGAGTCAAGCGTGCGTAAAGAAGTTTCACTTCAAAAAATCAATTATTCTACGCAGAAATCCCTCCACAATGGCTAGACCGGTGGTTGACCGTCGAACCATACTCTAACTACCACCTACCCGATAAGAACGTGTACATAACCACGGATTTCTCTCTCATACCACCGGCGGAACCTTATCTACGAGTGGCTCACGACTTGGGAATAGACTTAGCTACGAGTTCTGTAAAAGATATTAGTAAGAAGACTATCAACAGCCCACCTAACACGCAAGTGTTGAAGCAAGCCGACTTGGTGGCGACTGTGAATAACTTCAGGTAAGTCTGTATTGATTGGTTTAGTGCAATAAATATAAACTTTTGTAACGGTAATTCGTGTAAGATTTTTTTTATCTGTGACCTGTGATTGGATTTCTGAAGCTTTATCAGTGTTCTACGCGTTTTACCAATAGCCTATTAATATTATACCAATGATAACATTAATAAGATTGGACTTCCAACAAAAAAGAAGTTTAAGAGAAATCTGTTGTCTTATTTATTCAGTAAAAGAAATATTACATAACAGATCAAATCGTTTCATAGTCTTTATTGATTTGATATGCATACAATTGTTATGTCAGAAATACGTTTGAAATTCCAAAATTTTGCATAATACAATACGATCATAAAATAATACTCTGATACACTTTAGCAACGGCTTATAGCTCTTATTCTAAAAAAATAAAGTTTACACTCAATAAATATTCCAATTGCATCGTTTTCAAATGAAAGTTTTAATTGATATGTTTAATATGTATTTCTCCCATCTTAGATTGGACCAACCAAACCTCCTACGTAAAAACCGTCACATGGAGTTGTGGTACAAGCCCGACTTCAAGTTCCGGTTCCCCACCGCTCTGCTGTACTTCTACTTCATATCACCGCTCAGTATTAAATCACCACGAGAGTGAGTATATGATGTCTCAAATGTCTCATTTATAAACTACTAGGGTCCGCCCCGGCTTTGCTCGGGTGAAATTTATTCTAACTTGTTACAATATATCTCAGGAAGTGATACAGGTTCGGTTAAAGAATTACCAAGAGAGGCGGAAAGCGGATTTTCCGTTCGAATTAAAGGCGCTTTGTTATATTTTTTGTATTTTATTCAAACTTTATTGCCACAATTACAATAATGGACAAAAGGCAGACTTAACGCTAAAAGCATTCTCTGCCAGTCAACCTTATGGCATAAAGAAATCCACGAATGCGGCTATAATAAAAAAAATCGTTTGTATCGTGTCTATAAGCTATGGCGGCTTCTTACAATCAGGCGAGCCATATGCTTGTTTGCACCCTTTTAACATAAAAGTAATAGACTCATTGGTTCCAGAAATACTTTTACTAACTAATTCGGAATCTTACGAACTTTACCTTGTTAACATATAGATAAGGACTAGATATTACGCGACTTTTTTTGTTCAAATGACTGAACATTTTGTACCTTATTTTTTAAATTGATTGATTAACTTTCACTGTGTTTCACAGAGCTTGCCTGATGGATCTCTGGACTGATGTATTACAACAAGGCTTAAAGGTGAGATTGTCGTTCTTCTCGTCCTTATAGTTAATCGTGCAAATAATAATGTTGTCTTTTTCTATAAAATATAGTGTGTGCTTGCGTTTTACATACTCATTCCATACATTTACAGTAGTAGGGTGAAGATGGCTGGTGTGGCAGGTAAAACTGCTGTATCAGCTATCGTCACGTCTGGACTTCACCTTCACTTAACATCAGGTGGGGTGGAGTCATTTGTCGGACCTATCTATAAAAAAAAAAAATTTACAGTAGGAGATTAATGAGAATATATTGTTATCGCCCTCTAAACAGTGGCACTTATATTAATAAATAAATAAATTATATTGTATCGCCTGGGCATTGCCTTCTTTTTTCTTTAATCAGACAAAGCTTCAGAAATATAATAATATCTTGTTAATCTAATGATGTCTTTTAAAAATCGGATTTCGAATATTTTGTATTACTGCTATAGGGTGGTCCATTGCAGCGATTTTCCCAAATCTCAATTTAACTAAAACAAAATATAGCTCATACAATAATGTGAAATTGACGTTTTGACATTATTGTATGGGTTAAATCGAGTTTTAGTTGAATCGTGATTTATCAGATTTTGGCGTAAGTAATAAAAGTTCGAGTAAATATCCTATTCGTGTACAGGAAGAAGTGTATCCTGCAAACATGGCGGACTTGTCGCACTCTCTGTTCATGTCCGACAAGGGGTTCACGCTCAAAGTCAACGGGTACAGTCAAAACTTACATGTGAGTAACAAGCACATTGATATCGTCTTACTAAATTACTTGCTGGCCATCTATGTGGATGTAACCAAAATAGAAGAAATGTTTGTGAAACAAAAAAATCTTTGTGTCTGAGCTTGGATAAATTCGATTCGATCGAGCGGCTGACTCCGGTCGCAATATCTGCATTGGATTTCTAGGAATTTGATACAAATGATTCATTAAAAACAGTTGCTACACCTGAACACGGCGTTACATCCAAAGTCGTTATAGCCACATGAATTTTGTACCAAAGTATGTTTAAATTCAAGGGACTTAGATTTAACGTCGCGTAGGTAAATCGCTACAACCAAGGTCGTAATAAGTGAAATCCACTGTATTTGTCTACATCGCTTCCTCCTCGTGGTAGTCAAACTAATTTGTACAACAGGAATATTTTTTCCTAATAGTCCAACTTCTTGGATACTGGATTCTCTTTATAAATGACATATGCAAACAAATTTTAACGTAAAAAAAAATCTTGATACGAATCAGCATTTCTCGCCTGAGCCGAATAAAATTGGCCTGGTGTTTTTTGTGCATTTTTAAATATTGCACTTTTATTTTTAACTAAAATAGAATAAAATATACAACGTGTAGCAGAAAAACGAACACCCTGCTGCTCTAGCATGACCACCGAAACGGGATATGATAAAGCGATATATCGGCATTAACTGTCAGACTACAGTGAAGTTTTTTTTATTTTATTTTTTATGCAAAATAGGCAATGCGTTTGACCACAATCTCACCTGATGGAAAGCGATGATGGGGTGTGGCAGTAGTCTGACAGTTAATACCGATATATCGCTTTATCATATCCCGTTTCGGTGGTCATGCTAGAGGGGCTGAAAGTAATAAAAATAAAGAAAGGATCTAAAAAATCCAAAAGAAAACAATAATAATTATTTTCTTTTTTGATTATCTTTAATCGATTCAGAAGACATTTCCAACCAAACTACTTTCAGGGTGTGCGTTATTTCTGTTACACGTTGTATATTAATTTCTGTATGTTTCTACCAGTTACTTGTTGAGCTGATAACTCGAGAAATGCGAGGGGCGGCGGGCAACTTGTCCTCAGAAATGTTTGAAGCGGTGAGAGACGTGCGAGCGCGCTCCTACCACAACGTGCTCATACGACCGCATAAACTGTCCAAGTAATTATAATGCTGCATTCCAGCATATTTCTCTTTTTTAAATTCATTATTCATGCATTCATTCATTAGTTTTATATTGACCCTTTGTTAATTTGCAATCCATTTCCTTGGTTTAGTCAATGCTTTAGCTATAGTCTATTCACTTTGGCGTGAGACAAAATGTAAACAAAGAATCTGAGGTTCTAAAACTTTTATAATGTCAGAAAGTACCCACTAGTCAATGATTACGTATAATTTGTTACCTATAATTTATTAACAACTTTAAACTTAACAGAAAAAAATAGCAACAAACTCAACGAATAAAACAAGGAACTAACAAGAATTTAACAAATAGGATAGAATATGGACGCTCGCGTCAAAAGGTTATCTCATGTATTCTTAAATTTTGTCGAATTATAATACGCCTTAAGTTTGGGAATGATTGTGTTTTTAGGTCATTTTCCATGTCAACTTAAGTTGTTAAAATACTTTTATCAGCAAAATAAAAATATACGAATTTATGATGAGCATGTACGTTAAATATGTGTGAAATATTTTATTTTCTTATTCATACGTATGTATCAGCTTTTAAAATAATTAGCTTAATGTTTCCCTGCATTTCCTATGTAAAAAGTATTTAATCTTTACTTTGTCAAAAGGGTCCTTAAAAAGTATCCTTTTTATGGTTTGTTTACATTTTGTCTTCGCTAATGTGAATAGACTATAGTGTCCGCGGTCCTACCGCAACATGCTCATGTGACCACATAAACTGCGCAAGTAATCACACTGGTTCGTTTCAGCTCATTCCTGTTTTAAACGACATTCACTGTTACTATAAATTCATTATAGTTTAATATTATGGCTTGTTAATTGGCAATCCATTTCCTTGTCCGTGTCAAGTTAGTTATTGATGTGTAACATATTTCCTCTCGCTTTCGTGCAATTTGTGGGAGTGATTACGTGAAGTGGGACGGAAGTGTGTAACAGGAAGTTTGGGAAGCGCGCGCTATTTGATTAGATTTTAGATTATAATGTTCAAATTGCTGTTTCCTTTTGAAGTAGGTTTTTTTTACTAATATAAGGTGAGGTTTCAAATGTTTTATACGAATTTATGATAAGTATGTACGTTATATGTGTGAAATATTTTATTTTGTTATTCATATGTATGTACCAGCTTTTAAAATAATTAGCTTAATGTTTCCCTGCATTTCCTATGTAAATAGTATTAATAATTAGAATTACCATCCTTTACGCGACTACTTTAAGGGTCGCTTGTTTTTTTTTATGTTTTGCGATTGCTTTTGTAGTACTATCAACCATTTTGATTCCCGACCCACCAGTAGCTTATTTTGTTACAATCATTTAAAAACAATAAGTTAGATTTTTGCTTAAATGTACCTAGGGGCCGTTCAAGTATTATGTAAGCACTATAGGGGGGCAGGGGGGTCTTTCCTTTGCTTATTTTTGATGACATGGGGGGGGGGGGGGGGGTAGGGGGTCGAAATAGTGATTACGTCAGCATCATGGATTTTGGTGTCATGGACTGGAGACCTTAGAGCTAAGCTAAGACTGTTAATTGGAATTAATATGTATACCAAAAAATCGGAAGAAATTTTGTTTTGTTAGTAATAGTACTTAATAAGATTATAATATTTGTACCTTACTCTATGAATACTGTGTCAATAAAGTTTGTTTAAATGAATACTATATGCGTTAAAATCCTCTATCCTAAGCCTATTTAAGCCTATTTGCTCATCTCCCTAACGGAGCTGTGCTTGAGATTTTATTATAGATATATGTGACCTGAAATGACTCTGACTCTTACGTTCTTTACCATAGGGACGTCCGCATGAACCTCTTGATAGAACCATACATATCGCCGCGTAAAAAAGCGGAATTGGTCCACAACATCACACTTGCCGATCTGACGGATTTCAGTGATCGGATGCTGGACCATGTCTACCTGCAGGTGACTAACGTTTTTATTACCTTTGCATTAAATGTTGTTTTCCCGTGATGTTTGTGTAAATACTAATTAGTCAGTGATGGTGACTTCGCCTGCGTAAAATGATACAAATCATTCGGGGATTCATTCACGACATAAATGTCGTGTCGTGTCGTCGTTATATAAATATAACGACGACTAACTATTACTGTTAGTTTAGTTTTCCATTACCTGTATTATGATTATACGTAGAATTTTATTGGTAAAATGTCGTTATTTTCGCTACGTGGTAAAATAATTATTGTTTACAGAATATTTTTATATCTTAATTGTATAGGGAAATTCAGTAATATAGTTTTTGATATACTTATTTAATTTCAGGTTCTAATGCAAGGCAACATTCCGTGGTACGAAGCTATACGCATAGCCGAAAACGTCCAGAACAATTTGAGGTTTGAGGGACCCTCACCAGACGAATTACCAAAGGTATGCCCTTTTTAAGTTTTGTTTTAATCTACAGAGTTTGTTTACTAGTCTATCTATTCTTAGGAACTACTAGTCCGATTTGAAAATTATGTTTGTGTGTAAAGTGCATTTATCGAGGAAGGTTATAGGCTATATAACATAAGGATGCGACAATCAGAACCGGAGAACCAATAAAAAATGTTTCAAAAACTGGAAAAAATATTCCATTTGGGAGCTTTCGTTTCGTGCGCTTATTTTATAAGAGACTTTTTTAAAATGGTAGTACGGAAGAGCTTGCAGTAGCTTTCCCTTATAGAATCCTGCAAAAATATACGTAATAATATTCTGAAGTGTTCTCAACGAGATACTTATAGGAGGCGCCTTCACGAAGATTTCCGTACAAAGAATTATAATAATAAACAAAATTTTCCAACACACTCCAATTAGCCAAGCCCCAAAATAAGCACTGTAAGGCTTGTGTTATGTGATGCTAGGGTAACGGATAGAATACATATACTGTACATATATAAGTATATGTATATAGAAATGCATATTAAACATCCATGACTAGAGTACAAAATGCTCGTGTTCATCACACAAACATCTGCCCCCACCGGGGCTCGAACCCGGGACCTCTCGAGTCGGCGACACCATGAATCCAGGCGTACGAACCACTCGACCACGGAGGTCGTCTAATTTCATCGAATAGGGTATTTGACAAGTTTTAGGCAACGATCTCACGTTATTGACTAATGTTTATGGAGTCCGTAATAAGTGGATATTCATCATTCTGTTGTGTATTTCAGTAAAAATAACTAAATCAAAAACTCCATTTACAAGTTGATGCAAAAACGTTTTTCTGGACACTATGGCGTCTTACTAGTGTGTGACGTCACACGACTGCTATTAAAACGTCAAACGATACAATGTAATGTCACTTTAACCGGAATTTTACTTGCGTGTGACTTCATTTTAGGCTCCGCCAATCCCAAGCGTTTTGGGTCACGTGACAATAGATAAGAAAACTATTATCTTTTTCGTGGGTTTTTAGTAAAATTATGAATATCTTGTTTTTAAAAATAATAAAAACACCTGCCAATATTCATTCTAAACACAGATGCTAACAATTGGCACTTTATTTTTAATACTGTCAAATACCCTATTAAAAAATTTCAGCTCTGGATTTCACCCCGTCGCCTCTGAGTAGGTGATACATTGAAAACCGGCGTACATACCACTCGCGCCACGTAGGTATTCAAAGAATGTCTAAAAGAGTTCAAATGTATACTCAACAACTCACTTTGAAGTATTTTATTAAACGTAAAGTAATGTCGGAGGTATCACAAACAACAGAATCTTGATTAATCATAAACAATTATAAAATGTGGTTTGTAAGCCGGGTTTCATGGTGTCGCCGACTCGAGAGGTCCCGGGTTCTAATCCCGGTGGTGGCAGATGTTTGTGTGATGAACACGAGCATTTTATACTCCAGCCATGGATGTTTAATATGCATTTCTATATACATATACTTATATATGTACAGTATATGTATTCTATCCGCTACCCTAGTTCCCATAACATATGCTGCAAGTGCTTACTTTGGGGATAGGCTAATTTGTGTGAGTGTTGGAAATATTTATTTAAATATTTTCAGTTTGAAGTCCATGAATTGCCCATTGGCGAGCGCAAAGTCCGTGTGATGAGCCTGAACCCTCATTCTACTAACAGCATAGTCACCAACTATTATCAAGGCGAGGCTACTACGCCTAAAGACACCGCTACTTTGGAAGTCCTTATGGTAAGTAATTTATGATATTTTACTATTGCCGTTCAACGAAAATAGTTTAATATTAATCACTAGCTAACCCAGCGTACTTTGTACTGCTTACAATAATTTGGAAGAAATGATAAACGACGAACGTCAAATGTTTGACAGGAATATAGATAGAACAGTTTATGGGGAAAAATAAAATAGTATTTTTACTATCTTCCTCGCAATTTTTTTCCATATTTTCTCACCGTTTAAACCTTCCCAAGACTACGACAACATTTTAAAACCAAAATCAGCTAAATCGGCCCAGCCGTTCTCGAGTTTTAGCGAGACTAACGAATAGCAATTGATTTTTATATATATAGGTAATATTCTTAATTGGTACACCTTACAAGACACACCAGTAAATTAAAAGTATGATAGATAGAACGTACACAATATAGGCGGCCTTATTGCTAGGCAACAATCTCTTCCAGACAACCCATAATAGAAAAATAAATAAATATGAAGGCGAAAAGGAATTAATGTTATAAAACCATTAGCCATTCCTTTTATGTCTTTCTCTTCAGGGCACAACACTGGAGCTAGATAACAATATCACCATGCTCGGTATGGAGATTCGCTGTGACTTAAATCCAAAAAATTAAATCGAAAGTGTGATAAAAACAGCCTCACGCAAACTCGGGAGTCCTGAACAAGGTGCGGCGTTTTTTCACGCCCGAGCAACTATGCTTGTTATATAAGACGCAGGTACGGTCTTGCGTGGAATATTGCTCGCACCTCTGGGATGGCTCCGCCAAGTACTTGCTCGATGCTTTGGATAAGTTACATCGGTGCGCAATACGCATCATAGGCGATGAGGAGGTGACTAAACACCTCGAGCCTCTTCAATTACGCCGTGACGTGGCGTCACTAAGCGCGTTCTATCGTCTGTACCACGGCGAGTATTCTGAGGAGTTATTCTCTCTTATTTCACCTTCCCCTTTCCTTCAGAGGACTACGCGCGCTGCCTTACGTTGTCACCGTCTAACTGTGGCTACAATCCCAATGCGTACAAAGAAATTTGGTTACTCATTTCTTTGTCGTACTATCCGTAAATGGAATGCTCTGCCCGCTGACGTGTTCCCTCCCTCTAACAACCTGGAATCCTTTAAAAGAGGCGTGAAGAAGCAACATGCAGGCCAGCAGGGTGAGGATAGCTGGTGTGGCAGTTAGAACTGCTGTATCAGCTATCTTCGCGTCTGGACTTCACCTCCAATTAACATCAGATGGGGTGGAGTCATTTGTCGGAATTATCTATAAAAAAAAATGAAATAGGAATTTTAAAACTAAATTTCGTGAAAGAAATTCAACAAGATTAATGTTAAATATTTAAGAAATTTAAGTAACACTAAGCAGTCTCCAAGCACACATAGGTTGTATAACCCGTGTCATTATTGAAAGGAATCATAAAATTCCAATGCAAGATATTCCGTGTCTCTGGCACGTTACCTAGGATATCATTTATGATTCCTTTCTTTAATGACACGAGTTTTACATGAAAACAACAGCGCGGGTTTTCACGAATCCTTATAAATTTATTGTGCAGTAATTTGAATTGCTAGAGGTTTTTTCAATGCCTATTTTTAACTAAGGCATGCCAGCCAGCTACTCTGTATGAGTGGTTTCCCATTAAAACTTTCCAATCCCCTTGTCACCCTCTAAAAGGAAGATTTCCTAGATAAAAGATTCTGCGTAAATCCTATTTCCTTTCCCCGAACTCGAACTATTTCTATGCCCAGTTTTATCTTAATCGGTTCAAATGTTAAGGCGCGAAGTGGTGAAAGACGTAATCACACTTATATCATAAAGACGAAAGATTGCGAGTGAGTATGTTTGTTACTTCTTCACGTCTAAACAAACGGCTAGAGCGATTTCAATAAAATTTGGTATGGATTTAACTGACCGATGGATTATTTCAGGCATGCGCAATTAAAATATGTTTTTAATATATTTTCGAACCAAGTTTAAAATTAGTATTTTTTTATAAAAGGAATTTAATAAAAAAAAATAGTTTTATCTCATACCAATAAAGAAACGCCCATTATTCCATAAAGGATATGCGAGAGCGATGGAATGTTTATTTGACGTTGCATGAATTAAAAATCTTTAAACATCACCAATTTACACCACCTCTGACGCCCGATGTAAGTAAAACTTGTGTGTCAAAAGAGCCAGTCCCTTTCTCAGATTACAAATACTTATTGCGTATTGTTGGATTTAGACAAATTAGAAAAGAGAGAGAAAAAAAAAATCATGTAATTTTTATTCAATTCAAATCAAATCATTTATTATCAAAATTATTGCGAATACAGGTTACAAAGTTTTACATCGTTTATTCAAAATGTCAATTAACGATAAATTTAAGATTGTATTTATTTCAGGCAAGTCATTTTTTCTATACTTAATCGAAAAACTCTTGTCTTCCAAAAATTCACGGACCGTATAGTAACATTTTTCTATTAAAAATATGGTAATTTGATTTTAAATATATTCGTCGCCTGTAATTTCTCTCACACTTTCAGGTAATTTACTATAAATATAGGGAGCATTGCAATACACACCTTTCCTAAATAGTGCCATTCGTTTCTATATTGCTGAGAGTTAAATGATTAAAATTGTTTGTAGATGTTAATGGAGGAGCCTGTGTTCGATATGCTGCGCACCAAAGAACAATTAGGCTACAGCGTCTTTAGTATGATGCGATACACTTTTGGAGTGCTCGGCTTTTCCATCACCGTCAATACGCAGGTTGATAAGTTCAGGTATAGTTTTATCATCATTATAATAATAATAATAATAAAGCCTTTTATTTCAGGCTATTAATGTCCCCAATTCTGGGGCACAGGCTTTCCCTATTTAGTTTAATTTATTCTCACACCAATTAGCACTGTTGGCGATCCTAGTGTAAAGGATAGAGTACATATATACGTATATTTATATAGAAATGCATATTGAACATCCGTGACAGGAGTATAAATGCTCGTATTCATCACACAAACATCTGCTCCCACCGGGACTCCAACCCGGGATCTCTCTAGCAGGCGACACCGCGACATCCGGTGTACAAACCACTCGGCCACGGAGGTCGTCGACTATGGGTACTAAAGGTGGAACTATGGATGGAATAAGTCACTGTCAATACGCAAGTCGATAAGTTCAGTTCACATCAACATTATCGGGCTATTAATGTCCCCACTGCTGGGGCACAGGCCTTCCTTATGGATAAAATAAGTCATTTTCAATTTTTAGCTCAACAAATCCAGGTATTGTATCATCATCAGGCTATTAATGGCCTTACTGCTGGATAACAGGCTTTCTTTTATAGATGAAATTGGGAGAAAGAATCACACAGCACAGCTCAATGTTTATTGGTCATCTTAAGAGTGATATTGAATCATCATCAACTTATTAAAGTCCCCATTGCTTGGGCACAAGCCTTCTCTATGGATTCCGATACGCTTCTGCCGGTGGGCGGAGAATGCGGAAAGCATTTTTCTTATAAATTAAACGCGTGGGTAACCAACAAGAACTGACTTTATTCAAATAAAACATACAGTTGACATATTCTATACCAGAGAGCGCTACTAGTCTTCAATGGATGATATTGTCGATACAAAAAGACACAGAATAACAATTTTCCAGACATTAAAAAAAAGCGGCCTTCCCTATGCATGGAATAAGGAAATTGAACAACGATCGGACTAGTCAAAAATGGTTCGGTGGTTGCTAAGGACTGCAGATGCAGCCTGGACCTATGGCTTAACGTGCCTTCCAAAGAATGGAGGAGCTCGAGACTATACATTTTTGGTCATCATATGAATTTTTTAAGTGAAACTTCTTTACGCACGCTTGACTTGGAGAGTAAGCTGGCGAACGCGTTACAAAAAGTGTGATCGGGTGAGGCGAACAGGAGTTCAGTGGGGGATATTAGCAAAAGAAAGCAGTGCGCGCGCACATTTTCTTTCTCCTTCTCTTATAGCTTAAATATGTATATGTACATACATTTAAATATTGTACACATATAAATTATATATCCACGTACAAATGGAGCTAAAAAAGTTTCACTTCAGTCGTGGTTATGAGCATAATCGTTTTTTTATTTATTTCAAAAGTTGCTTAACTTCCTCTGTCATAGACCGAACGCGATAATTAAGTACTGCATCGTTGAGCACCTCGAAACGAGATTTTTAGTATCCCACAAAAGTTGAAAAGTCTGTTCAAACTCAAACTCATTTATTCAGTCTAGGCTGTTACAACTTCTTGTGAAAGTCAAACGCTACGCCATCGGTTCGTAAATCTACGGCGGGAAACCTTGTACCGAGGAGAACCGGCAAGAAACTCAGCAAGGGCTATTTTTTTCTCCCTGATAATATCAATTCTTTATTTTCAGTTTTTAAATCCAGTTCTCTTAATATCACCCCGGCAAACAGGCAAAAAAGGCGCGCAGTAGTAATTCAACGTACAAATACGTCTGCGTTTGTGTATGATTTTACCCAATAAATTGACCGTTACCTATATTATAGGCTGGATAGTTGTGAGCGAATTTTTTTTTTGTATTTCTGTTTTCATACACTCACCAATCATTTAATAAAACACTTTTCACGAGCCCTGAAAAATAGTGAAAAGTATCTGAAAATCAGGAATAACGAATTTTTTTAATAAACCTTTCTTTTTATCAGTTCAGTAAGTTATTTATTATTATTTTCAGTACCTTTAGCACGACCAATCAATGAATTCAAGGAGTTGAACTCGATCTAGATACACGTCAACGGTGTACTGATTTTAATTCGCGCTGTTGTTCAAGTTTCCGTACAAAATTTCTCAATAAGATTTCGCACTCGCAATGAGGAGCTCAATGGCGCGGATGGTTAGCGCGTTCGGCTGCGATCGTTGAAGTTAAGCAAGTTTCGCAGTGGTCGGTCATTGGATGGGTAACCAAAAATCTTCTATCTAGATAAAACTAGTTTTTACGGGTTAATGCACGAAACTTTATTTATTTATAGACGTTTCGTAGCCTTTACAGGCTACGTCGTCAGAATCAAACTTTTATTTAATTTGTCGAGCTACCTTCGAAAGACTTTTATTGAGCGTTCGGTTATTTCATTGTTCGATTTTAAAGTTTTATTGTCTATGTATGAATTTATTATTTAATTTACTTAATAAAGTATTTTATTTAAAATTCTTTTTTGTAATTTTGAGTTTATTTATTTGACCCTAACTACCGTAAACTACCACCGGTTCCAAAATTGGGAGACCTTTCTGAGAAGAACCGGCGAAACAAACTCAAGAGAGGCTTTCTATCTCCTTCTTATGTTAAATTATGCAAACAAAAAGAACTAATAGTATCTGATGGCCTTGCAGTGTGTGCTCGGGGTTGGGATTTTCTCCTGTATAATGGGTTCCCAAGCTGGTGGTATATACCAACCATCTTCCCTATTGAAATTTGGATATTTTTTAATCTCAATAGCCCCGCGCATCATTCAAGGAACGAGCCGCTCAGCTGCAAGGATCTGTGGTTTATCAAATCTAATGTAATGGTTTGGTGTAAGGGACTCGGGTAAAAGAACATATCGCAGATATGAAACATAGGCGCGAAAATAAGTCTGCAGTGTGTGAACATGCATTAGGGGGACCAAATAAATTAAATAATAAATTCATACATAGACAATAAAACTTTAAAATCGAACAATGAAATAACCGAACGCTCAATAAAAGTCTTTCGAAGGTAGCTCGACAAATTAAATAAAAGTTTGATTTTGACGACGTAGCCTGTAAAGGCTACGAAACGTCAATAAATAAATAAATAAAGTTTCGTGCATTAACCCGTAAAAACTAGTTTTATTTAATGAGTGATGTGCGTGAAAACCTAAGAAACTTCTATCTAGAGTTCCTCCGTGTTTCGGAAGGCATGTTAAGCCTCTGCTGTCGTTAGCGCCCGCCAATCCGCACTGGGGCCTCGTGGTGGGTCATGGCCCACTCTCAATAATTCCATCCATAGGGATGGCCTGTGCTCCAGCAGTGGGGACATTAACAGGCTGATGATGATGATGATGACTAAGGGTACAGTTTATTCATTAAACGTGTATTCCTTTTCGCAGCGTTTCGCACGTAGACAGTCGCGTAGAAGCTTTCCTAAAGAAGTTTGCCCGAGACGTTCGCAAACTGAACGAGCGAACTCTGCACGCGACTCGTACTGCGCTCGTACAGCTCAAACACACCACTGACTACGAGCTAAAGGAAGAGGTAATCAAGGCTTTATTTCACATTTTCCATGTTGCATTGCATTTTTACTTTAGTGCAAAATAAATACTTAAAGTATGTAAAATGTCGTTTTTTTAACAGGTATCTAATCAATGTTTGTTATTTTAACGCATTTGAAGCAAACTTTGTTCTAATACTTACTATAAACTAATTTAATAGAAAATATTTGTGATATTCAAATGCATGGTCGGTAATATAGCCGTCTCTTTTCTCGCGGTCCGTACCTGCTATATTGCTAACAGCGCATTCAGAATTGCGCAAAGAGTCAAAGAAATAAGGTCTATATTCTTCCGCATATAGCAATAAGTCGTAAAATTTAACGAGCTTGCATTTCGAATTGTTATAAAGTCTTTGACACATGCGTTTTAAAGAAGCCCTTATACAGTATCCATTAAAGGTGACTTTCAATGTTGATATTTCAATGTTGTGTATAGAGAAACTTGTTTCAGAAACAGAGTTTTGTGTATGTGTTTTTGTTGAATGTTTTCAAAAAGCTTTTGCTGGAGACCCGGCTTAAGATTCCAGATCTCCACTGGGTAGATTGGGTCAGGGTAATGAGTGGTGCGAGTAATATTTTGGTATCGCCGGTGTCTATAGGCTATGGCGGCCACATACCATCAGTCCATACGCTTGTTTGCCAACTTTTTAACATAAAAAAATATCCAAAAAAAACTTAACGAGTTTGGTTTTTAGAAGAATTACTTTATAAGAATTACCTTTGACTCTATATCCCTATTATTCTGAATGCAGTGTAAACAAATACTAATATTGCGTACACGCAGCGCAAGGAAAAGAGACTGCTACATATGCGACCCTGCATTTGATTATTACAAATATTTCATAGTAAATGTTAGAACGATTTTGTTACAATATAATAAACATTTATTCGATACCTGTCGAGATAACGCTTATAGGTAATATACATAAGTGGTTTTTCACGAAGCTCATAAAATATGACATATTGACGGCAACGCGGCCCGCGACTGTGAGAGAAGTAATGTTTAAACTGCTTTTAAGTATTACTTGTTTGGGACAAATTTTGAACGCTGTATGATATATCTAAATTTTTTGGTTTCGTTGTATGCATCTTATACGTAAATAGTTTTTTTTAACTCCGTTGCTTTCGTTTTAGGTTGAAAGAAACTGGCGCGAAATCACCACAATGGACTACCAATTCCAAAGGTTGTTTATGGAGGTAAGACCCTATGACCTGTTTTATAATAGACTAGCGGCCCGCCCTCCCTTCGCTTTAGTGAAGACTTTAGTTTTTGTTGTAATGTATAGCCTATGTCACTCATAAAAAACGTGGCTTTTCTATTGCTAAAAGAATTTTACAACTTACCTACAACCTCACAATTCCTAAACTTTACCTCTTTATCTATGCATATAATAAAATGGAAGGAAAGTCAAAACTGTACATTGAATATTTTTTTAAAAGAATACTTGGGGTGTGATCTACAATCGATACCGAAACCAAAAATATAGTTTTTAGAATTTTTGCCTGTTTCTATGTCCGGGAGAAACTCAATAAGTACTTCATGGATTTACTTCAAATTTGGCACGAATATTATCAAAAAATCTTGTCAACATATAGGCTACATAATATCACGCTATCACCTACGGGGAACGAGCAGTGTACCTTTATTTCTAACTCAACCCACTGTAACACTTTTTTTTTCATTAAAAAGAAATCGCTTACCAGTTTTACAATAGTCCTTTAATTTCCTTTCATTTAGTAATTCATTCCGTGATGGTGTGACGTAAGCCGCCATTCTATTTTCCCCGTTGTATAATTCTTCGATTTTTAGGGATCACCACTAAATTAACGTAGTTCTAAATACTTAATTATTAATCTTCTTAAAATACTGCTTTACCATTTTACCAAATTATACAAACAAATACCTTTTGACAACACGTATTCTGACAGCTGGTTGGAGTCACGTGATGTGTTTGCGTTCCGTTCCCAACTAATAATAACCTTGATTATAAAACCTTTTTCTCAATTTATTTAAATATATTATCTAATCTTGATTAAATCGTTCTCTAATTTTCTATTAAACTTCATTTAAATATTTACTTTCCATTACAACTTAAAGGAGAACACTTCGTTACATTTATGTTTGCGTGTTTAATGTGTTTTGTGTGGAACGAAACCAGTTGGTTTCGTTCGAAAATGTTAGTTGAAGTTCTGTGAGTTAATCACTTTAATTTGTTATAAAACTATTAATCTTGTATTACTTAGATTATTGTACCAGAGTAAGTTGTAGATCTTCGAAAATGGCTTTATAGACTAAATAATGAAATTTATTTAGTCGAACAATATCGTACGTCCTGCGACTGAAACTGGCAATTTCTGAACGCATTGGTTGAGAGTGGGTTTCCGGCGGTCGGCCGCTCGTTCTTACTTTTGGCTGGAACGCTGGTGGAAAAAGAATCAAAGGTTGCTGTGGTGAATTTTGTGGTGAAGAGTGGAGTAGTGGTGTTCTGGTAGCGTGACATTCTTCGGTCCAGAATCCAGACTGATTTTTTGAAGCGGTGTTGGAAGCTGTGTGGTTTGTCCGTGTGTTGCTGAAACCCTGATGAGGATTTACACATATCTATACTTACCATAACCACATAACATAATTATACTTTTATTTCAGGCTGACGCGATAGAAAAGATCACACTAAAGGATATAAGAAGTTGGGTAGAAAATCACTTCTCTTCTGGAAACAGGTCGCAGTTCAGGAAGCTCTCCGTACAGGTAAGCGTAACTTCCAAGGTAATTGACATATTTTTATCTTTATTTATAACTTTAAGGTCACCGCTTGCAACAATTTTGCTGAATATCGATCTAACCAAAATCAGATTTAGGCCATACAAGAATGTCTAATTTAGATTGACAACGAGATTTAGCAAATTTGCTACATGTGGGCCTTAATTATTATCTCTGCCCATCATTAACGTCAAGATATGGATAAATGCGTTTAAATGTCTGGTTTAGGTCGCGGCATACTTCTTGAGCAAAACCACAAAGAAATAAACGTGCGCAGTAGACGTTTTTGTATGTAATAGGATATTATTTTTGAAGTGTCTCAATTAAATTCTAGAAAGCTTATGCTACTAAAAGAAACATATTTTTTTTATTCAATCGTTAAGTGCCTTAAAATGCATTTAAATTTAACATTTCGCGCGTAATTAAACGAAAACGCTGGACGCAGTGTACACCATATTGTTCTACCGTCTTGACGTCATTAGTACTGTAAATAAATACGTTATCTTGGTATGAAAACATTAAAAGTACTGAGTTGACAGCTGCCATTGGCAAATACTAGCGGTGTGACCCAAATAATGTGGTGACTACTATGTCTACTATTTCATAGTGTTTTAAAACAGATTAAAAAACCAGAAACTGATTTTAATTTTAAAATGCATTTTGTTAATTTAATAACAGTACCCCTAGCACAAAACATTATCGAATTCGAATAGTTCGCGAGTGCAAAATGTCAATGTCAAATTTTGTATGGAAACTTGAACAGCTGCGCCTCAACGTACGTAACGAGTACTAAAAATGATTACACATTTGACAATGACATTTATTTCGTACTCGCAAACATTACGAATTCGATATTGGTTCGTGCTAAGGGTATGAGACTAACATTTTCAAACTCCTTTTTGCCTACACTATTGCAATAATTCGTTTATAGATTTTTACGCAAGTAGAATCAAATTCCCTTTTGCTACTGCGCAGGCTTCCTTATCTATGGTCGCTGCTCAAGACATTTACCGAGATGTATATTAGTGTTGCATCCCGTAGGAATACCACAAATAACATCAAAAATAGGGCGGACAACAAATAAATCTGTAGAGTTATTTTGTAATAAATATTTTCTAGACGACATAAAACCTAACCAATGTATAATGTAGCGTTGATCAAATCTGAGAGTGATCTTTATACCGATATATATTTCTTGTGCATATAGTGCAATTCAAACTTAATGGGGACTATAAAGAAGTAAACGAAATGAAGGGTGATTTGAATGAACTGAAATCTGCCCCGATAGGGAAGAAAACTGCCAATTTATCAAAAGTGTCAAATGGACAGCAAATCGAGACAGCTGTCAAAGTCACAAGGAAAACCGACATATTTCGATACACTGGGGCTGCGTTCCAAACTTACGCTCCAGGTACAGCAAATCCCAAATTTGCATAAGTTTCATACATTTTGTGTCAAAATTTAAACATTAGCGTAATAACTTGCACTCCGAGTGCAGGTTAAGAACGCAGGCTTGAAGTGACATGTTGTGCTTGTTATGTGGGCCAAACAGCCAAAGTGCCATCTATGATGAGCTTTGCGTTTTCTTCCTATTGCGCTCGCTGCTAACTTCACAACCGCCATAAAGTTTGAATCAACTATATAGCTCGCAACATATGACATTAACGTATGCTAAATTAACTTACTATTCAATGTACCACCAGATTATGGGCCACAAAGCAAACAAAGACAAAGACGACAACACAACAATTCCAGAGACAGACGTCAAAAATTACAAACTGACGTATTTGAACGCCAACGAGCCCGTCGGCGACACTACAGAGAACAACGCAGATTTCATACATGACATCGATGAATTTAAAAACGAACTGCCCATCATATCCGTACCTAAAATGGAGCTTACTCAGTGCTAATAGAGCCCATTTTACTGAGACATGTTGTAAATAATGGTGAAAATTGTATAAGTAATTTATTATTTGAATCGTAGGAGCGTTATCATTACAAAGCGATTTTGCAGCAACACCGTTAGTGAGTATGTGTCGTCAAAAATCTGCTATAGAATATTTTTCTACAGTAGCTTCCATTGATAGAATTAATATTAATAAATTTGTACTCCAAGTTTTGCTTAATTATCTAAAAATCTTTATCTGCCTTCCAACATAAATGGGGTTACATAAGCCTCAGTCTAAAATCACTAAAGCAAAAAAAAGTATTAAGTTTAAAACTGATTTAGTTGCATTTCTTCTATCATAAGCAGAGAAAAACATCTTAGCTCTTTCATCGGAAATTTTGACCGCGAAAGCAGTGAAATACCTTCCTCAAAATCGCTTATATGATAACACTCTTACAGCAACAGTAAATTAATTTTTATAAAGCATATTTCAGTAAGGAGAGTATAATAACTATAAACTTGAAATTCACTTGAAAGAAGATATTAAAAAATGAAAAATCTATTACAAAACGTGTGAGATTATTAAGAATTTATAAAGCTTAGCATAACCACCTTACGACTGATGTAACTTGTTACGCTGTATGTAATGAAGTTGCTATTTGTATACGGTAAAAATAAGGTCAAATTACTGGAACGAATTTAACAAAGCTTAGCTTAGTAGTAATAACTGAACTATCTTCTTTAAAAGTTCGCTATCCTTTTTATTTCATTAAAATCTAATAAATCTGCCGACAATTTAAAGTAAGGCCTACTTTAAATTGTCGGCAGATTTATATGTTTGTTGCCTTCGATCAATTAGCTTGAGAGGTATTTTTGTATTAAATAAGGAATGAAATTAGCATTGGTATCAATCCCAAAAAATACAGGTTATGACATAGCATTTTATAGGATTCTGACGATATCCGTTGAATGTAATTTATTTCCAGTTTTTTCAGGTAACAAAATATTGTTTGCTACCGATGAACTACAGATAATATATAAATATATTTAGATTTTAAATTCTTTGTGGGACTAACACAATAAAATTGTGTTTTGGGTATTTATGTAAATATTTTGTTTTTTACTTTTAGACATGTAAATATTTATTTAAATATTGGGGTGTACAGTAAGTCGAAATTATAACATTCCGACAGAATATAAAACGACAAGTTAGTTTATGCCTTTGCAAAACAATATACTCCATGGTGTTTGTGACTCATCGCCCAATAAAATAGAAAAACAACATATAAAATGAAGTTTTCTTTTTTACTAATTTTCCTTCACAATAAAGTACTTTAAATAGCCTTTATTGTACATACATTTAACACTGCAATTTACAAACTTGGACCGAGTTTAATTTCGCCAGTACTAATTATAAACAAGCTGGTGTTAAATAGACAGCAGTGGACTAGGATAGGCTGTTGATGATGATGATGATGATGTTAAATAAAAAACAATTAGACATATGCTTTTATCACATTATATTAATAAAATACATTCTTCAAACTGTTAAGAATTAAAATTAAATTGGCAGTTGAGTGATGTGCGTGCCCATCGAGAGACCACAGCAGAAAACTTAGGCTTAGTATACATAAAGATTTAGCAGGACCTTCAAATTGTAGCAGTAGAGTAAATTTTGAACACGTAAGAACTGAGGGCCCACCTACTGATTGGATTTTCTTTAAGATCCTGCATATTATTCCAGTATTTAGAAGAAACGTATAAACTACACAAGTAGAAGGCTCGATTTATACCGATGCGAAATAGAATGGAAGCGAATTTTTGTAACGAAATTGTGCATAGTATAATGATCTTTATGTCAGTTGCATACAAACGAAATACGAGCTTAAAGCTAGTAGGGATATTCTAAAGGATTCCGCGGAAGACGCGCGACCATTTTATTTTGCGTTACAATAGCACTTTCTAATACTCTATAGAAGCGATTAGGGATTGCAATCCCGCAAGGCAGGATGACGCATTCCCTCGGGATCCCGCTGCTTTTTTTATTCTGCTAGATACCTTCAAAGCGCGGATCCGCGGATCTCGCAAATTAAAAAAATGGCGCTAAAACTACACGTTAATCGCGAGTAGCAAGATGGGTACGTTGCCGTTTCACACAGAGCGCCGGCGCGGCACAATTCACTCAGAAGCAGGCTCAGAGATGACAATAAAGGCCATTTGGTTCTTAAGAGCTTATTTTCAAAAGTTATCGCCGTTGGTAGATGTTGGTGTTGATTCTGGCATGATTATCTAAACCTAAACTTAAATTTCACAACAGTATGTTTGTCATTCTCTATACAGAATGAAAAGGAGAGCCTGATGTTAAATATAGTTTTAAGTTTAGAGAACCATGTCAATATTCTCTTTTAACTGACACAAATCAATATAGTAACAACATACAAGAGAAATTTGTGATTTGACTATTAGTCATTTAACGAATAAGGGTAAAATTAAACCTTTATTCTCATTTGTTCGAATCATTAGTTCGATCGTCGAACTAGTGAGATTTTTTTTTTCTCATTAGTTCGATCGTCGAACTGCTGAGATTTTATTGCTCTCATTTGGTCGACCTTCGTCGAACTTATTTTCTTTATTTATCCATTTTCCTTACCAGAACCTCTTAGTTACGTATGGTCTCCTGGTACGTTTTTCAAAATAGTGCTTTTATAAATGTTTATGGATGCAATAATTGACAAAAGGATATACTCCCGTATTAGAGAGAGACAATTAAAAGTTTTATTGTTTTTTTATTTCTTCATGGCGATTCACACCTTCAGTCAGTCTATCCCAAGGAACTTACATACTATCTGGAATGCTGACCTGACCCTCAAAAGCGTTCTGAACAGTAAACCTCAATTAGTGGAAGCTTTCACTTTCTAGTAGTGTGTCCAAACAGTAACATAAGTGATGAGATAATTCTTTTTCTCTGAATAAAGTAACCTTCTAATTTTCAATTGTATATCCTTAGCTTAAAGTCCAAAAAAATATTAAAATCTTTAAACGACGACGAATCTTTCCGCGCTTATTATTAATAAACATTTATAAAAATCACTATTTTGAAAAAAATACCAGGAGACCATACATAACTAATCAAAGGTTCTGGTAATGAAAATGGATAAATAAAGAAAATAAGTTCGACGACAGTCGGACAAATGAGAACAATAAAATCTCAGTAGTTCAACTACCGAACTAATGAGAAAACAAAATCTCACTAGTTCGACGATCGAACAAATGAGAATAAAGGAAATTAAACTATGCGAAACATTTAAAGATGAATCTTAGAAAACAGATTAAATTTATACTTAATGAAGCAAAAGAAATTATTTCTTTCTTTGATGTTTAATAAAAGTTGATTTATACACAAAAAAACTAGTTTCAATTTGATTTTATAACAACTTCAAAGACGGAGGATCCCGCGCGGGTTTCAGTAATTCCGCATATCAATTCCGCGGAATTGAATGAGCTGCGGGATTGCAATCCCTAAAAGCTATTTATGACAAACTTTATGTCATTGGCCGCAGTAGGGAACACCCGTTTCCGTAAATACTGGAATAGAATAGAAAAGACAGACCATAAAATTGGGTTTTATTAGGGGATACAGACAAATCACAGCCAACATGTTTCTAGTGCTTCCTTTCCACTTGCGCTCAGAACAGTTCCAAATGAGCAACCATTTGTTCGTTCTGTAAATGGAACGAACAAAGCAAGTGTTCGTTCGCCGTTGCGTTGTTTCCATTCGAACAAACTCGTTCGCTCGCTCTGATGTTCCCATTTACTGAGCGAGCAAATGTTTGCTCGTGCAGAACTGTTTTGGTGGCCTATTCACAAACTTTTTTGGCATTTACAGTGTGTAACTAAAGAGAAAATTGCGTATCCATCCATGCTTTTCAATAAATAGGTCGGTGATTATCACTTCCATCTGTCAAAACCAGTTAGCGAATAGACCTGCTGAGCTTAAGTGGAAATGCAGCATAAGGCTGCTTTTCCACCAGAGATGTGCCATGCTACGTTGCTGTGGATGCGTTTGATATCCACCAATCAAATTCATTGGTCCACATAGCATAGCACTAGGGGAAACGGGTTCAACTAAGCTATTATAGTTATTAAGGGGATTATTACCATGCACCTTGTTTTTTATGAGTTTCCGATATATGATACGCAAAAATCAGCTATCGCGAAACATTTAATCGATTCGGGTCCTAATCGCTGGATTGAGCTCCATAATCCACAAATCATTTCGACAGAACGCCACTACGTGTAGTAGTGGCGTTCCAACATACCAACATTGGTCAAGGAAGCGATTGAAATAACCAAACACAAAAATTTCAATAGTGAGGTTTAAATAAATTTTCAAGTGTCTGGAATCAAGTTATTCGTATGTGCAAAACGCGAAAAAGTGTCGTTCCGCGATCGGATACTGTGAGTATTGTGTGTCGGGAACAGGTGCAAGTGAATAGTGATAATATGACCAATGGTAGGGGTAGCGAGCGCAGCAAAAGACGACTTCAGAGGGTAGACCGATATATCTGCCAATAACATCTACCCGCAATTACTTCATTACTCCGTGATCATGGCGCTTGCAACAGTATCTCGGATATAACAGATATAAGATATAAAATTTTGGAAACTCATAAAAAATATGGTACATGGTACCAATCCCGTTAATAGCTATAATGTTAGTGACCATGAAAGTTTAAAACTAAGCTATGTTTTTTTTATATGGGAGGATGCGTGCTATGGATGCGTGTTCTGGATGCGGGCTATGATGGCCGCAAGTGGCGTACCTATATCAAGAGAAGAGTGCCCGCGTTTGTCACTGAAAGTAGACATGCTATCGTGGAAGCAAAAAGTTATTTGTATCTCGCAATGTGCGAAGAAGGACTCATGGCGGAAGATGAATCGTTGTTCCTCTGTTTACTCCAACAAAGAAATCATAGATTCTGGATACGAAATTATATTAGTTAAAGTAGCGCAGCTACTTTGCGGCGGAGCATCTTCATAGCACATCTTACTCGCCCCGCTACATAGCTTATCATCAGTGGTGGAAAAGCAGACTTACTCGTCTATTATTATTTAACGATCACCATACGATGGTTATCCGTCCGTCTAAGTCTTTGGTGACCACCTGTTGGGCGCGCATGTACTGCTGCAGTATCACATAGTCCACGGGCAGAGTGTCGAGGTTCTCGCGGTTGTCGGACAGCATCTGATAGAAATTTTGAATTAAATAATTAATTCTTGAGCCCGAGACCAAAGCACGAATTTTAACAGATCGTATCTTCGTCGCAAGTTTTTATGGAAATTAAGCAGCGGTTCTAAGAATTTCATACAAAATTTGACGATGACGATACGATTATTGGAGCTGTCAAAATTCGTGTTTGGGCTTCTAGTCCGGGTTTCTTTGGGGATATTACTACTACACGTAGAGGGCTTTTTCAGCGATGCATTCAATGTGTGATGTGGTACACATGCTGGATCTAATCTCTTGCCAATTCCCAGCGTGTGTACAGGAAACGATTGGATCTATAGGTGTGTCATTGTATTGGGATATTGGAGGGGCTGGAATTTGGGCTATGACTCGTAAGAGTCATAGCCCAAATTCCAGTCATCAAATACCGTTTGAATAAAATTAATGAATGTATGAGACAACCGTTATTATCGCATCGTACCGTGTATCCGCCGCCACCGTCGCCGATGTAGTTCTGCGTGACGACACGGTAGATGGCGTTAGTATCGAGCGGCTCGTATCGCGGCACGTCGCACTCGATGCATCGCACAAGTGCTGATACTACTCTACTGCCGATCGGCATCGATGCGTTGTATACCACGCGCATGCCTGGATAATGACGATAAAATGATTATTTTTGTCGCGTATACACTCCGGCAAACTTTTGAGCAACGTTATTAAATACCCTAGATACACCACGAGATCTCAAAATGTGTCCCAATCAAGAAGTGCTTGAACACCACTCAAGCACTTCTTGGTTCACAATCACGCGCGGACCGTTGAAAAGTCAAGTTGCCGCAGAGGTCGTGAAAAAATAGTTATAGTATGTAGTGTCGTTTTTTCGACAGGTATTTAATCAATGTTTGTTAATTTAATACATTACTTACTATAAATTGACTTAATAGAAAATATATATAATATTCAAATGCATGGTCGGTAATATAGCCGTCTCTTTTCCTCGCGGTCCTTATAGTAGGTACCAACATAGTAGGTGGACCTACTATATTGCTAACAGCGCATTCAGAATTGCGAGTAAAGTCAAAGAAATAAGGTCTATATTCTTCCGCATATAGCAATTACTCATAAAATTTTACGAGCTTGCATTTCGAACTGTCAAAACTCTTTGACACATGCGTTTAAATTAAGACCTTGTACAGTATGCCTTAAAGGTGACTTTCAATGTTTAAATAATGCCTTATATTGTTTTGGACTACCCGATCATCTTACAGAGGGCCGTGGATCGTCCAATGTACCTTTTGAACAGGTTTTGGGCACAATTTTGTTCGTGTTGGTGTATCTAGGGTATTTAATATCGTTGGCTACGATTTATCGATTCTCGGATAAAACTTATCTTCCGTATATAAATTATTACCCAATCGGATTTGGTCTTTGTCAATTATACAAAAGTCTCTCCTTTCTATTCCCTATACTGCGAGATGAACTGCTTTCAATAAATAGTAATATGCAAGTATATGTTTTTCGTTCCAAATCCAATGTTTTATTTGATAATGAGAAAATATTGTAGTGTAATTTTGCTATTGAAGAGAAAGTAATACAAAAAAGAGAGTACTCGTTACCTCCAATCTGCAGCATCCGCCTGCTATTGAAGTTGCCGGGCGTATCCTGGTTGACCCCCACTGAGAACTCCAACGCTTCCAGCAGATACTGTCCCTTCAAGTCGTACACCTGCACGTAGTTCTCAAACGGCATTGCCATTAGTAGCGCTTGCGTCGTTACATCTACAAGTAATGCGTGAAAAAATATATGAGAATTTACTTGACATCACCGCTTTATAGCCTCCGCAGGCGAGGGCATCGAGAAGAAAATGTCTGCCGAAGATTTGTCACGGACTCAACGCACATGATGTGCGAACAATTGTCCCCGAAAATTTAGAAAAGCGCTTTTTTATCAAATCGAGAGCGCAACGCGAACTACAGTACCCCTAGCACGAACCAATATCGAATTCGAATAGTTTGCAAACCGAAATGTCAATGTCAAATTTTGTATGGAAACTTGAACAGCAGCGGCACAAAGTACGTAACGAGAACTAAAAATCAGTACACATTTGTCAATGACATTTCGGACTCGCAAACGTTACGAATTCGATAATGGTTCGTGCTACGACTACAGTTCGCTGTGTGCGTTGCTGCGCCGTGTTGTTATATGAGTTCTATTTTATCGAAGATTCCCTCGTGCGTTTGTCCTGTCCCAGTCTCTTAGTGTCCTCGGTTGTTCGGGGGACTTTTAATACCTCGTTTGCGTTACTCGATGCAGTTGTGAGCAATTTACCGGACAAGAAAGTCTGCGGGCAAAAGTTCCTCGTCTGCGCAGGCTATAAGACGGTCTTTAGTCACAGAACACCTTCACTAGAGACCGCATACAAAGGCACCCACTTGTGCCAAGCTTAAATAGTAACACTGCATAAGCGTGAGACGCCCCCTAAAGTCTCGATACAATTTTGCACCTACTTTGCCATTCGCCCGTGACATCATACTGGCGTGTCCAAGCAAGACGTGGCTTACTCTCCCCGCACACCACCGACTTTGGCGATTACGATTCCAAATAATGCGAACTCTAGGCAATATCTGAGGTCTCAACTTCACAGTTTCGGAGGCTCTTTATTATTATCTCTTTATAGGAAAGACTTTCTGGTTTGGTGGTTTGGTGGTACGCAAACACAAGCCAGTAAGGATTCGTGTTATTTCTACCCCGTAAGATCGCTCCCACCAAATACTGTTTGAATAAAATAATGAATATAAATATGTACCAACGTCTCCCTGCTGGATCTGACCAGCGGTTATGATGGAAGCTATCGAGTAAAAGAAACAGCTTTCGCCAAGCAGAAGTAATCTTTCATTTCTATATTTTCATTATAAATCCAACCAATTGAAAATGTAGCGTCGTTAAGATTATGTTCTATTCCAATATTCGAGTACCCTCCAAATGTGGGTTCGAGTGTCTTCAGATAAAAAAAAAAGATCGTCAAAAAAATTGGGAGTTGATTATTTTTCATCCCCCTAACCATTTATTATAAGGCGATTTTATTTATATATATATAATATATATTATTTATATATATAAATAAAATCCTTCTTCCTCCTCTACTCCACCTCCTTATAATAAAATTATTATAAGGAGCCCGTTGGCACAAGTGGTTAGCGCATTCGGCTGCGATCGTTGAAGTTAATTAACTTTCGCCGTGGATGTCGGTGTTCATTGGATGAATAACCAATTGTTATCTCGAGTCCTCTGTGCTTAGGAAGGCACATTAAGCGGTCGTCGGCAGTCGGTCTCGGCGGCATCTGCAGTCGTTTGCCTCCACAAATTGGCAAAGGCCCGCGTGGTCATGGCCCAATCTCCTTAATCCATCCATAGAGAAGGCCTTTGCTCCAGCACCGGGGACATTAATAAGCTGATGATGAACCCTTTATTCTCGACAAAGGTACCTTGTCTCCTTGAAAGTCCAAAGCAATATTTTTTGTATAACTCACCTCCAGGGTTGATCTGCACGCGCAGGCCGCCCGCGTTGATCATACACAAGTGTGCGTGGTGCCACGCGGGGCTTGTAGCGTTCACCATCAACTGGAAAACACTATGGATCAGGAGATCACATACATACAGAGGCGGATTATCCTTAAGGAAAACAAGCCATGTACATAGGGGCGCGAGGGTACAAAGGGGCGCGCGCGCGGAATTGTAAAATAAAGAAAAAAATATAATATAGCATAAAATTAATGGGGCCAGTAAATAAGTCACCTACGTACACAATAAAAACTATTAATTTTGCTTACAACCTCATTTTGCTACAACTTATAACAAAATATAAATTTAACGGATGGAACTGACTGATACTTACGCCTACTAACAACCTTGTCGATGGTACATGATGTCTGATTAAAGTTGGAAAGATACGACTGCAATGTTCGTCGCATCGACCGGATCGGTTTCGGTCAAACTATAGTACGACATACATATTTTTAATATAGGGGCGCCGGCGCCGATGAGAAGCTTGCCTACGGCGCTCTTAACGTTTCATCCGCCACTGCATACATACGTAGGTAAATAAATGAATATTTCTAATAAATTAGTCTAGCCCCAGCAAAAAAAATAGTTGATAACATTACTACAAATCATGAAATAGAATAGAAAAGTATTTTTTGATCTATTGTGAACAAGAACGCCTGGGATTGGCGGAACGTAAAATTACGTGCTTGTAAACATATTGTCGAAGTGACTTTACTTTGTACTGTTTGACGTTTTAATGAGAGCCCTGTGACGTCACCTGTCTGTACGACGAAAACATAAATTTATTTTCGATTTTTTTAATGATATACGCAACAGAATTATTAATATCCATTTTTTACTGAGTCACTATACACTAATAAATAACGTATGACCATTTTCAAAAACATGTCAAATAGGTAGCCTATAAGTGCCTGTCCACATCTCCACGTCACGACGTCGCCAAAGTGAAACGATCATAGAGGTATAAGAAAGGAGTGGGGAAGCGGTACTTAAAGTGTCCGTCTAGTAGAAAGAGAAAGAAGACGAGAGACCGCTAGCTATCTCTCTCTCTCTTGTGACGCATGGCTTCCAATGGCATCACATCGAAATAGTAAGATGCTTACGGTTGCCAATGCGCATGCGCGATTAGAGAGAGAAAGCCAGCGGTCTCTCATCTTCTTTCTCTTTCTATTACAGGGACACTCACTTGTAGTAGAGTCTATTCTTAAACCTCTATGGAAACGATGCCGGTAAGGTTGCACGGTGCATTGCAATAACGTGCAAAGGAGAATGCCCGATATCGTCCCAAGTGTCGTAATACGTAGAGCCCTAGAGCAAATGAAAGGTCTTATAAAATACAAATTTTATTTGTACGTCAGTAATTTTCAATTTTCAGCAAGTAAAAAGATATGAGCAAAGCTAAACGACAAAGTGCCTACCTATTAAAAATGTTTTTAACTAGGTAGGAAATAATGTAAAGTAACAAAATTTCCTTGCACATAATATAAACAAAATACCTTTACGATTATAGACAATTAATACAACATGTCTGTACTATTCATAATTATTACAAGCTTGGGAAGGCGGCACTGATAGTAAAATGGGCACTTTCCTTTACGACCAGATATGCACCGTTTCACGTTGGCGACGACGGCGACGTCGTGATGTGGAGATATGGACAGGCATTGAGATAATGATCAAAATAGTACCATTGAACGTTTTACTCACGTGCTGTAGGAATCCATCGCAGGCCCAACTGCCCATATTGCACTCGCTGCGCGTACACCAAGACCTATTCAGTGTGACCTTGGACCTTCCTAGCACCACCCGACCTACGGCGTCTACCTCTTGCTTCCACGGTTCCAGCTCTGACACTATCTTAGGATCTGTATGTGGATTAATTAAAGTTTACATTGGTGTCGATTCTGGCACGATTCTCTAAATCTAAACTTAAATTTGACAACAGTGTATCCTTGTCATTCTCTATACAGAATGAAAAGGAGAGACTGATGTTAAATTTATTTTAAGTTTCGAGAATCACGCCAGAATCGACACCTTTATCCGATTAAAACTATAATTGCTAGGTATTTCTTTTTTCAAATGTTTTACCATACTTGTAATGGCTGATTTCCAGAACGACAAGTAAAGTAGCGAGGTAACTTAAGGTCTTGGCAAGTTCTTTCATTTGGACTGGATAGCCAGCTAAATACATATTGCTTAACTCTCCTATTTCTAAACTCGCTACTGTAGGTACTTACCGAAGTGTAAATCAGCCATAAAAATATTGTGTTTCACGTTGTGGGTTACCTATAATGCGAAGAGATGGCGCTGCCTAGCAGCCTTGGAAATACTAAAAGAAATTCGGTACAGTCATTATGGTCTTGGTAGCATAAGTGGTAAGTCCGTGCGCCCTGATAGCGGAAGGTGCAGGTTCGAACCCTGCCTGGCGCTTGGACCGAGTGGATATTTTTATAGTAAATTTTCTTTAGAACAAAAGATATTATACAGTGTTTGGTAAGTACGCTAGGCGAAGGTTACACCTAGAATTTTCTACTCGGTTTGGGAAATTTATGTAAATATTTACATCATTCTGTAATGAGAGTTGCCTGGATTGGCGGTTAAGGTGGCAGTACTGTGACGAAAGGTCTACTCATCCGTCAAACAACCTATGTCGTGAAAGTCTATAGATCAATTTAAATGCTCGTTCGATTAATTCGCCCCAAAAACTTCATACAAAAGACCTCATGTCACAATGGCGCCAATTGGTAGCGTAATTTTTCCTAAAGACCCTCATTGGCTTACGCAATATCACACCTCTGGGACACATACACAGCATACACTATGGTAGCATAGCAATGTATACCTTGGACAATCGATGATCCTAAGTAGATGGGCTGCCCATTCCAACTTCTGAGTTTACCCTTGTCGTCGAAATACAGTTTAATATTCCCCAGGTACCGCGTATAGCATGACGCCTGCACCACTGGAATCTAAAAGAAAACAAGAAAGCGACTTTACCGTGTGTACCCATCCTAAGAAAAGTTGTAAGAATAACATAATGGTTCTCCACCTGTAACGTAGTTTTCTGAAACCTACAATGCGCCTTCGCACCTAAATTCAAACTATTGGGTATTGTAACGTAGTATTCTCATATGGGTTAGGAGGAATGTTATCCCAGGGAATTGATAGAACACTACGTTACACACCCCTAAAATTTTTTTGGACTATTTATTTTTTTATTATGTGGTATTATTATAAGTATAGATTAAAAAATACATATAACCCCAAATTTTCTCTTCTACCACCTGCCCCTATTTTTATGGCGGTACGAAGTTCGCTGGGTCAGCTAGTCATTATATAATATATCTTGCGCAAAAAACTTCTTTCTTCTAGACACGAAAGTACCAATTTAGAATAAGTAATTCATGACCCGCTTAAATATATAGTCGCGCAGACGCCTTAATGACATACTAAGCGGCAAGACGCAGCGTCTTCACTCCTTGTCGCCCCCGCTCCCCTCAATCGCTCTAGCTGGACCAACGTGTCAATGTACCTATCTATTTAGAGTTTAGATAAGATAAAAACTCTTTATTACACAACACAATAACAAAACAAGTAGAAGAATACAACATTGCACAAAGGGCTTGAGTAAATAAAACGAGTTAATCTAGCTCACCCTGTGCCCGTCGGTCCTGGTGACTACAGTAGGATACTCGCTAGCAGGCCGGTCGCCGCTAGGGGGCGTGCCTGTGTACAGCAGAGTGTGAGAGTGCGCGCCCACTATTATGTCTACGTCAGAAGATATCACCGATGCCATATACCTGGAGGAAATACAACTTTGAATCAATGATTACATTTTTTTTTATAGATAGTTCAACAAATGACTCCGCCCCACCTGATGTTAAGTGGAGGTGAAGTCCAGACGCGAAGATAGCTGATACAGCAGTTCTACCTGCCATACCAGCCATCCTCACCCTGCCGGCCTGCATGTTGCTTATTCACGCCTCTTTTAAAGCATGAATTAGCGACTGTCGTGCGAATCCGGGGTGTTTGATATAGAATTCAGATTCAGGAAAAAATAATCTTTTTTAGGTTTAACAGCTTTCTATTTGCAGGAACTGAACACATTATGACCTGGCCTAGCAGTAAGGTTAAATGTCAATTGCATACGAGAGAGAAAGAGAGAGTTCGATTACGGTGCGAGAGAGACTTAAACGATCACATGACGCACGGAGCGCACACGAGGAGAGATATTTTGCCGAAATTATTTAACAATATTATAGAAACGCCAAGAAAGTTACATAATTTTGCTGTAGACGCTTACCTGAAATACGACACTTTTGTTACTTTTTTTAAGTGTGGATCTGGTGTCATTTGCGAAGTTTTTAACCGAAATTTTGTCATTCACTTTGTAATCACAGCGTGTTCGAAACAATGCTGTTTGAAAATTACACACAATAGACGCGTGTGCGTAATTTTGGTTCCGACACTTTTTGAGCGCGATTGTAAGTCTACTTCTTAGGGTTCCGTACCTCAAAAGGAAAAAAACGGAACCCTTATGGGATCACTTTGTTGTCCGTCCGTCCGTCTGTCAAGACCGTAGACCGACCGAGGCATCAAACTGAAATTCATATCTAATACTCATGTCTACTGCCCCTTGGAGCTGTGAAAAATCAAACTTCTAAGCCAAAGCAATCAAAAGATACAGCCGTTTATGCCGCAAATTTCCGCAAATATTTTAAACACGCACGGGAATCAAAACCTACAGGGTACTTCCAGTGAACTTAGAATCTTGAAATTTAGTACAAAGTAATGTCTTATAGTACAGATAAAGGCAAAATTGCGAAAAGCGTAAATTTTTAGTTACATAATATAATAAAAAATATTTTTGAAAATTTTCTAAGTTACTACCGCTTTTCTCATCAACGCGTAGAGGTATTAAATTGAGTTTGTACGGAACTCTCGGTGCGCGAGTCCGACTCGCACTTGACCGGTTTTTTTATAGGTAAATGGTCGAGCACTATAATTTAATTCTGTATCAAGAGAAGAGGTAATTACAGATCGGTTGTAAGTCCGACGTGTGACAAGACGATGATGATGTCGACTTCCTGCTCGGTCAATATGGCCGCCTCCCTGTTAATTGCCTGCACCTCATCCTCCATGATCACTCGCCCGATCGGTGCCGAAAACTGGAATATTAATTATTACATTTTTATCTACAGCATTTTTATGTTAAAAGAGTGGGAAATGAGCATATGGCCCGCCTGATGGTAAGTAGCTACCATAGTCTATAGACGCTTGCAATACCAAAAATATCACTCATACCATTGTCTACCCTGACCCAATCCCCTACCACGTGGAGCCCTGGATCTCACCACCAAAGAGTAGTGTTATTTTAATGTAGACTTCTGTAAGGTTACCCAGACGGGCGCTCCAATTCGAGCGCAAAATCAGCTATGGCCAACCTCTCTTAGCTTACATTACCATTTAGAGACCGCGTATAAATGCACCCGCTTATGCCAAAGTTATGGAGGAATATTGTAAGAGCGCGTGACACGAACCCCCAACGTCGCGATTAATCAGTACCCGAAGCATGAACCACTAGCGAGAAAGTGTTCGTATCGCCATGTCAAAGTTTCTACGAAAACTAAGCATCGGAAGTAAAAACAAATTTACTTCCGATGATATTCTTTCCAAAGAAACTTTGACGATGGCGATACGAATAGTTTCTAGCTAGTTAGATGTTCGTGCTTGGAGTTGGATTACAAATTGCGACTTTTTTTACACATACGCTGGTATTATAACTATCAGGGGTTAAAGGGAACGGAATATTACCTACGTATTGGTTTAGTTCTATTAATTACCTAATTATTGTAATTGCCAGAAGCTGCTACTCACGGTTCTAAGTAAAACACCAATAATGCCGATCTTGCGGCCCTGTCTTTCGACGACCACGTGATTCTTGACATACCGCCCCAGTTGCGGTTCGAAGGTTGTGTTCACGTTAGCACCTAACATCGGTGCATCCAACCGCTCCAAGTAAGGCAGCAAGCCCTCTATTCCGTGGTCGAATTCATGATTGCCTAGTACCTGGAAAAAAGTAGATCACATAAGGGAAGATACGGCACTCGCGGCTCAAAAGTGATCCGCTTAAATTGTGGTGCAGACCTTAATTCGCTTTAGTCACAATTAGACATTCAAACACGCTGCATGTGCACTCAATATAATAATATTGCGGATATTCTGTGTTTTATCAAAGCAACGAAGATAAAACAATGCCTTCGAATACCAGGATTCGAATTAGGCGCAGGAGTCTTCTCACTGGACCTTAACATCCATATATCACTGGGCAGCACTGGGTAATCACAGCTCAATATTCCAATGCGAATGTATAGCCATTACTCAGGCCGCCACCGCTGTTATTAATAGGAAAGTCATAAACTACAAGATACGTATATTATCTGATAGTATGGCTGTCCTAAGAGCCCTAGATAGTAACAGCAAAACTTCTGGGCTAGTATATGAATGTCACTTGGCATTGGAGTACATTGCAACGGATAACAAGGTTATCCTCCAATGGATCAAGGGACATAGCGGTTCTGTGGGTAATGACGCAGCCGACGAACTAGCTAGAAGGGGATCATCACAGAGAGTGGAAGGCCCTGAGCCACTTCTGCCATTACCTTTCAATCAGTTTCGTACATGAGTGCGGCAACGAACCACACAGAACCATAACACCCGTTGGGCGAATACCGAAGGCTATAGGCAATCTAAGGATATTTTTCCCAGCCTCAACCCCAGACTAACTAGAAAACTACTAAATCTCAACCGAAATAATCTCCGAGTAATGCTAGGCACCTTAACAGGGCACTGCCTACTTAACAAGCATTTACTAACCATACGCGTTACAGATAGCTCTCTATGCAGAGGATGTCTGGAACCAGATGAAACGGCCGCTCATGTGATCCTGGAATGCACGAGCGTTGTAGAACACCGGGCATCAATCCTCAGGAAGCCGAGGACGCTCCTAGAAGCCTATAAGAGCCTCAGGAGGCTACTGCGCTTCTGGAAGGAGCTGGGCTGGCTGAGCTAGCTAGCCCGACATACCCTGCACGCACAATGGACCAAGTACGGAGTCTACGTGCGGAAACGGGGGCCCACAACAAGTAAAAAGATAGGGGTGAGTGGGGTAATTACGAACATCGGGTAAATGCGGACACTGTTGTTGGCTGCTCTAGCCAACCCCGCGCCCCGCCACTTTCATAACGGAGTCGAGTTAGCTATCTTTAGTGCTCGGATTGATGTCAACACGGGAGGCCGCGCCTCCCTTCTCAAGGTAAGATTAATTCTTTATTTTGAAGTGGTTTCTTGTAATTTTTGCTTGTTTATATGTAGCGTGTCAATGATATGATATTAATTTAACTTAAAAACTGTATAAGATATGTATTAATACTGTTAATCACCTCTAAAAATGTAGAATAATAAACTATCACTATTATTGCCTAACCTAAAATTATTTGCCGCAAAATATTGACATCCAGTTGGGTTAATTACGGACTGTTGTCTTGGGGAAAAAAAGGACGTCTCGTGTCGGACCAGAAATGAGCACATGACAATTGCACAGGTACAGTACAGGGACTACAAGCCGAAGCTACATTTGCGATTTCTGTAGCGACAAATAATGATAGTTCATTATTTTTTATATTATTGTTACGTTTCAAACTTTTTTAATGTCGCAACTGCAATAACAGTGCCATTCGCAATTACCCCACATGCTGTTCGTATTTACCCGGTAGGCTTCGGGTAAAGACGGACAGCAAGGGTTTTGTTTTTTGATAAAAGATTGAAGTTGATTAGTTTTTTTATATTTATATTTGTTAATTTCATAAGGTAAAGACCAAAGTTTAATAATTAATAAAGAAAGACTGATTTGAGATCTTTTATTTAAGGATTCCCTTAGGTGTCCGCAATATCCCCACTCTTCCCTACAGACGTGTGCGTGTGTGAGAGCTGCTTTTGTACTTGCGTTCGATCATATTTTATTTGATGCTAGTATGAGCGTAAGTATCTACCGTTTTTGTTTTAATCTAAGATCACATCAGTCGCCACATTAGTGGGTAGGAATGAACTTGTTCGGTGCAGTTCGATGTCAAGCTCGTAGGTCGGCGCGCGTCATCCTTGAAAATAGGTAATAACATAAAACAGCTTTTCATTCTGATAACTTAGACGTGTCCACACCGGGTGCGTGGGCTCGCGTGTCCGACTCGCAGTCGCAGTGCACCGCGGACACAGAATAGAATAATTCTTTATTGCAAAACTGTTACATTTAGTGATAGATTAATAGTGCACACAATTGAGACAAACAAGTATCCTCATTGGGCATGAAATAGACATTTTTAATAAATTATAATTAAAATATCCCTTCACACTATAAAATTCATTACATATTATTAACCTTTGCTTCAGGGACCTTCCAAACTTATATTCAGATAGTAAACGCAGATAAGGCGGTAATTTTTTTCTTTTTTTCTTATTGGCTTCGCACGGCTTGTGCATTTAGCCAATGTCAAGTGTTAAAATGTTTACAAATACTATAGCACTCGTGGTCAAAGTAATAAATCAAGTGGCAGTCAAGTCAATCCCCCTTTCCCTATGTTTCAGTAAAGTGAACGTCGAAAAATACTTTCCGCTATTTTGTTTCACTTGCCAACGCTTGTGCATGTTCCCGAACAATAATCCGTTACCCTAGTATCCCATAACACAAGCCTTACAGTGCTTACTCTGGGACTAGGATAATTTGTGTAAGTGTTGTAAATATTTATTTATTTTATTTAATTTGCTGCCAACAACCTTCGTTCTTAGTTTTGTCTAAACTGTGAGAATCCCACAACAAAAACAGATTAACTTACATGCGCAGTATGAGGCAATCGGTTCATGAAGTGGTAGCTGACGTTCCAGCGTAGGAAATTGTACCAGATGGTGCCTTGGAAGGTGTCGCCGCCGTTCAGCAGCAGAGAGTGCGGCTCCGCTTCGAACGCTTGGTGGACGGCTGTGTAGAGGCGCGCGTAGCCCCCAATACACGCGGCCTCCTCAGGAACGCACACTGTGCCCGATGGACTGGTCTCCTCAAAACTTTAATTAGTAAAGCATATTAGCATCATTATCAGCGTATTAATGTCCACATTGTTGGGCCACAGGCAAAAGCCTTCCGTATAGATGGAATTGGGAGATTAGGCCATGATCCACGATGCGGGCCCAGTGCGGATTGGTGGGTGCTAACGACTGCAGAATGCAGCCGGGACCAACGGCTTAACGTGCATTCCGAACCACAGAGCAGCTCGAGATAGTAAATTTTTGGCCACCCATCTAATTATCGACCGCTGCGAAAGTTGCTTAACTTCAACCTTCAACCGTAGGAACCGAACGCGCTAACCACTTGCGCGTTCGAGCTCCACATATATTAGCATATACAAATAAAATTCAAGCACGGGAGAAAGGTATATAATAAAAGGCAGACGTTACTCACTGACTGATCTAAAGTCACATAGTGTGATTAAAACTCAATGGTAGTTGTAAAGTTCAATTTCAAGAAGTTTTAAAGCATCGAGCGCAACTACATCACACTGCCATTTGTTCCTACTCCGCCTCCTGCGCTAACTTTAAAATCGCCAATTTGAATCGAACTAAGATATTGCTACGTGTCGGGATGGGGTTCGAAATTATATGCCAGTTCACGCTAGACAGTTCTTTATTCACCACACAGTTCAAACAGCTAACACACAATGTTCATCATAAAACACTTACTAAACACTGTGTTTCACTATTCAAGTCTTTAAACAATCGCACTTGAACAGATAACTTGCACTTTGATAGCATTTGTATTCGATCCGAAATCGCTGTTTAAATTAAACTGTTTCTGCGCGGCGCCGATCGCGCTTACACAGTCAGGTCATAAGTATTGTTACACACTTAGATTAAAACAAAAAGGGTAGATACGGTACGCTTATACAATTGCATCAAACAAAAACTGATCCCACGGCAGCGCGAACGGGACGGTGATCCGCGTCACTGCATTACCGACCCGAACGAAACAGCACGTTAAGTTTCAACGGCAGCGTGAACGAGACGGCGAGATCCGCGTCACTGCACTACCGACCAATCACGCGACCAGTACTCGACGTCACTACCGAATAAGATTCAAAACAAACAGCATTTTTTATGAAAAAATATATTTTATAGTACTTACGAATGAAAAGTGATGCCGTGGGTTTTATTTTTAGTTCTTGAGCAATTTGAGCACTTTTTAAAAACACACTTAGGCATTGTTTTAGCATTTAAACACAAAATATTAACAATATTTCTTTTTGGCATTCACATGTACGTCGTTTGCATGTCAAGTTGTGACTAAAGCAATTAGGGTCGTGGACCACAATTTGTGCGGATCACTTTTGTGAGGCTAGTGCCGTATCTACCCTTTTTGTTTTAATCTAAGGTTACACAGTAAAAACTTACTAGAATGCTGGCCACAAAAAGGGTTTATTGAATTCGAATTTCGAATTGTTCATGAAAATAAAAATTTAACTTTTTAAATATGGAGTGGACGCTTAAAGAAGACCGTGTTGCAGTTATAGCGTTGCATCGTTGCGGTTACGCGCCAATTAAAATTTTTGACATACTGAAAATTTGAATATAGCCAGAAGATTCGTTTATCGTACCGTTCAGGTACCATCAAACGATACAATGAAGACTCTAGTGTAGACGACAGGTCAAGAAGTGGTCGCCCACGGTCTGTTAGGACTCCAGCAGTGATAAAAGCTGTGAAGGCGCAAATTCAAAGAAATCCCAAACGTAAGCAGAAACTGTGGGCCCTTTAGATGGGGTTAAGCAGAACCACGGTGAAAAGGGTGTTAATTGAAGACTTAGGGCTTCGGGCATATCGAAGAAAAACAGGAATTCGTTTGAATGCTCGTCTAATGGCCCTGAGACTGAAAAGATGCCGCGCTTTGTTGAAGCGGTACGGGGCAAAAAAATATCGGAAAGTTCTTTTTTTGGATGAAAACATGTTTACCGTAGAAGAGAGCTACAACAAACAAAATGATAAGGTGTACGCACACAGTAGTGAAGAAGCGAGCAACCGTATTCCGCGTGTCCAACGAGGTCATTTTCCATCCTCACTCATGGTATGGTTGGGAGTTTCTTATTGGGGCTTAACAGAGGTACATTTTTTAGAGAAAGGTGTAAAAACGAATGCAGTTGTGTATCAAAATACAGTCCTGACGAACCTTGTGGAACCTGTTTCTCATACCATGTTCAATAACAGGCACTGGGTATTCCAACAAGATTCGGCGCCAGTTCATAGAGCGAAGAGCACACAAGACTGGCTGTGAAATCGACTTCATCCGGCACAAAGACTGGTCCTCCTCCAGACCAGATTTGAGTCTGTTAAATTACAAGATATAGCAACACTTGGAGGAAAAGGCTATCTCAAAGCCTCATTCCAATTTGGAATCACTCAAGACATCCTTGATTAAAGCAGTCGCCGATATTGACATGGACCTCGTTCGTGCTGCGATAGACGACTGGCCGCGCAGAGTGAAGGCCTGTATTCAAAATCACGGAGGTCATTTTGAATAAACTTTATTGTCATAAGAATCTATGTTTTGTTAAGTTCATTTTGGTATATAAATAGTTACATAATGAATAAACTTGTTTCAATTATTTTATATTAAACATGTGACAGCATTTATGACATGACTAGGTATATACGCCAGTCAACGCATTCTAGAAAAGTCCCGTTAAATTGAGAAGTAACTAGCATCCGCGAGTGCGTACACCTACGTAGGTAATGCGTATAAGTTGTAAACAGTGCAGATGTCGTTGCACTTTCTCCCTTACGCCGCACTGCATAAGGCTCATATTAGAATGAGCAACACCACAGACCTTTATTACATAGACCTTTATCATTCACGTAGCGACCCGCGGTGTTATGGTAAAATCTGTCTAGTATTTTCGTGGTTTTTGTTTCGAGAGCGTATGTGACAATTTCAACCCACAGCTCAAACCACTGAGCAGATACTAATGATGACGTCGACATTGTGTGGATACTCCAAACTTCCCCTTTCTGAGAGGTGAAAATATGAACTGTATGTTTGTATAAGACTTTGACAATTTTTAAGACAGAAATCTGAATCATATCCAAAAATACTTTTGTATTGTATATTTCTCTAGATAGCAAGAATGATAGGTCTCTACTCTTATAGTTAATTTCGTTATCGTATCTGCAGTCAGTTACTTAGTTTTTAATTTTATTCCTTAGAGTAGGACAAAAGAAGACAAATTTTGCCCGTGGAGCTCCATCACCACGTGTTGAACGGAGCAACCCTGCACCTTGTGAAGTAGGTACTCCCATCACACCAGCTGAGTCCTCTTTATAAGAAAGTCTAGGGCGGAAAAAAATCCAACTAACGGCCATGACTTTTGGTCACGTCCAAATCGTCAGTCTTTTGAATAGGAGCTACTGGAGCTACCTAGACATTCGACCCTACATAGAGGGCTCAAGTATGGTGAGAGTACTTCACAAGATGCATGGGCAACCTTATGTTATTCTGCCACGCTCAAATAAATCCAAAAATCTCCGCTTGAGCTATATTGGTATTTCTATACTATTACTGGTATTTAAGTTCCAAACGGCAATCTTGTGCACCGAAAACACATTTTACCTACATGCTAAATACATATACAACAGATTACTTACTGCGCATGGAAGTCATTGAAATGTACAATGTTCAGCTCGTACAATTCTTCATTTTCAACACTCACTGCCCCCAAAGCTAATGTAAGACATAAAAAAACCGTATAATTCATCACTAAAGTCCCTGTTCTGACACAATTTCCCTAGTTAGTAGTAGACTAGGTTCCCCACACGCTAAAATATATTTTGCAAACTCAATGCCAAAGAAAAAGTACCTTAGCCCTGCGATCAATGCAAAGAATCTTATCGCAAAAACTAATAATAATATTATCTTCGTACACGTATTCAGAAGACATTATTAATTTATGATAAATAAAATATTTAATGATAAAACAGCATAACAAAAAATACTTCAAAGGCTTGTTATTCGGCTAAAAGTCTAGAATAAAAAAACTATTTTTTCGTCCTGGTTTAATGGAGGCCTGGTTAAATCATTAAGGCCATAAAGAACTCACGCCGCGTTTTTCTCCCGCGCCTGCGGCTCGACTCGCGTAGAAAAGCAAAACTCACGGCGCAATTGCGCCCGCACAGCGCGCGGGTGTTGCGCCACCCGTTGCGAGGGCGCGCAGGACGCGATCATCCGCAGACGCGGCGAGCTTCGCCCAGCGCGGGACCGCAGAAAACTGCGGTTTCGTGAGTATAAAGTACGGTCGCCGGGCCGAAAGAATTTCATACAATGACCCCACGCTACCCATCTTTATCGCTCGCGCGCAATTATGTTGCTGTCTCGCTTTCACACGTACCGTGTGTAGTACTGTGTGTGTGCAAGCGTGACAGTAACATAATTGATCGAGCGTTAAGGATGGGTAGCGTGGGGTCATTGTACGAAATTCTTGCTGCCCGGCGACCGTACTTTAGAAATAAAACAATTCTGCAGCCGCCCGTGACGGTTGTGAGGAAAATACCGCTCCGTGAGATGAACCTATTTGTTACACTGAAAGACATTTTTTTTTAAATCTGAAGTTCACCTCTAATAATACCCTTTTTTCAATTGGTTTTTATCTAATCTAATATATAAAATTCTCGTGTCGCGGTGTTTGTGGTTAAACTCCTCCGAAACGGATTTCTCGATTCTCATGAAATTTTGTGTGCATATTGGGTAGGTCTGAGAATCGGACAACATCTATTTTTCATCCCCCTAAATGTTAAGGGTAATCCACACCTAAATTTTTTTTTTGCAATTTAGATAATTTTATTTTTAAATTTTTTTTATGATACAGCATTAGTAAATACATACAACCCTAAATTTTCACTCTTCTACCACCAACCCCTATTTTTTTATGGCGGTACGAAGTTCGCTGGGTCAGCTAGTCTATTATATAAAATTCTCGTGTCGCGGTGTTTGTAGTTAAACTCCTCCGAAACGGCTTTCCCGATTCTCATGAAATTTTGTGTGCATATTGGGTAGGTCTGAGAATCGGACAACATCTATTTTTCATCCCCCTAAATGTTAAGGGTAATCCACCCCAAATTTATTTTTCAATTTTAGATATTTGTTTTTATATTTTTTTATGATACATCATATAAAAATACAAACATCCCTAAATTTTCAACTTTCTACCACCAACCCCTATTTTTTTATGGTACGAAGTTCGCTGGGTCAGCTAGTAATCATATAATGGGCGTGCCAATACAGCAACCCAGAACCCTTAGTCCGTTTCTGACCATCCGATGAGTATCTTAACGTTCAATTAATCAGATAAGATTAAAGCACACTCTTGATATTGCTAATCCTTCAATCCCTTTGAATTATAACGCCTTTAAGTCAATAAACGTTTATCTAATCAATTCAATAATGTTTAATTCATACAGCATACTTGTATTATTGCAACTACTTCATCATTGTATATTATTTTACTACATATAACGATATGTATAGGACCGTAATCCCTTAAAAAGGTACGAAATTAATTTAAGTATACAAAAATCACGTCTAGATTTTACTTTTTTAAATAGTGTCTTAAAAACGAAATAAAAAGCCATGCATCAAGTAACTACGCTACGGGAAACTATCCAATTAATTTCCAACCTTAATGCTTAGATTCAGAGTTCCAAACTGATTACAGAAGCCTGACCTGATGTGGTGTTATGTGTACTGGTTAAAGAAAAAGTTAAAAACAGGATTCATATTTACTAAAACATTTATTAATTAATATTTAAGATAATACACTTTGCTACAAATAATTTAAGAGTGACGTTATAAATGCCGCATATGAATTATAAAAGTTGTAAAAGATTAGGAACAATGTATTATTCAAAATAAATATATACATAGTAATGTTTGCCTATTTTTAATTGTAAAATAACGGGAAAACGTTAATAAACAATTTATGCCTTACACCACACATTATGTAAGTTGATATAATAAGTAAACATCGACCCTTTATCAAGATTTTACTTAGTCAAATAAACAAGTGGTTATTAAACCACTTGTTAATGTTTTGGTATTAACATGCGTTCCCGCTATACTAAAATAAAACGCTAGACCAAAAAACGATGAAAAAACGCAAGTGAAATGCATACGGCACCGTTTAACATTGCGACCATTGTTAAACTTGTGTATGAGGATTCTTACTTTTCCATTTTTGTGGTTTATAAATAGTATGTGTGTTAATGCCTAACCACCGTATTCAGATACGTCAATCAAATAGAATGTTTGCGTCACATGGCGTCTTTTTCGATTGTTATCGCATAAAAGTGACAGCGGTGTCGATTCAGCTATGATTTTCTAAACTTAAAACTAAATGTAACTTCAGACTCTCATTTTCATTCTACATAAAGAATGAGGATACATTATTGTCAAATTTCTATGTCCTACTCGAACAAAGAAATTTGGTGACTCATGTCTTTGACGTACTATTCGTAAGTGGAATTCTTTGCCCGCGCACGTGTTCCCTCCTTCCTACAATCTGGGATCCTTTAAGAGGCGTGAAGAAGATTTTTTGCAGGCCAGCAAGGTAAGGAAGGTTGGTGTGGCAGTTTATAACTTCTGTACCAGTTTTTCTCGCGTTTGTACTTTATCACCACTTAACATCAGGTCGGTTAGTCATTTGCCTACCTCGCTATATATAAAAAAAATATGTTTAGGTTTAAAGAATCATTTCAGAATCGACAACAGCTCCAACTTAAATTAACTTTTAAAGTTGATTGACATTGAGCCACGGCGATCATACCTTGTTATGTGGTTGGCAAGGGGATGGCCATCTCCAGAGTATCGCAGTGGTGAAATTACGTGGTGTTATCATACTTACGACTTTATGTAATAAACAATATGATTAAAAACATAAACTTAATACCAACAAATGAGACCGGCATTATGGAGGTCTTATATATCATAGTTTTATTTTTTACATTATGTTTCCACACCATTCATATTTAAAGTGATTTCGACAAAATCGTCACTACACTAGAATTTATATAATTTAAATAATTACGCATACGCGTGAATCTTAGATATTTTTTGTGAATTTATATTATATTACTAGATACTGCATATTTCTTAAAATATTTTTTATTTAATTAATGTAGACAAGGCACTTTTATAAAATACAAAATTTAGAGTTGACACCATTTTAATAGAACACAATTTTTAGTGCAATTTTCTTACAGTTAACAAATTAGAAAAATAAAATATTATATGTAGGTAGTATTTTATGATGTACAAAACGCACTAAAAACTAAATAACCCAATTTTTGTATACTGTTATTTTTTCATACGAGCCATTATTAATCATCTTTTAACATTATTTTTAGGAAAAAAAATTGCACAATTTGCTAGAGTTAAGGAACTGACTTAATTTAGAAAAATAAAACAAAAAAGTACGATGAAAAACAATGATATAATTAGAGATGCCTATCTTAAAAATTAAAAACGGCTTCATTAAGAAAAAATATCACGGGATTCATATTCCTCTACTTTGAAAATTATGATCAAAACTTGTATCATACCTTTATGAGAAGAATTTAAGCTTTTTTTTCAGTAAAACTGTGAACCAAATATTCGAACGAAGATTTGCTGAATACACACTGTATATCAGAAATAAAAAAGTGCACTACTATATAAATTTATGACACTTACAATAAATTAATACTTTTAACAAGCCTTAGTTCGTAAAAAAATAAACTAGAATAACGCCAAACATGTGTATTATATACATCTAATATTTAAATATAACAGAATAAATAAACAATATCATCACATTATCCTTGTATTTCATTTAGTGACCTAGCATACGGAAACCCTTGAAACATGGCTATTCGCAATTGCCTTAGCTAACTTTGATAGCAGTCTCTTGAGTTCATTCTCTATAGAGCATGATGAGGCTAATAAATACTATTGTTAAATTTAGTTATGGAAAATACATAAACAAACGATACTTAAAATTGTAAGCATTATCTTATAATTCAATAACAATTTTCCATTGTCCTTTAGCTATTCATGTGTGATAATAAGAATATTTTTATTGCTAGATCGCTAAATAATGTAAAGGATTACAAATTAAGCGATTTTACAAAAATCAACATATTTGCATTGTTCTTAATAGCATTTACTCTTAGCTTTTTTGTACGTAATGAAACAATACGTCATATTTACCTATTTTTAGATGTAGCAGACAAAATTATTAAATTTTCCAGTCGAACCCTAGCTATTAGAGAACGCTTGTCGTAGTACAGTCTGAATGTTAATATGTCTAAATCTACAACGATAATTAGGATAAACTCTTATGAACTTCCAAGGACCAAGCTCTAGCGATTATCTAGCTTACATCTTGTTCGACTGAACACCTGCAGATGTGAACTCATTGTTAATGGTTCCCCTGACTAGGAACCGTAAATTCTTGTTATCTCTGCTCTTAATTTCAGCAATTTTCTTTATTGCAGGCGAATAACACTTTATCTTCCACTTTAAACTTGGAATGCCTGATTGAATATTTGAATTAATCTCTAAGCGTAAAAGGAAAATTAAAAAAAATATCTTCGTTCAAGGCCCGGTTCTAATCTACATCTACTTCTTTACAGATTTGGTATTACTTTTTATATTATTCGTGTCAATATCTATTTACTCATTTAAACCTTCGCAAAGATTTATATTTTTGTCATGTCATAATTGAAATAGCAATACACTACTTATAGAAATGAAACTATTTATGAGTGAGTAAAATTTAGATTACAAATTTATTCTATTTATTTATGTAACATACAATGAACAAACTTATAATAATAAATTTTCCAACAATAAGTACTATAGACTTATCCGCAGTAAACAAATATTCCAATTGTTTAAATAAACGATTGTTGAATCTGCTAAAAGCCATGTGAATATTTTAAAAATACACTTCTTGTCATATGGTCCGCCAAGCAATTAGTGAAGAAAATCCATGAATTAAATATTTCAAATTAGACACAATAACTGTAATATTCCTAGAAACGTTATTACTTACAGTGTAAAGCGCTAGCGTACCCTTTCGATACCTGGTCTTTTGTCAAAAAGTACAAAGTGCAAAGCAGTTTCTTTCAATCGCTTAAAGATTACGTTTACTTCAAAGTTGATAGAATTTTTTATTTTTTTACTCAGTGCGCTGTTTGTTGACCTTAATGTGAAATGAAAATGTTTCATTGGATTGATTCGCTAAACATTGTTTATATTGCAATCCTTTCACAGTACTTTGTGAGAGTTAAAAATCATTTTTCGCTAGCAAAACAATAAGTCTCAGTACAGCTTACTTGTGTATGATCCGACGTTTAAGAGTAGGGTGTGCGAGGATTCACGTTGATCATTTCAGTTGTGCTGCAAAACGAAAGAACGTTTTAAATATTTCACCTATACATGATATTATAATTAACTAGCTGTGCCCCGTGGTTTATTAGGGATATTTTTTCGGCAGGCTACGTTTTAGCCTATGTGTTAGCTAACCAGAGTGTCAGCTAACTCCATACCAAATTTTATTAAAATCAAAGAAGTAACAAACATACACAGTCACAAACTTTTGCGTATACATATTAGTGTGATTACCAATATACTAGAAATATTGACAGCAAAAGTACTACTGCAGAAGATTGTAGAATACTAAACTTTCACATTATTACCAGAAAAAAAAAGTATACTAAACTTTTACAATATTACCAGACAAAAAAAATTAAACCGTATGTTTACAGATGTAGTTATTACTTATGTGATATTTATAATAATGAATGTTGTTTCTCCCATTATCAACGTGTACAAATTATGCTATGCTACTAAAAATACCAAACTCTATGTTCATTAAAAAAACTACAGCAATTGAATTACAAGATGTCTTTTTTTATAATAAGGAACTCCTAATTGAACGCCGAAAAGTTCTTATACGAAACGCACGTCGTTTCATTGGTAAAAATATTCGTTATTAATCTAAACATATTGATTTAATCTGAACTTATATACCACGTAAACTATTATATGTCATCTCGAAATTGGAAATATAAAACAAAATGTATTTTTGAGAATAAGTTAATATTTTATTTTAAACTTTCATGGTCACTAACATAGTAATTTATAAAGAAAATTTTACTAGAAAAGAAATCCACGCGGGCCAGTCAACAGACGGGACTCGAACCCTCTCTATCCGGGCGGATGCACTGACCACTATACCACCGCGGCCCTAACGGCCCTTTCGAATTCTTTCTAGTATTTCTTCGGCTGTAAGGCAGCGCCATCTCTTCGCAATGTAGGTAACCCACAACCCCACAATTCCCCCCGGATAACGAAGGGTGCAGGTTCAAGTCCCGTCTGCAGCCTGCTCAGCGTAAAAAGTTTTTTTAGTAAAGCTACTTTAGATTTAAATATCTAGCAGAACGCTTAAAAAATAGAGATATAACTATATCTATATTTTTATATAGTAATTTATGTTATAAACGGGATTGCTACCATGTAAAAAATAAAGCAGCAATCTCGTAAATAACATATATTCCTTTCTTTTATCGATTTTGCAAGTTCTACAAACTCACGATTGTTCGGGTGCATTGTGCGTCGTCGGCTGGTCCACTAGGAAGAAGGACGGGGCGAGAGGAGGGGGGTATCTGTCATAATATTGTCAATTTACGTTTGAGGTTTATGAACTTTGCACGTGATCCATAATTATCGATCTGCTCGAAGGACCAACATTTTTAATGTTAATCCATTTTCCCACAATTTTGTTTTAGTCATTAAATTTAGACTATGTAACATTTGTGTCTATTCTGGCATGATTCTCTAAACTTAAAACTAAATTTAACATAAGTTTCTTCTTTTCATTCTGTATCGAAAATGACAAGAATACACTATTGTCAAATTTAATTTTAGGTTTAGCAAATCATACCAGAATCGACAACATTAAATTACTATACCTCAAAGTTAGTAAAGCACACTACAACTAAGGTTACTTGACCATGAATAATCTTCATTACAATAAAGAAAGTCTTTTTAAGTAGCATGCAAAGTTTTTTGGGAGTAACATATAATATTGTCAAAGTATCCACACAACTCTGCCCAATTTTGTACCTCAAGTATTATCATACACATAAGTTGTAGAAAAATAGACCGAAATCAACAAAAATATAAATGGAGTTTATTATACACTTGTACAACATAAAAATGTCAATACACATGACATACATACATACATACATACAGATACAGATGATATACATTATGGTAAATGTGCATCTTTGAATGAATAACAATTAGCTATGGAAATCACGTGATTTTTGATACAACCAATCACAATCTAGGCAATTAATTTAAACCAATAGTATTATGCCGGTCAATAAATAAATACATATATCCAAAACTCACACCAATTAAAGTAGCCCCAAAGTAAGCACTGTAGGTTTGTGTTATGGGATACTAGGGTAATGGATAGTAGAAATATACTGATACATATATAAGTTTATTTATATAGAAATACATATTAAACATCCAAGACTGGAGTACAAATTCTCGTATTCATCACACACACATCTGCCCTCACTGGGATTAATTACCAATAACAACACAAAATAATGTTTCTTTGTCCCTATGCCCCATTTTGAAATTCTGATTTTCAGCAATTTTTTATTGAATTTATTGTGATTTTGATGAGTGAGATTATTAAGTAAAATTTAAGATGATTTTTGAGCTAATTTATACCAAGGTACAAAATTGGGCTAATAACTAAGGTGTCTTTTATTTTATCATTGTTCATCAGTCACAATTTAATCCAATTAACGAATAAAATAACATAAATAAAAACAGAATAGTTGAATAGTTGTAAATTCAGCAGATTAAAGTATATATCCATATCAAACTGGAATCGGGAATGGATAGGAAAGGAATAAACTCACAAATGTGTGATGAAAATCGATAAAAGCTTCCAAAACAGAAGCAACATTCGGTAGTCTTTTCTGATCAACAACTCAGACTTAACCAATCTTAAACTCAGTCACAAAATATATCTCGAAGGATTATTTCAGAAAGTTACAGTACTCGTTAGTTCATTACGATGGAGCTGTCATGTCATCGGACAAAAGCTCCTAAACAAAAAAGATGATAAAAAAAAGTTAACACAAAAAAAATAACAAAAAGATAACAAGTAAGTTCTCGGTGCATCATGCATTCATCTAAATAGCTTGCGGCACTGTTTTGACTCCAGCCTTCATCATCATAAGCCTATACATGTACTGCTGGGGCACAGGCCTCCACTCTGGATGGAATATGAAGTTTGCGTCATGACCCACCACGAAGCCCCAGTGCGGATTGGTGGGTGCTAAGGTGACTGCAGATGCAGCCGGAACAAACGGCTTAACGGCCTTCCTGAGCACGGAGGATACATTTTTGGTCACCCGTCCAATGACCGACCATTGCGAAAGTTGCTTAACTTCCACGATCTCAAGCCGAGCGCACTAACCACCTGCGCCATCGACTCCAGCCTTAACCTAAATTCAACTAAGATTTTTCTAGTAAAAATATATTTTGAAATAAAAGTCTGAAAATTTAATATGTACTTATAAAAACAGATTTGCTTACCTCTTAGAACAACGAACGTGAATGACCAATAGTACGATGCCTAGAAGCAAGCACAGTGTTCCGACAACCACATACGCCACGCCAAGGAACGGATTCTTGCCTCCCAAAAGGGAAGTCGTGGATATTATGAAAGTCTTTCTGCCGTCAAAGTCTTTTACTGGGTAGTCTGTCAACAAATATGGAATTATAAATGTTATTTTTTAATAATAAGGGAAAGAAATGTATGTCTATGTATTTGACTTTGTTTTTTTGAATTATAAGATGAAATAAAGAGTACCTATAATAAAGGAAGAAAAAATGTTTAGGGAAAAGTGTGAGATTTTTTATAAATAAAGTGTGCATGTAATAATGCATTAAAAAACCATTAACTTAATAAAATAAACATTGCAAACACTTTTATCTGAAACACAATGACTCCTTGGCAGAAGAAATTCACGCAATAGTACATTCCTGAAGCGGCCAGCAAGAGGTATTGATGGACGTAAGTTTAAATGTGGACCGAGGTAAAGCCGCGGCACACATACGTAAGTCCATCTATTCCTCAATGACGAACAACCATAGAGGGTACTGGTCTTCTGAGATACAGGCTGCGGCCTAGTTCAGATACCAGTCTCTCCACAATCTTGTCATTAAGTCATTAATTAATTCATTAAGTTTGTAATTTTTTGTGCATGGGATTGTGAGAAGAAATAAAGCATTATTATTATTATAATATAGCGCATCGTCGCCGACACGGCCAGGGGGGGGGGATATTAGGCTTTCAAAGCGATCCCCTCTGTCGATTTACACTGGTTGCGCTCGAGTATTTTTTGAGTCAATTCGCGAGAATGTAAATCAGAGCACAAAAAGTGACAAAATGTTATGTAATTTGCTGTAAAACATATCTGGAATATCAAACTTTCAAAAGGATGGTGTTAAATTTCACATATAAGTAGAATTATTAACATATTATTTTTATTTAACCACTTTTAGACACAAAATTAATATTATTTTGTAAAAATTCAATCGTCGGACTTATTTCACAAAACACTCGACTCGCCAGCAGAAATTTCAGATCTGTCAATAAAAAATCTTAAGTTTCATCTATGCCCGATCTAGCGCTGTCATTTTTTAAGTGCGAGTGTCGTAGTTACAATTTCGTTTTTGCGAAAGTATGTTGGACTGCATTTGTGTGCATATTCCTCGCACTCAAAAAGCCGCGTCGGCCGCGTTGCTGTATGCGAACAACGAATAACAACACTCATTCATTTGCTTTTTTTATTTCAATAAAGCAACTTTCTAGTTTCATAACAGTTCTAAATTCAAATAAAACCTTTGATTAGCTTCCTCCTCGGTTGCCATGTTTCGGAGCGAGTTTACAATGTAATTTATTTGGCCGCTAACACGACCGATATGGATTTTCTTTCATACTACTTTTGCCGGCCTCTGCTCGCATGTATGTGGCCAGTACAGCAATTTCGATTTATCTCGAAGAAGGCTGTCAAATGCTCAAATTTCAAAAGCATAATTGAAAAATAGTAAAATACGTGTGCAAGTACTCTTTGAAGAAGAAAAAGATTGAATTTCGGTTAATGGGCGACTACTAGTATAATCAAGCTATTGACTTCCTATCCGCCCGAAGGACCAAAACTTGTTTTTGTATCCACAATTTTGCCATTAATCTATCTTTCACTTCACTTCTCAGCAAATTAAGTAACCAATTCTATCCAAGAATAGTTATTGTCACTTACTTCTTGAATAAATACTTACTATACAATATGTTAACATAAATGTGATACATTGGTGTCGATTCTAGCATGATTCTCTAAACCTAAACTTAAATTTGACAGCAGTATATCCTTGTCATTCTCTATGCAGAATAAAAAAGAGAGACTGATGTTAAATTTAGTTTTAAGTTTAGAGAATCACTCCAGAATTGGCACCATTATTTGATTTGGGTGCTATTTTACATGCTACCATTTAACAAACTTTCACATTCCCAATCCTATGTTTGAGACATTCTTAGATAGCCATGAAAAATAATTGATCCTGTCTGCATAAATTAATGACTGCAGATACTGTGGTTGCAGCATACGTGCCATCAGAAGCACGAAAAACGCACGAAAGATTTTTTATTATTATTTGAATGATAAACAATTTTTACACATTCCATGACCAGCCAATGACAAAGTTGCTTAACTTCTACCGATTGAACGCGCAAACGTCTACACCATCGAGCTCATAGTGGGTGCCCGTGACTTTGTCTGCATGGAAAAATTGGTTTCGCACTCAAACTTCAGCCCCCTCTTTTCAACCCCTTGAAGGATGATTCCTGGGATAAAATCTATACTATGTCCTTCCTCGAGACTCAAACAATCTCTTTACCAAATTTCATGCGAATCGGTTCAGTGGTTTGAGCGCAAAGAGGTAACAGACAGACACACTTTAACATTTCTAATATTACTAGCGGCCGCCCGCGACTACGTCTGCGATAACTTTAGTTTTTAAAAATCCTACAGGAACCTTACATTTAATCTGGATAAAAAGTATTCTGTCATTCCAGGTTATGAACTATATGTGTACTAAATTTCATCCAAATCCATTCAGTAGTTTTTGCGTGACTGAGTAACAAACATACTAACTTTCACGTTTATAATATTAGTAGGAAGTATGGCAATAGGGTAAGAATATGTTTACGAATGATACTGACTGTACGCCACTGTTAGTACGTAAGATCCCTTGGGCAGCCCATTGGACAATCCATCCATGCTGTGGTCCACGCGTCGATAGAGTTTCCTGAACGTTGGCAATGCTGCCGTCCGCATCCAAACTATCAGGTCTTCATTCTATAAATAATATTAAAAAATATTTCCCACACTCACACCAATTAGCTTAGCCCCAAAGTAAGCACTGTAAGGCTGCTGTCTTATGGGATGCTAAGGTAATGGATAGATATACTGATACATATATATTATATCTAGAAATATATAAAAACGTCCACGAATAAGGTACAAGTGCTCTTAATCATCATAATAACATTTGCCCCCACCGGGATTCGAACCTCTGAAATCTGAAAAGGCCACCGCATTAACAACCCGGCGTATTTACCAGTAGGTCACAGAGGTCCTCATTCATCGTCAATAAATATAATACATTATGTCTATATTATAAAAAAACGGACAAGCACGCGTCGGATTCGCCTATGTAAGTACCAATAATTGTACACAATATAAACGGACGTATCTTTTTTACATAAACTTAGAAGTTTGATTTTTTCACAGCTTCCAGGGACATTAAAATGGAGTATATGGTTTAAATTTTAACTCTACACGTCAAGGCGTTCCCGTGATAAAAGGTCTTGACAGGCAGACTGACAATAGACTGATCCTACAAAAGTTCCGTTTTTTCCGTTTGCGGTACGAAACCCTAAAAATGAATACCCGTTTTCCATGGTTCGCACCATAACTTGAGAACGACTATACCAATTCCAATCTGCTTGGTTTCTTAAGTTTCATGATACGTTAGTTTTTATATTTAGTATTTGTTACGTTAGTATTATACGATGGAAACAATAAGAAAGATGCGCGAAAATAAGTTAAAGGGTTGAAGACACAGGCAGAAGCTAGTAAGTAAATAAATCAGCCACATAATTGTCTTATGACTGTCTTGTGACCAAAAACTTCAAAAATTACATAAAATGCTATTAAACGCGCCCTAAGTAACCCATATCAAAGTATTGTTATTTGATGAAATCATTTTTATTACAACCTAGTCAGACCATCTATACTAATGATTGGTACGAAACCCTTCCAAGGGGGAGACTATGGTCTGTTTCTTATTTGGTTTTAGTTTGAGATAACAACACATTCTAATTCTTACCTGGAAACCATTGTTCTCTGGATTTTTAGGGTCTAACTCCCACACATTGACATGCCAATTCACTGGTTTTGAAAAATTAGCAAATGCTGCAATGAACAAATTGCAGAATTAAAATATTTGGTGTACTGTATTGTTGGACTAGGTGTGAAAGATTTTAGATATATACAATGTGTTACAGAAATAACGCACACCTGTAGCTAGTTTGGTTGAAATCGGCTTCAGATTTGATATCAATAAAAAAAATGAAAAATAATTGACATTTATTAATTCATTCTAAACAAAAGAATACGAAATAATAACATAAGGTAATACGAGCTAGTTTTCAATGCAATGGTGCTGATGAAACTGATGAAATAAAAATTACTGCTATTGGTTCATTTACATATTTGTCAGAAACTTCTTTCAGGGTGTCCGTTATTTCTGCTACACATTGTATAATGTATTTAAAATGCTGTACTAGAATCCAATAAAAAACATAGTATACGCCAGCTGCTTTATTTCCAATGCTGATAGAAAAACCTTATTTAAGGACAGAGCATTGTATTTATGTTAGGAAACGTAATATTGGAAATAAGGGGCCATAAAATTCTAAATCCGGGTTTACATGTATGTACATTATAGTATGTAGTTTAGTAGTTTGTGATACATTAAAATTAAATTTCTTATATATTCTTACCAGTTTTTAGGTCACCTGGGGGGTTTCGAAATTTAAAGTCTTTATCAGAGCTCCATGCAATTCCAGTTCGAAACACAGGAATCTCCATTTTAAACTCAATAGAGCGCACGGTCAGAGTATCTGAAACATAGAACTATTATTCTTTTCTATTTGACCAGAAGTAACCCAAGATATGGGCCAATGAGTGATATTATTGCTGCAACAATCTCTGTCCTACTGTGTGTATGTGTTAGAATCATAATATTGTGCTTACCATTGAAAAGTGAATTAGCTATAGCTCCACAAGGTGCTACAGGTTTGTCATCAACAAAATCAAAAGGTTGACAGTCTGTTGATGGAGTCATTGACAAGCGCCCAAGCAGCTGGTTGTCATCTCTGAAACAAAAGTTAAAATTTTCACAATCACTTATCATCCTTATTAAACGTAGATCATCTAACACCTTAAACTTGTTCTTATTGTTGTAATAAAACATTTATAATTATTACATATTTGAATAGCATGGTTATAATTTGGAGAGAATAATAATAAATATGTGAAGCAAAGCATGTGCAGCATGCATTGTATAAAGACTAAGATACATTAGCCATCTATGCTTACCGTGACTTTACATATCGGCGGTGATTTTGGTAGTAGTTACTCAGTCCATAGTAAAAGTATACATCTCCTTTGAAATGCTCCGTTAAGTTAAAATCTAAATGACAAGTACATGGCTCCAGTAAGTTCTGTTTTATATATTCAGCACATGATATGTTCTCATCTTGTTTCATACAGTCGGTGTAATCAATAACTTTTTCTTTAACCTGTAAATGCATATAAAAAAAAATAAGGTGAACTTATAAAAAACTTATAGGAAAATATTTCTTTAGACACAAAAATCAGTTGCAATTCACAGGTATAATGAGCTTTATCTGCTTTCTATTGGATATCTGTTGCTGTATCATTTGAACTGTGATATTATTAATTTTATGTAAAGGTACATATTATTCCTGCTGTTTCAATATAATTATGGCATATTTTTTACTAGATGCTTATTAGCATTATGTGAAATTCAATTAATTTGGTTTCAATTGGGACAGTTGTCATCATAGTAAAGTTGAAATTTTCAAGTAAAAATACCTTAGATAATATCAATATAGCTATAAAGGCCTTAACACTATGGGCACTGGTAGATTATTGATTAAGAGTAATTTGTTTTTACTGCTTTAATGGTAAGCATTTACTTATAAATAGGGAATATGACAAAGATAACTCCTGTGTGAATGATAAAATTTTGGTAAGTTCTAACTTCTTTAAAAGCAGCACAGCACAGCTGCATTATGACTTTTCAGTCAAATAAAGGAAAGTAGACAAAAAACTGTTTTAAATCCAAAAAAGGTTAGGCCTTTTGATCTATATGCACTACACTTACAATATATTGCTAATTTTTAATATTACCTCATCTGAAAAATACAAAAGTCCTATTCCAACAGGAATAAAGGCGATTCCAATCACGAAGAATGTTGGTAGAACTGTTCCAGCTGTTAAAATAGGCTGCCAGGCGGGCAGGCGCTGCTGCTTGAAAGCAGATTCTGGAAATACAAGGGTGTAAAAGTAATCAATACCAAAAACAAGGTCGTCGTTGGTAAGAAAACAACAATGTACAAACCAGCTGGACGTCTTGACTTCACATTTTGATCTGAAGTGTCGCTGGATGTCGCCATTGCATTAGAGAATATTTATCACCGTAAGATTCCTTAGTACACACAATTTTTAGTCAAAAATGATTCATATATAGGAAAAATCTTTGGTAAGCAATCAACTTTGCATTGCACTGAACTAGGGGTGGCGATCTGAGATCGATTAATCGTAGAATCGATTTTTTGAGCTAAAAAGATAGATTTTATTAATCGGTATGTAGTACAGAATCGATTTACCGAATCGATATTTCGCCCTTGAAAATCGACATTCGATTTTATTTTATTTATTTGGTATAAACCAAAAAAATATTTACAATTATTTGAATGTACCCGTTATAAGAGTGCTGCCGGTAAAAGGGTTAATTATAAAAAAAATCGTGAAATGGCTATATGTTTGGATTCCTTCGCCCCTTTTTAGTAAAAAAGTTACGTTTATTTGTAATCTTTGAATAAAAATATTTTTTATCATCGAATCACCTGATTTTACTGATAAGAGATCGTTAAATTGTAATATGTATCTTATTTTTAATAAAAAAGACTTATATTACATTATAAACAAAAACTTAAAAAAACGAATCGAATTAAAAATCGATCTTTTTCGGAAAGAATCGCCATCCCTACACTGAACGACCTTTTTTTTCTTTACTCATTCTGGGAAGGCAAATAGTACTGTGCCCATACAGCCAAGTCTTAAGTTTATTATTCTGTAATTTCTTCTTTCTTGAGACCGGAGCCAAGTCTTTTTTAGGTATCTTGTTTTCCCTTTCCATACATTGAATAGCAGTGTCCCTAGCGTTAACTATCATCAACAAAAATCAGCAATATGAGTTTCATCGAGTCATCGTAAAACGAAAACTACCAAAGTTTTCGTATGTCGTTTGCATTTTGGCAGTAAAGTTACAACTTTGACAGCACGTTATGAGTATACTACGACGTTTGCACTGATAGTTTTTAGAAAAATAAATGAAAATTGCTAACTACTTCTTTTTCATAATCTATCGCTTGTCTGTGTTATAACAATTCCTCCAGAGTCACGTAGGGGAATCTATACTAATGTTGGCCCTTTGCATTTATACTAAAATACATTTAAAGAGTTTTTTAAATAAAACAATAAACACGATATCTTTTTATTATTCCTTGGCAATTCTTCAATATTTAGTAGTTGATTGACCTCTATAAATGGCATTTTTTGAAAAAAGAAAGTTTGATTGTTGCCGTTACGCATATGCTACAAAAAGGTAGCCATTTTATTGAAGTCAATAAGAGATAGGTGTTTTTTAAACATTTAGAGCACCCGCAGACTTGCAATTTCAAATTGGACAACTGAATCGCATAGTAGTACAATAGGCATTGTGACATAGGATAGTCCGCACATCTTACCCAACCAAATCGTACAACTAAATGATTGGATACCGTTTGTATCAGGGTTGAGATTCCCTTCCGATTACTCACAATTAAAAAGTTGGCAAACTATCGGCCAACTGTTTATTAGTACTGATACTATATGTAACCTCGCAGATTATCCAACTAAGTTGGTCAGTCGCAAGGCAAGATGCAGGAAGCAAGCACGCACGCGCGTGATTTCCCCACGCCAGGAACTTCGTCGACGACCCCCCGATCACTTGTAGCAAACGAAAAAGTAGAAGAGCTCATAAATGAAGTACAAAAAAGCCCGACACTGTACAAAAAAGACTTACTTTCCGTCTTCTTTTTATGAGGAAAAGAACTGCTCTAAATCCAATATTAATGTATTTCAATTAGAACAGTTCTTTTTCTTATTTTTTCTTATTGCTAGCAACACAGTCACTGGCTAAATCAGTTAGGTCTGCGGCTGGCCTCCAATATAATAAAGTCGCCTAATTAAATTGTGAAAGTAACCAATTTAGTTGTACAATAGTAGGGCAACTCGAAAATACAAGTCTGCGGGGGCTCTTACTTTCTAATAATTACTAAAATGTGTTAGATAAAATTCGGTTTACTTAAGAAATTAACTTTATTAAATAGGCACATCCACATCACAAGGTCACAATACACAGAAGGCCACGCACTCGCGCATACATGGGCATGGGTTCAGCTCTGAATGGGCTCAGTATAAATAGACGCAGTGCGGAATTGGTCCAGTGCGGACGCTTCCGCTCCATCGCACACACTTCTGTTCCACTCCCGGGCCATCACTCACCAAACAAAATTTAAACCAAGTCCACAACCACCGTCGTCCACCACCAGACACAGACCGGACTTGAGAAATCCTCGGTGGACATTTTTGGAACTTTCTTCCTCCGGGGACAGAAGTCCATCGTTTACACAGACCATTATACATACCTACGTAATATTAGAAATGAAAAATATCCAGAGGGCCAAGCACTGATATACGAAGGGGCCAATAATTGTACCTAGTTGTGTGACTTGGCCGTTGAAGGGTACAAAACCAGGTGCTACATCACACCATTGCACCAATCTGTCGCCAGAACCGCTACCCATTGACGATGGATAATTGCCACTTGGAAAACGTTCATTGAGTAACCAGTCAATTGTGGTTACGTACTATGTACCCTTCAACGGCCAAGTCACAAAACATTAACTATAATAATAAAGAAATCGCAGTAAGGAACCTTAGACTTGGCACGACTTTGTCCAGATTTTATTACTTTTTAGAGATAAACAAGCAGCTCCGTCGAGACTTGGCTAGTTTTTTATAGAATGTTGTTGGTGGGATTTCACTTCTTTTTGTAGAAACGAGGTCATATTGATTTCTTTTATTAGAATAATAACAACCTGCTTATTAACCTTAGCGAACCTCATGAAATAATCAGCGAAATCAACGGAATGCAAATAATTAGAGCTGAACAAACCGTATGTATTCGTTACTAAGCAAAGGGTACACCACCTGACTTCAAGTAACGAATCGTTACTCACGAATACATTTCGTTACTCGTATGTGTCCTACTGATGATGTCAATTTGATTCTGTGTATATTCTGTGTATGGTCGTACGATGAACAAATAAATCATCTTATGTTTCATGATGAACAAATACTTTATATCGTTCGTTGAACCGAATGTATTTAAACACTCGTTACGAAAAATGTTAGATGTTAAATAGGAATACTTTAAACAGCTCAATATTATTATGAATTAAAATATTCCAAAATCTCTTTTTTCTGGGAAGGCAAGGGAAACAGAGCCCAAATAAATAAAATCGGAGGGGCACGGCAGTGCCCCCGCCAAGTCGAGCGCGAAGCAAACACTGCCGTACCATCCTTTACTGGAACCATTTCGCCGCATTTTCAGGCCCCTATTTGAGAACCTCTGGATAAGACCAGAACTCAGAAAATTTTGTCGTCCAGGAAGCTATAAGAACATACTTAAAATCCAAAATTTCAAGTCTGTAGGTCATTTAGTTCCGAAGTTAAGCGAAAGCAAAGTGTCGCATTTATGACACTCACTCACTCATGATCATCAGAATGGAACTAGTACTTCCCATAAACTCAGAGAGCTGAAATTTGGTACAGAGTTAGGGTTTAATGGCCACATAAAGGGAAAACTATAAAAACTAGGACAATCAAAGATCTGGAGTTCCTGGTTGCCAACCAAACTATTAGAAGAGATCGACATAACGCCTTTACAAAAAATATTTTGATTTCATTTCATGTCAAAAATCGAAGGTCTGAAGTATCTGATGAAGAACCCTCAGCTGGTCTCAGCTGTATTAGAGATATGGTAATGCCCCCTTCTACTATTGGTACACAAAAAAATCGACTGTCATTGCAAAACTCCAGCGTAGTGGGACACATCTTTTAATTTAATCTAGCCTATAGCGTCCCACTGCTGGGCGAATGCCTCCCCTTCTACTTTTATTACGCATATAATTAAAATGAAAGGACAACTCTGGATAACACTAGACTGGCTTTTATGCCTATACTTACGAGTTTACAAGAAAAAATAGTCGAACGATTAACTTTATTCTACTCGAACATTTCGAGTAGAATAAAGTTAATCGTTCGACTATTAAATAAACAAATTACACTAAAATATTAATTTCGCTCAAAATTTGGTCAAAATATAATGCATTGGACTAAGAGTGGCGGTGATATCAAGGTCTAAGTCTGAAAAATGCCCTCATGGACATTGACACCTCCATATTCTCTTGTGGCCAAGCCTACGTGGCGCTTTCACGAGTACACAATCTTCATGGGGTGCACCTCATAAATGTTGACATCAAGAGTATAAAAGCTCAAGCTTCAGCGATCACCGAATACAACTGGCTTAGGCGTAAATACCGCGCCGAAATTAAACTGTCTAAAAGAATATATTAAGAACGCGAATGGGCAATACGAAAAACTGTTGCTACTGTTCAAGAACCAGAACCGGAAAAAAGAAAAGAAAGATTTGTAATAACAAAAAGACTACTCCTAAAAAGAAAAAAATGAGTCTAATAAGAAAATCTAATAAAATAAATCAATAAGCCCACGTTTCTACAAAAAGAAGTGAAATCCCACCAAAAACATTCTGTAAAAAATTAGCCAAGTCTCGACGGAGCTGCTTGTTTATCTCTAAAAAGTAATGAAATCTAGACAAAGTCGTGCCAAGTCTAAGGTTCCTTACTGACATTTCTTTATTATTATAGTCAATGTTGTGTGACTTGGCCGTTGAAGGGTACACAAGGGTACAAAACCAGGTGCTACATGACACCACAGATAAAATATTCCAAAATCAACAGAGAATTTTCTAATGTGTAGTGATTGGCCCTCAAGGTACAATTATTGCCCCCCACGTATATCAGTGCTTGGCCCTCTGGATATTTTTCAATTCTAATACATTTATCCAAATTTCCATACATATCCAACCGTACTGGAACTGTTTATCCGCTTACGTTAGGTGGACGCCTGTTTGACAGTAAGCTGAAAGGCGAGTCGGTATCGACCCTATTTTAGTTGATATGTGCCATCATTAACAGCAGCCTATTAATGCCCTCCTATGGATGGAATACAATGGAATATGGAGATTGGGCCGTGAACCACTAGGTGGGCCCAGTGTGGATTGGTGGGTGCTAACGACTGCAGAAGCATGGAGGAACGCAAGATAATAAGTTTTTGGTCAACCAATCAATGACAGACCATTGCGAAAGTTTCTTAAATTCGACGATCGCAGGCCAAACGCGCTTTCCACCTGCGCCATCGAGTGCAGCTGATTTTTACGTTATGATGCTAATACGGATAAAATATTAATGGATAGAGACATGTATAATATATGTATGAAACCGATGTGCTTCTGCGCGTCATGACACATTACGACATGTAAATATGTTTCTTCCTTTAGTTGTTGTGGAGTGCCAGCTTTATTATATTCATTCTCATGCATGTTCATTCATTCATCAATCCTTCATCTCTTTTACATCTCCATATAGTTCACTCACTCACTCCACTCTAAATTTGTGATTTTGTGACGGACGGCTGATTTTGATTTATAAAGATTGTTTTGTAATTGTATCAAGAATTACGATATCTTGCATAGTTTTACCATATATCTTGCTATTAAATTGGATTTCCCAACACGCCTGAACAGTGAAAGTGACTGGAAAAAGAAACAAAGTTTATTCAAAAATGTCCAACGAAACGACATCGAATAAAAATGTAAGTAAAATTGTACTCGACATAATTAGTTTGCCCTTTATGTTATAAAACAAACAAGATTACCTATGCTTATCTGATTGAACAGCAAATTTATTGAGAAGACAATATTGTCCAAATAAATCCGTTTGAGTCATCATTTGCTGTTTACACTCTAGCTATGTATGTAGGTATTTGGTTGTTATTTTATTCATGTCGGTGAAATGGATCTTGATACAGTTAGCAACGGATGTATGTCAGTGTTTGTGCGTGCAGAATGCCGATCGAATACTGTTCAACCGAGTGTACGTATTACTATTTTTTTAAAATTCTTCAAAATTGCATTAAGATTTCATGTTTTATTCTTCAGTTTAAAACCTCTAATAGTTTATTAATGCGCTCGTTTGAAATAGGAAAGATGTTGGTAAGCACTGTACACTGATAAAGCTAATTATTACTCATTATCCTGTTTTAGAAGATAATGAGTCAGTATTTGAAAACTGGTTGTTCTATAATAATCTATTTAAAGATAAAATAGTATTTGTTCAATGTTCAATATGTTTGGTTTTCTTTGGTCTTGTCTGGTCAAATCATTTTTAAAACAAGATATTGGGCCAGATTCCATGATTCTCTAAGCCTAAAATTTAATTAGGGTATGAACAGTGCTACTAAGGGACATCAAATTACATTTAGATGTTGAACAATCATAACAGTTATTTGGCATCTCTGAGGATGATTGTGAATCATCACCAGGGATCATAATTGGAATATAAGTTATGTTTTATTAGTAATAAAAATGTTAAAAAGACGAAACAAAATTTTCATTCAATATTTTATTAATTATTTATAGTTTTCAAACCTGGAAACTCCGGGGTATGTTGGCTTTGCTAATCTGCCAAACCAAGTACACAGAAAGTCTGTAAAAAAGGGATTTGAGTTTACTCTGATGGTAGTCGGCGAGAGTGGTTTGGGCAAATCAACTCTTGTGAACTCATTGTTCTTGACTGATCTGTATCCAGAACGAGTCATCCCAGATGCTATTGGTTTGTACAATTTATATATTTGCATTTTAATAATTGTTATTAGGAAAGTGTGGTTGACATTCTCTTATATGACCTGAGTGATTGTAAATTTCCACTTTATTAGTACCACTTGTGCATTGTGCCTACCTTGACCCCATCCCCAACCCTTTGGATCTCTAGCAAGAAACCTGACCTAGAAAATATATTACAATTTTAATTCAGATCTGGGGTGTCTTTTTTTTGCAAATGTACTCTAATTAATATGTTCTTTCCATTTTCTTAAATAATTTAAATAGTACCGATATAAAATAACAATATATAATACTTACCAAATATCAAGGAAATGTCATCTTTTAAATATTTCTTTCAATACAACAGAGAAAACAAATCAGACAGTAAAACTAGACGCTTCTACTGTTGAAATTGAAGAAAGAGGTGTCAAACTTCGCCTTACAGTAGTTGATACTCCAGGTTACGGAGATGCCATTGACAACACAGACTGCTTCCGTGTAAGTATTTTAATATCATTATATACTTATATACCTTTCTTGTCATAGCATAACTTATATCAAAAACATAATTGGTTTGCTTTAAGTTATCTAGGAACAATAGTGATTGGATGCCAGCCCCATCACTATAGAATTGTTTCTGTACTACCATTTTCCAGTCTATGATGGAAAGTTAACTCCTAGTGAAGAGTTCACAAAAGCTGTAATTTTCTTTCACTCCTAGTAGACTAATTTACATATTCTTTTCAGGAGAAAGCATATTCCTAAAAACCAAATTATTTTGCAATATATGTAGTGGACAGAATCCATACACTTGTCATTATTGATTAAAGACCTAAATCTATTTATACAGCATTATTAACTATAACACAAAAAACACTATTCATTGCAAAAGAGTGTAAATTTGAAAAAAAATATTGATTTTAGACAAGTTTCTTGAATTATTTACTTCTGTAAATATTAATGTCATGATTAAAATTATCATTGTCATTATAAAAAGTTCATGACATTGTAATTTCAAATAGCAAATCTTATTTTATTGAAAATGCTTCTTAGTTATACCTTTTATGAAGCCAACCAGGAAGGTCAAGCATGAGTCAATTACTGTGACCATGCAAGAGTTATGTACTCAAAGACCTTCAATTAATCCATACTCTTAATTACCATATTCAATGATAGTACCAGTATCTTTGCTTAGTAAACAGTTTCATTTAATGCAAAAGTCACATTGCAAAATTTTGTGTGATTATAATTCTAATGATTCATTAATTAGGCATTACGAAAGGAAATACTTGAATTAATGCTTCCATGCAAATACGTCTAAGCTATGTCTCTTTGCTAGAATGCAACATTTGATTACTTTAAAGAAGAACTAATTATAATAGAATTTTAATTTAGACAATCTTTTGGAATTTGCACAAATGGTTAATTCATTCACTGGTTAGGTATGATTATAATGCATGTTTTGTTGCAGTCAATTATCCAATACATTGATGAGCAATTCGAGAGATTCTTGCGCGACGAGAGCGGTCTTAATAGACGCAACATTGTCGACAATAGGATCCATTGCTGCTTCTACTTCATATCACCTTTTGGACATGGGTAATATAGTTTGGACTTTTTATGTTAAAAGGGTGACCAACAAGCATATGGCGCACCTTTATTTTTTTTTTTTACATTACGGATAACCCGCGCTTCGGGATACGCGGGGTTATGTCGGACTCTCCGCGGCTTGTGGGGTGCTTTACCGCGGCCTACCGACTAAAACCCACCGATTCCCCTCACATACGCCTTAGCGTCCATCACCGCCGCATCCTCATCGTCATCTGATGAAAGGACGCGTCGGGGAGGGACGCTTCGCTGCCGGACAAGGTCATGGGAACTCGCGAGAGCACATCCACGACCTCGTCGGCGTCTGCTCGCCGATGGCGAGCCCCACTCACTCCCCCAAAATGGGAGGGCCGGTGATCCCCCGGGGCATCCAGGGGATCAGCGACTGGCGGCAACCGGTGCAATGCAGGCCCCGGGTTTCCCGGGCCTGGACCCCGCTGGTTACCGTCAAGAGGAAGTAGGCGGGCGTACCGTACATCCGCCTCCGCTCTAACCTTCGTCGGCGGCAAGTAGCGGCCTCTGGGTCTTCTTCCCGGGCCCTCTCCGCGTCCTCTTTCTGCGTCATGACATCAACACAGAAGGAGTTTACCGCGTCCCACATCTCCTCCCCTTCCAACATGACGCAGACCACGTTTTGGAGGGAGAGATCTTCGCCAATGATGGCGGTCAGTTCACGGCGCCGCTGGGAGAAGCCTGGGCACACTTCTAAAGTGTGCTGTGCGGTGTCCTAAGCGGCGTCACAATGGTGGCACTCAGGGGTTGGCTCCCTACCAATGCGGTGCAGGTAGCGGCCAAAATAACCATGACCGCTAAGAATTAGCACCAAGTGGTAGGAGGGCGACCCGTGGTGCTGGTCCGCCCACGTGGTGAGAAAGGGGTACACGGCCTCCAAGGTCCTGGACAAAGTGCCAGAGATCGAGGCCTAACCCCTTTGCTCATCGAGCTCCTCAGACCACGTGCGGAACGCTTCAATTTGCACCCCCTCCAAGACGGAGGCCCTCTCCCTCGGCGCCAGGCGCCGGTCGGTAGGCTGTTGAAAGCGTTGGCTATGTCTAATGACACCGCCAACACCCTTTTACCCCTACTAGTCGCGTCCTCCACCAACTCCCTCAGCCCCGTGAGCGCGTCAATGGTGGAGCGTCCTACGCGGAACCCTAATTGGCTTTAGGAAAGATTAAGGCCCACCTCGTAAAGATGCCGGATGAGGCGGGAGGCACCAACCTTCTCAAACACCTTGCCGACCTCATCCAGCAGCACTATTGGACGATAGCCCGACGGATCGTCCGCGGGCCGGTTCTCCTTGCGCAGAAGGCACAAAGTGTCATCCTTCCAAACCTCCGGGAGCTGCCCAGTGCGGAGACACACATCGAAGAGCTCCCGAAGACGGTCCCCAAAATGGCGCAAGGCTAGCCCCAAGACTTTACCCGGGACTCCGTCGGGACCGGGAGCAGTCCGCTTCCCTTTTAAACGATCGATCGCAGACCTAAACTCATCCTCATCGCGCGCGATGGCCACTTGCAGTTGCTGTACTGACCATATAGACCTCCTCTTCCCGCGGGTTGCGAACGCGCCGCCTACGGTAGCGCGTGTAGGTGCGACGGGAGGCAGTAAAGGCCGTCCTGAGGGCCGCCAGGTCCTGGGACCACCAGTACACTGCGCGACGGTTCTTCGGAGGGCGCGACCGAGGCATGGATGCCTCGCACACCTCTGTGAGGGCCTCCTTGATGTGGGTGGCTCCCTCTTCGACATTGGGACTTCCTCCGCCATCTCTCGGTCAAGGCGTCTCTTCTTGGCTCTGGCGAGCCCAACATAATCACCGGTCATAGGGGGCGACCACGCCCGCGCCCGCGCCCTTTGCCTGTTAGCATATGGCGCACCTAATGATATATGATATATGATGATAGCAATCCCGTTAGGCGTTCAGTGGGCAGGTAGGGCTACTCTCGCAACTTGATTTGTTTTTTAGTTTTTAGGTAAGAGTGATTTAGAGATAGAATGGTTGTCCCTACATTTGGTATCTAAGCAAAGCACGTACAACAACGTAAAGTATATATGAATTAGACTGTGGTAGGTATATGTAAAAACCAACTAATTAGATCAGCATTGTATAAAGTAGAAGCACTGCACTTCTCCAACTCCTCACCATCTTGTATTCTGTTTAGGACTTTGTTTTAATTGAACAAGATAAATTATAAAAGAAAACAATAAACCAAATATAAAGGTAATTTCAATTATAACACAATGCTATTATTCTTCTCTATCTAAACAAATCCTGCCTAAAACTTCATAACCACTGATATGATTTTAATTGCAGGAATAAAATGTTATATCTATAACTATACTATTATCAAAGAATGTTGTATAATGCGATTCAACTAAGAATAGGACCGACTGGGCGCCATATTGTGACGTCATAGCTGTCAATTCAAACCAAATGGTAGAGTGCGCAAAAAAAATTTTTTATTCAATAAAACTTGTAAAACTAAGATTAAGTGAGAAAAAGCATCAGATTTTTTAAATACATAAAATTTATTAACTAAGATTGAGAAAAAAACAACCGATTTTTAATAATATTTATTTATTAAGAATGTGTGAGAAAAAACATTAATCAGAATCTAGCTCTTCAATTTCACTCATCTCTGCATTACCGCCGGAGTAGTCATGGATAATCATGCACTATTACTAGGTATGTCACATACGAACTTGCATCCTTTATGTAAACGAAAGTTGAAATCGAGTTTCTGAACGCAACTTAACTTAAAGTGACATTCTCCGCATGCCCTTTCAATAGGGAAGATGCAATATTTTTATTTTTGTTTTCATTTTAAAGAATTCCATGTAGAATAAACCACAAATATATTAAAAAATTAAAACATTGTGATTTATCGGAAAAAATGCGGTTTTAAATTGACAATTTAAATTTTCGCGCGAAAACGAACCTATGGATGCGATGACGTCACTCCTGTCTGTCACTGGTCGTAATTGTTCGTTGCTGGCTTTAAATTTTCATACTTTTGCATATTTTTTCGACTTTCGAAATATTTTTTTGAAAAATTTAAAATGTATCCATCCATCAACATCATGTGATCATAACAATACCACTAAAATTCCGAAAAAAAGCCGTGTTGACTCATGTTTTGTGCCAATCTACTTCAACAAAGTTCCCAAATAAATTGTTTATGACTGGAACTTCTGACCCAAAACTGAAAAAAAGTGGTTTCAACCTGCGAAGAGAAATGACAATTATTCTCCAAAGACCATTATTCGCTGAGAAGATCACTTTGATGTAAGTCGGCGAATATACTTGTTATATGCTTCATTAATCTGCTTGTATGTAAAAACGCATTAGTAACCTACCTACGGACATAACCGATTGCATTATCGCCGTAAGATTTGTAGAAGCCGCTGAATAAAATACGAAGTTTAACAACTACGATTTTTACATACCGTAGTAATTTAGTCCCTTTCATTTCTAAACTTAAAAACTCTGCACTTTGGACAAAAAAAGTTATAACCATGTCAACGCTAACTTGGTAAATTCCTGGAGTCTGCTTTGATAAACGCAAATTTCATTTTTATTAAATGTAAAAAAACGCAATAAATATTCCCATAAAATAATATTTACTTTAACAACCATAACCTCAAAGAAGTTGTCATAACAGGAGTGACGTCACTAAACGCTGATTGGTGTTTTAAAATACGTTCCATTTCAAGTATTTTTAATTCGTAATAATTGTTAAAAAACAACATTATGTAAAATAAAAACGTTGAAGTGGCATTTCTTTTATATTTTTTTAACATTTTAATCATAAAATTTTCATAAATATTATATATGCATCTTCCCTATTGATACCCATATTGTAGGAGTGCTTCAAAAATAACTAGCCCGCCATCTTGTTTGTTCCGCCATATTGGATTTAGAATGACATCACACAGATGACCATGCATTGTCATCCAAACTTAACATGTACATATACAAATTTTCAAGAGTTGCAAGATTCCACCCCAACAAACATACATACATACATTGCAAGTTAAATAAAAACTTTTAAAAACAAGTAAACTCCCAATAGCCTAACTTAATTGCATGAAAAAACGCCCGAGCGGCGTCCTACAACAACCTATACAGATAACATTAACACATCTGTCAAATTAATTCCGTATGTCATGGACAGTAAGGTTCAATGTAAATTGTATACGAGCGAAAATTTCCGAACACAGTTTGAAAATTACGCACAACAGACGAATGTGCGTTATGTTATAATGCTTGCGACACTTTTTGAGCGCGATTGTGAATCTACTTGTTTTTATACTTCAATGGAATTCTCATATGTTTTATGTACAGGCTGAAACCTTTAGACATTGAGTTCATGAAGCAACTGCACAATAAAGTGAATATTGTGCCCGTGATCGCGAAGGCCGACTGTCTCACTAAGAAGGAAGTGCAGCGGCTGAAGTCGAGGGTCATGGAGGAAATTGAGAAGGAAGGCATCAAGATCTACCCGCTGCCTGACTGCGACAGCGACGAGGATGAAGATTATAAAGAACAGGTTAGTTGAAAATTTATATCTTATGCTTTCACACACTACTCATTAAATGAACTTTTCCACAGATTTAAAATGCGTTTTTAAGCAGATACTTTGATTAAAAATAAAATTCAGAGAATCCGGTATGTCATGCCTTACTAATTGGGTGTATATTTACTTGGTTAAATTTTAATTTTCCATTCAAGTACGTAAGGTGTAAAAGAAATGGTGGTTTGGTTAGGCTAGGAATATAATTTTAACGTTAGAAAACATAACGAATATAATTTTATAATTAAACACATCTTACACAATATTTTTATGTTATACACACAGGGCAACTGTCATTTGTGTCAATCTGGGTTTATTAGATCACACGGAGTATTACTTACTTAAATTGAATTTCCCGGAATCTCGGGATGTTTTCGATAAAAAAGTGCTTTCCATAATAACCAACATATCGACTTTAGTTAAATATATGCATCCTACTATCCAATCTCTAGTTATTACATACACAGTTTTCGTGTGTTATTAAATATTATTGTTCAACTATAAACATATATTTTTGCTTGTTTTCTTTTGAAGTTTAGAGAGAAGGAGAACGGTCGCTACGTGCTAAAGCATTAGCCCGCCCGCATTTAAAATTTGTAGAATTTATAGTTCATTTTTGAGCCACCAGCCGCGCTGCCGTCACAAAGTAATATCTGTGAAGTTAGCTGTTTATGAGTACAAGTATTGGTCATTTCAAATTAGCGCTCAACAGCCCGCTTTTATAACATAACAATAAATGGGCCGATAAATGTGTTCGGAAGAATGTATAAAAAAATGAATTTATTCATCGCCAGGTCCGTCAATTGAAAGCGGCAGTACCGTTCGCCGTTTGCGGTGCGGGACAGCAGTTAGAAGTACGCGGGCGCCGGGTCCGCGGTCGCCTCTACCCGTGGGGAGTGGTCGAAGTCGAGAACCCGGAACATTGCGACTTCATCAAACTCAGGACTATGCTTATGTAAGGAATTTATAACAGGGATGATGACGGGGTAAACTAAACGAAATTCTTTTAAGTTCGTCAATAAGATTATCAAAAAATAATGGACACTTATTTTTTATTTTTTCAATCAACCAAAAAAAAAGAGAGTGCGTCAAAGTTTGGGACTAGGGGCTAGTGACGTCACTTCTAAGTAAATATTGTACCAAGGCGTGACGTCATTCGACCTTTCAAATAAATATGTCTGTAATATTTTGATTATGTGAAAAAAATACGTGTCTAATACTTTTTGGTGATCTCCCTGAAAGACGAATCAAAAAACGTTAGTCATTATACAATACACAATTCTTTATTCGAAACACCACAGTACATAAATGGGGTAAATACATTATGTCCAAACATAGTGATTCAATGGGCGGTCTTATCGCTTAAAGCGAATTCTTCCATTACATTTTACATATTTGATCCATCCAAGAATTTGATTTTAGAGTTTTTTTTTTAAGAAACGTATTTTCTTTCCCCTAACGTTTAATTTTAGTAATAATCTCTTATCTATTAGACAAGTCCGTCCGTCCGTCCGTGGTGCTGTTTCAGCGGCCAAACCGTAAGAGATAGATATAGAGAATGTTTAAGTTTTAAGTTAAGAATAGTCTGATAAGACTACAAACCGGATGTGAGTAACGTAGCACTTCCGGTTTTCGAGAAATCACGTGATTTCTAAAACCACACAAAATCTCCGATGTTCTCAATTTGATTTTTTTTTTGGTGAACATTTGGTTCACTGGTTTGCTAGTCCTTAATAAAGTGCAATGTTGTTACAGAACCCACATGCAAGATTTACAGGAGGTAACCCAAGAAGTGCATTACGAGAACTACCGCTCGGAGCGACTCGCGCGCAACGGACAAGTGCCCAAACGACATACGTAAGTATGATATCTATACATATAATAAAATGGTAGGAAATTGAAAACTGTACATTGAATATTTTTTTAAAAATATACTTGGGGTGTGATCTACGATCAATACCGAAGCCAAAAATTTAGTTTATAGAATTTTTGTCTGTTTGTCTGTATGTATGTCCGGGATAAACTCAAAAAGTACTGCATGAATTTACTTCAAATTTGACACCAAAATTATTAAGAAGTCGGGTCAACACATAGGCTAGGTACATATTATCACGAAACTCCACCCCTAAGGGGGTAATACGGGGATTGGAAGTTTGTATGAAAGTCCTATGTTTTTGAAGTAAGAGACTTGGAATTTAACATGAATGCTCTATAGATGGTGTAGAGGTGTACTAATAATGTATCTTTAGAAATAAACCCCCTTTTGGGATCAAAAAATATGTGCAAATAACTAACTCCACGCGTACGAAATAGCGGGCGGCCGCTAGTAAATATATAAATATTTCGAACAGTCACATCAATTAGCCTAGCCCCAAAGTAAGTACTGTAGGCTTGTGTTATGGGATACTAGGGTAACAGATAGAATACATATACTGGATACATATATAAAAGTATATTTATGAAATATATATTAAACATTCATGACTGGGGTACAAATGCTCATATTCATCACACAAACATCTGCCCCCACCGGGATTCGAAACCGGGACCTCTCGAGTCGGCGACACCATGAAACCCGGCGTACAAACCACTCGACCACGGAGGTCGTCGATAAAGTATGATATATTATGACAATACAATTTCACTTGGCTATTCGTGTTTGCTATTCGTAAACTTGACATCAGCCTGTATAATGCGATTCAACTAACAATAGGACCGACTGGGCGCCATATTTTGACGTCATAGCTGTCAGTCAATTCAAACCAGGTAAATTCAGGTAGAGTGAGCAAAAATTTTTGCTCTTCAATAAAACTTATTTACTCAGATTAAGTGAGATAAAACATCAGATTTTTTAATAAAATTAATTTACTAAGGTTAAGAAAGAACACAACCGATTTTTAATACTATGTCTTTATTAAGACTGTTTGAAAAAAAACATTAATCAGAATCTAGCTCTTCAATTTCGCTCATCTTTGCATTACCACCGAAGAAGTTATGAATAATCATGCAGGTCACATGCGAACATGCATCCTATATGTAAACGAAACTTTAAATCGAGTTTCTAAACGCAACATAAAGTGACATTTGGTTGACGATTTAGGTTATCAACTATTCATAGCCAATACTCAATAAGTGAAAAAAAAACAAATAATATTAATTATCAACATTTGTTATTGTTTATTTTAAAATGTTTGGTTTTTATTTTAGAATCAGCTGAGTGCTAAAAAAGTATTTCGAGTTTTTTTTGCAAACCGTACTTTTTAAAGCGACATTTGACAGATGGAGGTCATTGGCTTTCCTATTATTATTTGAATCGCATTATACTTATCATGCTTTACAAGGATTGAAAAGTGCAGACTGATGCCAAGCTTACAAATAGCAAACACAAACAGCTAAGTGAAGTGCTGGCATTACATGATACCATTACCTTTATGGTGTCTGGGATGGAATTTGGGAGTCATTTCTTGTATTTATACGAAAATCTTTTCTATATATATATATACATATTTTTACTTTTATTCTGTCATTTTTTTTATAAACTATAATAGTCAAAACCTTAATAGCGAGAAGGAGTCCTATCTGGGAATTGATAATTGAGGAGCTGATGAACAAAACGGTATAATTACATAAAATTAAAATTTACAGGAGCTATATAAAACTGAATAACATACTTACAGTTAACTTTTGGCATGCTTTTAATTTATAAATTTAGTAATTTTAACACTGTTTAAGGCACTTTTGATTGAAAATTATTTGCGATTCAAATTCAACCGGCCCAAAACCTCCAGATAGTAAAAAAAAGTAGTTTGACCAAATGCGTAATTAAAACGTTTTGTTCGCCAGCTCCTCATATATAACAACAAAATTTAAAAAAAAGTTGCCTGCTCTTCACTTTGACTATTCGTATTTGCTATTTGTAAACTTGACACCAGCCGGTCCTTATCATGCTTTACAACGATTGAAAAGGACAGACTGATGCCAAGCTTAGAAATAGCAAACACAAACAGCTAGGTGAAGTGCTGGCATTACATGTTACCATTACCCTTATGGTGTCGGGGATGGAATTTGGGAGTCATTTCTTGTATTTATTAGGAAAACTTCTATACATTTATGGTTTTAGTTCAGTATTTTTTTTTTAAACTATAACAGTCAAAATCTTAATAGCGAAAAGGAGTCCAATCTGAGAATTGATAATTGAGGAGCTGGCAAACAAAACGGTATAATTACATAAAATTAAAATTTACAGGAGCTGTATAAAACTGAATGACATACATACAGTGAGTTTTTGGCATAGTTTTTAATTTATAAATTTAGTAATTTTAACACTGTTTTAGACAGAATTGATTGAAAATTATTTGCGATTCAAATTCAATGGGCAATAATTCATGACCATGGATACTAGTTCTTCAGTCGTATACATAAATACAAATCTTAATCTTCTGGTTTACATTAGAATGTCGGTGTGACGCATTCTAATGTTTCTTGGAGTGTTTGGCACGAAATGTATCGAGTTGGATTTTTCGATTAGCTTCTGTGAGGTAGTCAACACTACAATAAAGTTCTCACGTCCACTTGACCGGAATAGCCTATATTTTAAAGATTCCACTAATTCCTCAGTTGCGCAGATGGTTGTAACACAAAATCACACCAATTTTATTTCACAATATCCACTATGAACGAATTTAAGAATAATTGATATAAGACGCCAACCGCACTAGATGAAATCCCGCCAAAAACTCGCCAGAAACCTCCTGAATGTAGTTTGACTAGATGCGTAAATATACCGTTTCGTTCGCCAGCTCCACAATTATTACAAGTCAAATAGAAATGTAGCAGTTATGCATAAAGTTATAAAAATATGTTTATTCTAGATCTACTGAGAGTGGTTTGAGCGAGGCAGAGACAAACGGACTGAGCAACGGATCCACCGAAGACCCGGCTGAGCGCGAACGTGCACTACGCGAGAAGGTTTGAAAATAAAGACATTATTATAAGTATAAAAATTGTTTGTAAAGTCGGTGATGGAGCGGAAATTTTCGTCTGTTTTTCTCCGCAGCTAAAAAAATCCTTAACTTAGGGGGAAAAAATATGGACTATTGAAAAGAATTGTATTATGCTTCCTTTTTGACACAAATCCAAAGTTCAGCCTAGGCCTCGCGGACTGTACCAACGGTTTAACATGCCATCTCCTTCTTTTGTGGTAATGACCTAAATGACCGGTCGAATGCGCTAATGACCTGCGCCATCGAGCTTATCATATGTGAGCATGTGTCGATATAAGTTGATGTTTTTGTCTTTGGTTGCTAGGAAGCAGAGCTGCGCCGCATGCAAGAGATGCTGGAGCAGATGCAGCGCCAGATGCAGCTGCAGGCAGCCGGCGCCACCACCACCGCATAGGGCTGCAGTGACGCACAGGTTGTTGATATATCTATACATATAATAAAACGGTAGAAAAGTCAAAACTGTACATAGAATATTTTTTTAATAGAATACTTGGGGTATGATCTACAATCGATACCGAAGCCAAAAATATAGTTTTAAGAATTTTTGTCTGTTTGTCTGTATGTATGTCCGGGATAAACTCAAATAGTACTGCATGGATTTACTTCAAATTTGGCACGAATATTATTTAGAAGTCGGGTCAACATATAGGCTACATATTATCACGCTATCACCTACGGGGAATGAGCAGTGAACTTTTATTTCTAACTAACTTCACGCGTACGAAGTCTGCCCCAGCGAACTTCGTACCGCCATAAAAAAATAGGGGTTGGTGGCAGACGGGTGAAAATTTAGGGTTGTATGTATTTTTGTATGATGTATCATTAAAAATTAAAGCAAGGCCCAAGCAAGAACTTTGACAGCTCCGTAATCGTATCGTCACCGTCAAATTTTGTATGGAAGGAGCCAGTTTGTTCTTACGTCCGGTAGTCGTTCGTGCTTTTGTCTCTAGGTACTTTATATACAGTGAGTGAATAAGTATTCGGCCCTAGTAACTTTGTTTCGTTTCGTTTACAGTTAAAAAACAGTACGAACGTCCAGATGCCAGTCGCCTGCGACGTCGTCAACTCGATACTGCGCGTCATACCTTACTGTGTCACTTCCAACTAACCCAAAGACGTTCATGCACAACAAAATTTATAAATCGAAACTTACATGAAATATACTTAGAATTAGTTCTGTGTAAACGTGTAGTAATAATGCACGTAAAACAAATGCGAAGAACGTCCAATAGTTTGATGCTTGAAATGTGCGCGATCAGCGATTGTAACGTACTTTTATTTTTGTTAAATTTAAAATTTTCCAAAAAAAGTTTAGGAATCTAACGTATATCAAAAATTTCCTTTTTTGGGGAGAAGTTTATTTTAATTTAATAATTGACGAAAAATAACAGTACTACAACATAAAAAAATCTCATTAAATAAACTACATTCGCTGACTGTGCACAAACGCAAGATTTTATCTTTCGATCTGATGAGTAGATTTTAAAATAGTTTTTTCAAAACTTAGTAAGTATGAAGAGTTCATATGAATAATGCAATGTTTTGTTAAAATACTGATTGTTCACGAGTTTTTGGTGTGATTTTAGTAGATGTTTAGCCAACAAATACATTTATCCAAGTATTATTTTTACTCATTTATATGAATTTACGTATGTAATTACGTTATTATTATGATTATTATGCACGATAGGTATATCTCGAATTAAACGTTATCGAATATAACATACTTTTATTAGTGATAAGAAGATGCAATATTATGATGACATTCGAATGAAACGTTCCTGACTGTATATTCTTTTCAATTTAAAAGCCAACAAAAAAGTACTTAGTTCGGTTTAGATATAAGTTTTTTTTATCTAAACTGATTTGTGGCCCTTTTAGAAGTAATTTCTAAGTACTAATTATTATCTATGTTTGTTACCAAGCTTGATAATGTGAAGAATCATTCGTTAATTGACTGTATTTCTTAATTCTAACTCATCATAGAGAATATTTTGATCTGATATTATGTCTCGTGCGTGTGCCATTTCTGACGATATATATGTTATTTATTGATTCAGCAATGAGTTACCGTTTTCTTTCTTTTTTTTTATTGACACGTAATAATTTATAAACGCACAATTATATCGTCGCATATCATTATTTACATGCAACGTTTTTTTTATAATTTCTATAAGAGCAGCAGTATTACTATTGATACAGTCTAGGAAGTTGGTTGTTTGCCACTAAGCATTTGATTTTCATAATTTATAGAATATCTTTCCATCATCGAGATTTAATTAATTTGATTATTGTCTAAAAGTGGCAGCATGATTATATCTTCTTCGACTGTACAATTGAACTTATTTGTAAACGATGACTTTTGGGCAATGAATTGTACGAAATCGATGTCAATTAGAAGAGAAATTAAAAACTATATTTTAAGCGCAGGCGATTTACTTTGATTTGATAGTGGATTGAGTTGATATTCGCGATTTTAGTGATGGGAGAAAGAAACTAAACAATCGAATTGATGGAACCCTAAAGTCTAGTATTCAATATCTATTACAAATTTATGTTGGCAACATTGTTGGGAGATTTTTCCAAAACTGCTATCAGTATGTTTTACACATTGATTGGCGATATTAATGACGCTGTGTACGGTATCATATTTTATAAACATAAACTCATTTTAAGCAGAATTAGAAAAATCTTCTACATTTCTATGTATTCAAAGTGACTGATTTATTTTGTATTCAACTTTTCTACTACATTTTCTTGTATTATTTTCAACATTATTATTATATTATATTGTGTACGTGGTGTTTAAATTGAAGTCTGAAAATGTTTGTAATAGGATTGGAAAGAATTATTTAGGGTAAGTAGGTACTTAAATGTCTTTACATTCGGAATAGTAGATATTTCAATATTCCAATATTGGTGCATTTATTAATTAGTCTAAAGTATATTAATTATACTGAATAGTCAAATGTGTTTTTTAACAAATTCATGACATTTGAGATTGAAACAAGGAGTTTAAGTAATTTTCGCACTTCGCAGTAATATCAATATAATGTCACGCAAGTATTTGTTTAAATCTACAATAGAGTTCCAGCCAATGTAAGTAATAGTGACTAGCACACCTATATATTGGATTGTCTTAGACACCATTTCTCCATAAAAATATAGTAGTTGAAAGCAAATAGGAATAAATTCTTTTATTAATTTTTAAAATTCTAGACATAAATTGGTGCCAAAGCTACAATTTAAGAAATTACTGGTTATAAACTAAACACCAACATAACGCTCCGCGACAAAAAAAGAACGATAATTATTTTAATGTTAACATTAGAAACTATGTAATCAATCATTATATTTTTTATATAAATAAACAATGTCAAATAACTATTGGTTTTAATTCAACATGTTGCTAGGTCCATTTTTCATGTCTAAGCATAGACTCCCAGTCGCAGCTAGATCCAACCAGATGTATCTGAAATATTCGCATTTATATTCGCATTGTGATATATACATGCGTAACTACGGAACCCTGCATTGCACATGAATTGACACGTACTTATTTTGGTCAAAGTGGTAAATTAGACATGTTTTTAATGGTATATATACAAACATTCAAAACTTTGGTGAGGAAACAATGAGGTATAATAATATACAGGGTGTCCCAGGCTATGTCACTCGGAGAGAAAGTTATTTAAATATTGAGGATAGGATATTTTACTGAAAGAAGACATCATTTTATTTTTAATAATAAGTAGAACTGTATACACAGATTTTTTTAAAATCACCTGTCAAACTTGAAATTAAACTCGTGAAATGTGAAACAAAAAAACATGTATTTTATGATATTCGTCCAAAGGGTTAATCATAAAGATTAGTTTATCCTAAATAACATACTCGTGTCGATTCTGACATGATTCTCTAAAATTAAAATTAAATTTAACATCAGCCTCCTTTTCATTTTGTATAGAAGATGACAAGGATAGACGGTTGTCAAAAAGTTTAGGTTTAGAGAATCATGCCAGAATAGACACCACTGTTTATTTATAATCTAGTGAAAAGTCAGAAAAGCCGATACTGCCGAATAGAGCCTTAAACATGGAGCAAATAAAAAGAAGACCTGCTGTATGCAATGTCGCAGAGCATCTCCCAATGTTGCCTTACAATAGTTCTAGCCACTCTGCGCAAGAGGTGCTGAGATTATTTCGACTCCATATTTAGTGGAGTCAACATTTCCTTGACCTCGGGTCTCCGTGATTTTTCCGAGGGTCTTCAGGTGGACTTTCGCACCCCATTTTAGTCCCACAGACATGTATTTGGACAGGGTGTATCTTCATCAGTTGGCTCCTCAGGGGGAGCCTAGATAGCCTTGCGGTTGCCCTTACCTCTCCGTGCGGTGCAGACCTTGGAAGGCATGGCGCAATGCCTCCCCCATCCAGTGGCGGGGCAAGACATAAATTTGATGTGGGCAAGACAGATTTCGCGAGGCCCTGTTCAGTGGCGACCTGAAGACGGATTTTATAAAATAACTAGCTGACCCAGCGAACTTCGTACCGCCATAAAAAATAGGGGTTGGTGGTAGAAAGTTGAAAATTTAGGGATGTATGTATTTTTGTATGATGTATCTTAAAAAAATTAAAATTTTTTTTTTATCTAAATTTGAAAAAAAAAATTAGGGGTGGATTACCCTTAACATTTAGGGGGATGAAAAATAGATGTTGTCCGATTCTCAGACCTACCCAATATGCACACAAAATTTCATGAGAATCGGGAAAGACGTTTCGGAGGAGTTTAACCACAAACACCGCGACACGAGAATTTTATATATTAGATAAAAAAAAGAAATTCGCTTTTAAGCAATGCATAAAAATTTTTGAGGCGCGAGGCCCCTTGTTCCGCGAGGCCGTAGGCGGTGGCCCACGTCGCCCACGCCTTACGCCGCCTCTGCCCCCATCGTCATCAGCGCTGCTTCCTCCGCCTCCCAGACGGAGTACCCCGCCTACCTCTCCTTCGAACGATTCGATAGTCAATTTAACACTACGGAACCTGGTTATCCTGCAGCGCCGGTGACCAGCTGGGGCGCATAGGCTGCTAGTAACACATTTCACACTCCGGCGCCCAGCTACTTGCTAACTCTTGACATTTATAGTGTGTAACTAAAAAGACCAAGGATGCTTTTCAGGACAAGTATCTTAGTGGCTTTATAATAAAGTAGCAGAGGATCACTAAATAGCTCGGTGACTATTACTTACATCGCACCCAGTGTCAACAGGAGTGCATGATGTCACGCTCTTATTATTCATCATACCCATTTAGATGTTCCCTTCTTCCGTGTGAGGGATCCCTATCTTTTTTTTGTGTGGGAAACTGATGACTATTTGCTTACTGGAGAAAGTGAGCGGGGTTATGTCGAACTATCCCCTGCCTATCCACTAGACGATAATGTTATCCCCTAGTCGGTAGACGTGGGCCTACCGTCTAAAACCCACACGGTGTTCCACACAGCATCGAGAATAGGCGTCCACACGGGTCCGGTACGCACCATGACTAACCAATGTCGACTACTTGCCAAGCCCACCTCCGGAATGGAAGCAGGGCTATGAATCACACCTCACCCATCCGATTTAAGGCGATGCACCGGAATGCACGGCGCATTGCTATCTACTCGGGCGACCTTACTTTACTAGGGGGATCCTACCCGGCATAACCCGCACAACCCGGTTTTCCCCTCGTGGCCCCTATTCCGAACGATAGCATCCCCCGTCAGCTACCGTTACTGGTCTGCCGGAGGTGGTGCGGAGTTTGCGCCACAACTGCACCACCAAAATGGAGATTCCTCCCCCCCCCCCCCCCAACAGTCTCGATTGCCGCTTCCCTGGCTCTCCGGGACGCCAGCTGACACTCGTGAAGGGGATCTTTTGTAAAAGAGGCTTTCTTCCTCATAGCCCCTCCCTCGAAGAAGGGGCGATGGCCCTCAGTCTCTTACTACATATGGGGTTACGAGCTCCTTCAGGGCAGCGCACTGCCCCCCACCTACGGGGTCACATGGTGGCCCAGGGTAATATTTTAGAGAAGCTTTCTTCCTCACAGTAGCAGCCCCTACGCTCCGGAGGAGATGGCTGCCCTCGACCCCGTAACACGTATTGGTTTACCACTGGGGTTACGATAGTTTGTCGGATATCCGACACCTCCTTAACGGCACCCTCAGTGTTAAACAATACGCAGGCGCCCAGAGTGCACCCTCCCCTAATCCATTCCTCTAGTGTGACTGCCAAGGGACAAGAAATGGACCGGGTACACGAGGAGGTTTCCGATGTAGCACTCCATCTGTAGGCCTATTCACCAACAGTTTATGACAGGTGGAAGCGTAGATCACCGACCAATTTACTGATCCACTACTGCTTTATATAATACCTACCACTAAGATACCTGTCCTGAAAAGCATCGATGGACGTGCAATTTTCACTACAGTTATACATTGTAAATGATAAAAAAGTTAGCGAATAGGCGCCTACAGGTCATCTCGTGGGAGGAACGGGTCAAATATTTTGGAGAAATTTGTTCCGGATGAAGTTTGAACTTCATCTTAAAATAGTTCACGATTTGTCTTCTCATTTTCCTGCGACTTACACAAAATGTAACTTGAGAAATCAATTGGTGGTAAGTAAGGTAGGCTGTTACATTAAATCAACAGAGACTACTTAGATACTACGTATAAATCAATTATTCAGTTCGATTACGGACATCACTAGGTGTGTGTGACGGTTTATTTTTTCTTTCTCATTCATTCATCTCATTCGTTCGTTCGCCATCATAACCAAGTTGTGGACAATTTTGTTATCAAACAGTGGTTTGTAGAAATAATCGCTTTTATTTTCTACTTACATTATGGCCATTGTGGAAGACGAGGTGAGAAATGAATCTGAAGAAGAAAATGAGATAGAAGTGGTAGAGGAAGAAGACGCAGACCGCGATTCAGATGACTCGGAGGTGGTAGTAGTTTTGGACACTTAGTTTTTATTATTTATTCTTCCCCTCTTTTTCGTATAAAATTCCATTGTAAATTACCTACGGTTCATGTTATAGATTAAAATATTTTTTATCAAATTTTAATATAACTTAGATAAAATCCATTTTCAATCCAATTGAAACCATGCCTTCCATCGTTTGAATTTTTGCTAACCTACATTATTTTCAAAGTGCGAGAAACTTTTACAGCTGAAAAAAGTAAAGACCTTATTTCTAACTTCAATAAAACGATTGTTTCATAATATTAGTGATATTATGCTAGAATAAAATTTGATTTGCCTTACCATTTGATAAACCATTCTTGAATCTAGAAGTATCATTTTGATCCATTGTTGTTGAATAAATAATTATTTGCAACTGGCAGCTTGTGTATTTATTGGTTTAAAATATATTAAATATCTTATGGGTTAAACACCCATTGTTTTTTTTAAAGCAAGCAAACATCATTAATTTTCTATTTATAATGCAACATGAAAGTTTTAAAGTGTATTTACATTAAATTTGTGCTTTACAGGATGAGGAGTATGATGATGTCTTGGAGCAAAAAATTTCTCATCTAGAACAACGTATTGCTGACTGCCCATTCAATTATGATGACCATATTCAGTTGATACAGGTTTTATGGTACTTTATTTTTATTTACTACTATGAAATCTTATAATTAACTTGACATGTATATTGTAAGGGGTATAAAAAAAGGGTTGAAAATTCAAAATAATTATTTTCAATTTAGTAAATAGTGTGGGTTCAAGCCCTGTCTGCTACCTTGACTGTGTGGTATTTTTTTCCAGTAAACTTTTCTTTACATTTAAACAAATAGCAGTTAAATGCTTAAGAAACAAAATTATAAGAAAACAATTATTTTTTATTTCATTTAATTGATAATATTTTGGTCACATCTAGGGAATTGTCTGAGTTGGAACGCTGGAGGAGTGCTTATGATCGGTTGCAAGAACTGTCAATGCTGAAGCCTGAACACTGGCTACGTCGAATGGAGACGGAGGTCACACTAGCACACTCTGAAGAGGCTCGATCACGTATTGCTGAACTGTTTCATCAAGCTACACTGGATTGTTATTGTAATTACTTATTTTATGCCTATTGCACTCTAAATAGGTATTTAATGAATGATAATGATTTTATGAAAAGTGCTTAAAACAACTATATATATTTTCTATCCAATATTTATGCATTACTTGGTATTGGCAATTGAAATATAATATTCTAATAAATAGCATAACATTAAACCTATAATTAAAAAAACAATGAAAAAGTAGCCCGTTAACATCATACTATTTATAATAATAATATTAAATTCATTTATTTTGGACATTTATCCAAAGTGTTAGTAAAAAAATTAACCTTATAAAGTATATTAGTATCAGAACAAATCAATTTTGAAATAAAAACAAAACACCACATTTACTCATATCAATTATACGTGATAGTAGTGACTGTTGTAAGTTGAACGCGAAGCCATTGCTACATTATATTTTGCTCTTAACAATTTAATACTTAGTTACTTTAAAAATATCAAAAGATAAAATTCGGTATTTGTATTGAATCAGCCATCCCAATTCTGAGCGCATGGTGCTCATGGTCAGTCAGCAGCACCGATACTGCTGTAGCTCGGTCGCATATTGACGAGGTGTTGCGTCGTGCTGGAGCTGACCCATTGTCAGGCAAGATCTTCTGGGATGCTAAACTGGAGTTTGAGAAGGCACAGCTGGAGACTATGAGGTGAGGATTTGTTTGAAAATATTTTAGCAACCAAATTTTTTGAGGCATGGCCAATGCCTTTAGAAGTAGTTATATTAGTCATGAGATAGCCTCGAGATAGATACCTTCAGCCATATTCATGAGATAGTTTTAATCAGATGAGGCCTGTCGTCGCCTGTCCCATGTGTAATCTTTTGCGGCCTGTAGAGTAGAAGAGAGAGAGAGATTGACGCCCTCCGTGGCCGAGTGGTTTGAACGCCGGGTTTCATGGTGTCGCTGACTCGAGAGGTCCCCGAGGAACATAGTCCACAATTTAAATAACACTCGTGTGATCCTTTAGCATATATTTCCTTTCGAGTTTCCTCTTCGTATCATAACTGAGAATTAAATATAGCAAGTTATTTCTTTAAATATTATTTAAAATAATAATATTTGAATACCATCTAAAATTACTAATTTTCTGCTAAAAAATGCATCCACTATTTTTATTTTATAATGAGTTGGGCTTGAGATATTTCTCATGATTTTGTTTTTAGCGTTTTGACAGAGGGCCTACTAGAGCCTATTATTGTGTACTGGTAGAATATATTAACCTCATACTCACAGTGTAGTATTTTGAGACTTCTGCTAAACTTGAAAGCTTGCCATAGAAACTCAGCTTTAACTACAACATTGTAGCAGTAGAGTATATTTTGAAAGTTAAAAACGTAAGAGGATGGCCATCCAACAGATTAGCTATTCTTTATTTGTAGTATCTCAACAGAGTTCAAATTTTTGTACGTAGTCCTACAAATTACCTTTAAAATATAACCATTTATCAAAATTATTTAATGTGGTCCGATATAGAATATGAAAATTGAGGTGTTCCCTCTGAGAACCCACATTCACTGAGTCTCAGTGTTCAACTTGCAACTGCTAGAAATTTATCTTTCTGGCTTTATTTGTTTTTCTAAAGGTCTTGCTAAAACTTTATCTATACGAAACCTATGTTTTCCACTGTGGCCCCTCAGGGCACGCACATATAATGCTGACATTTCAAATGGCTATTCATTCGTATTTGCTATAATGTAATGTAAACTAGACAACAGTCTCTCCTCTCCTTTAGAGTACTTCCTATAACCTGAGGCCAAAGCATGTATTTTGACAGCTCTTTAATGGCTCAATTACATTTGGTCGCTAGCCCGTATTCTCGTGCACGAAAGACATTAATGGAATTCGTGCCCGAAGCAATATTTACTCTGGAATATGGGCTGGATGACGGTGTCGTGTAATCAAAAGGAAATCTACCCGAATACGGGCGTAATCGACTCCGTTCATTTACACAGTTGTTTACCCCAATTCCATTGGCACTCTTATTCTGGCTAATGACCAAGTGTAATCGTGCCATCATCGTATCGTTTTTTTTTTTTTAACCACTCTTATTTTTTTTAAACCATCTTTGCCATCGTTTTATGATTGAAAAGCTTTATTATTATTTTTTTAATAAGGATAAGAAAGAAACTGCAATCGCAGCTCTTTCGTGAATAAAAGGAGCCATTGACTCCCTTTTCAATTAAAGTTTTAAGATTCGCCTTATATTTCAGTGCGCACATATTTTTTTTTAATACAGGCATAGATAGACTACAAATTACAAAAAAAGGTAAATTTAAAAAATCAAAAAACCCGACTGCTTAATTATACTTCAAATAAAAACTGAAAAGAAAAAAACAAGTCCAGTAGTCTATAATTCTGTTAATAAGGAACAAAGCTACTTTAACAGTCGGGACCCATTAGATATTCAAGAATACATAATATTTTTCAACAGTGGGTCCCGACTGTTAAAGTAGCTTTGTTCCTTATTAACAGAATTATAGACTACTGGACTTGTTTTTTTCTTTTCAGTTTTTATTTGAAGTATAATTAAGCAGTCGGGTTTTTTGATTTTTTAAATTTACCTTTTTTATTTCACACTTTTTAGTTAGTTAGTATTTTAAGACGGTATATACCGTAGTCTTGTTACTTCAGTAAGGGAATTAATATCGCGGGAATTATTAAGTACCTTAAGACAGTCTAAAAATGAATCTAATGATACCGCATACATATTTTTTTAAAGGGAAATTTAGAAAAAATATTATTATGTCTTTATCCCGTGGGACTTTTAGGATAAAATGTATCCTATGACACTCCCGTAATCAAGACAAATCTAACGATACCTCATACATCAAAATCCATCAAGCCGTTTAGGCTACAGGAGGTCACAAAGGAACAGACATACATACATACTTACATACACTCCCTCAACATTACCCTCCCTCTTTGGCAGTCGGGTAAAAATTTAAGTTATACTTAAAATAATGTATTTTTACATTGAAGAAACTGACGATGCGATACGAATACGGAGCTGTTAAAATTCGTCTTAGTTTGGGCATCTGCTTTCAAAATGACAAACACCAAATGCGGATATGTTTGACAATGTTTAACAGTGAGGACAATCCGGACTACAAAGCACAACAGGAGCGCGTACTGTTCTGCCTCGAGGAGGCAGTGTCGAGGCCTCTTCTGCGCAGCGCCGAGGCGTGGCAGCCGCTCGAGGAACTAGCGGCCAGTCTGCACGATCAGAAATACATTGACAAGGTAAACGTGCAGATGAACTTAACTTATTCTTTCAGCAGAACTCGGTGTATTGTTACCTCACGTCAAATTTTCTAATATTGTTGATGCGATACAATTACGGATCTGTCAAAGTTCGTGCTTGGAGCACTGTTCAGTACCTTAAGCTACCTTGAGCCCTTTCATAACTTTTACCGCCTTATTACAAAACACACTAAAGTTAAACCTGGACTAAAATTTATGCTGTCACTCTTGTTTTTCTAAAAAGAAAACAGGGGTAACATTAGGTTTAACCAAGATTAACTTTAACATAAACTTTTTACTTTGCGTTTTGGAATAAGGGAGTTTAACTTTGCAATTGAAGATACTAAATGCTTAGTTGATATTGCCCTGTCATATATTATATCATATATATATATATATATATATATATATATGGATTTCGGGTATAACGACGATGAAGGGACCACTCTATTTTCGTCATATACATATACATATCTATTAATTTGTGTTTAGGACAAAATTTGTTTATATCAGATTTATTTTTAACTCGGAAATTTTGTACATGGTATTTCATTATAGGTCAGGAAGCAACATGAGGCTGCACTGGATTACGTGCAAAAAATTACTTCATTTGAGGACAAGCTGCTCACACAAGAGTAAGTTGTAGTTTTTATTCCCTAAACGAGATCTATTTATTTTACCAGAGATCGGATAATCGGATGCATAATTACCTATAGTCCGTTTTTTAATCTCAGAGGCAACAATGACCATGGAGGTTAGAGAGAAGGAGAACGATCGCTGTAGAAAATAGTGTTCTAGAAATATGGACAAAATAAGTGAGGCGCTGCGATTGCTAAGCTGTCTCAATAAAAGCGGGCTGTTCTGCGCTAATTTGAAATTATCAAAGCCGCTAAGAAAATTTGTACATTATTCAACTAACTTCATCTACCTGTACTCATAAACAGTTAACTACACAGATACTACTTACCGAAGGCAGCGCGACCGGTGGATGAAAAATTAACTATAAATTCTACAAACTTTCAGGGACAGGCGGGCTAATGCTTTAGCACGTAGCGATCGTTCTCCTTCTCTCTAACCTCCATGAAAATGACATAACCTGTGTGGCCGCTTTATTACAGTTCTTAAATAGTGATGTACTACTATTAGACCAGGGTCGATAATTTTTGAGACCAAAAAAAATTATAGTATCCTACTATAATTTTTTTTCACTTTTCACCATTTTTTAAATTATCGACCCTGGTCTATATGGGTAATTAACGCACATAAAATATTTAGTATCGTTTTTTATTTATAAGGGTTATGTCGTTTCTTATATATAAAATCAAAAAATAAAAACGGACTTAAAATCCAAAAGGACAATGGGCAAAATGCACCCAGCTCCGCCACCAATGTAATTAGTATGAATCGATAGATCTATGAAAAACTAGCCTTTTTTATTATGACACCGAAAATAAATATCCTGGGAGTCAAAAGATATGACATCGTAAAAAATATCCTGGTAGTCAATAGATATGATACTGGTGCATATATAAGTAGCTGAATAAATTCATTTTATAGTACCTTCATTTTATATTATTAGTTTTTTTTTTAATTAGTAATCATAATAATATGCCATATCGTACTATACAACCAGATATACGACAAAGCCTGCCGACCACCTGCGTTTGCTTTTACTGAGACATTTAAAAACGGTTTACGGAAGGTATATTACCCTAGCGTAACAATTTCATAAGTCCATATCCTAAGGTATATAGTATTTTGTTGCTAATTTGTTGCTATTTTGTGCCGCAAGAATTGATTTTGTTGCTCCATGATTTCTCGGAAAAACGCCAGTTACGCTAGCGTAATATTACGCTAGCGAAACCACAGCGATAACTCGGAGGCAAAAGCAGTTAGAGAGATCTGATGAACGGCATATTTTGTTGCTATTTTGTTGCTGTAAGATAAGCTGGTTAGATATGAAAAAATTTCCCCCCCCCCCCCCCTTCATGGGGGGCTAACTACCCTAATTCATAGATATTTCAGATTTTTCGTATCTCGTGAACTAAAGCAGCTAGCGGCACGAGACAAACGGCGTATTTTGTTGCTTTAAGGTAGGCATGCTGCGTACATCATAATCACAACCCTTATCGGGGTATGACCAACCCCCGACCCCAAGACACCAGATATTTCGTATCTCGTGAGCTAAAGCAGCTAGCGACCCGAGACCAATGGCGTATTTTGTTGCTTTAAGATAGGCATGCTGCGTACATCATAATCACAACCCTTATCGGGGTATGACCAACCCCCGACCCCAAGACACCAGATATTTCGTATCTCGTGAGCTAAAGCAGCTAGCGACCCGAGACCAATGGCGTATTTTGTTGCTTTAAGATAGGCATGCTGCGTACATCATAATCACAACCCTTATCGGGGTATGACCAACCCCCGACTCCAAGACACCAGATATTTCGTATCTCTTGAGCTAAAGCAGCTAGCGACCCGAGACCAACGGCGTATTTTGTTGCTATTTTGTAGCTATAAAATAGGCATGCTGCATACATCATAATCACAACCCTTATCGGGGTATGACCAACCCCCGACCCCGAAGACACCAGATATTTCGTATCTCGTCAGGTAAAGCAGCTAGCGACCCGAGACCAACGGCGTATTTTGTTGCTTTAAGATAGGCATGCTGCGTACATCATAATCACAACCCTTATCGGGGTATGACCAACCCCCGACCCCAAGACACCAGATATTTCGTATCTCGTGAGCTAAAGCAGCTAGCGACCCGAGACCAATGGCGTATTTTGTTGCTTTAAGATAGGCATGCTGCGTACATCATAATCACAACCCTTATCGGGGTATGACCAACCCCCGACTGCAAGACACCAGATATTTCGTATCTCTTGAGCTAAAGCAGCTAGCGACCCGAGACCAACGGCGTATTTTGTTGCTATTTTGTAGCTATAAGATAGGCATGCTGCGTACATCAAAATCACAACCCTTATCGGGGTATGACCAACCCCCGACTCCAAGACACCAGATATTTCGTATCTCTTGAGCTAAAGCAGCTAGCGACCCGAGACCAACGGCGTATTTTGTTGCTATTTTGTAGCTATAAGATAGGCATGCTGCGTACATCAAAATCACAACCCTTATCGGGTTATGACCAACCCCCGACTCCAAGACACCAGATATTTCGTATCTCTTGAGCTAAAGCAGCTAGCGACCCGAGACCAACGGCGTATTTTGTTGCTATAAGATAGGCATGCTGCGTATCATCTGGTGTCTTGGGGTCGGGGGTTGGTCATACCCCGATAAGGGTTGTGATTAGATGTACGCAGCATGCCTATCTTAAAGCAACAAAATACGCCGTTGGTCTCGGGTCGCTAGCTGCTTTACCTGACGATATACGAAATATCTGGTGTCTTCGGGGTCGGGGGTTGGTCATACCCCGATAAGGGTTGTGATTATGATGTACGTAGCATGCCTATCTTATAGCTACAAAATAGCAACAAAATACGCCGTTGGTCTCGGGTCGCTAGCTGCTTTAGCTCAAGAGATACGAAATATCGGGTGTCTTGGGGTCGGGGGTTGGTCATACCCCGATAAGAGTTGTGATTATGATGTACGCAGCATGCCTATCTTATAGCTACAAAATAGCAACAAAATACGCCGTTGGTCTCGGGTTGCTAGCTGCTTTAGCTCACGAGATATGAAATATCTGTGATTTTTCAGAATAAGGGTAGTTAGCCTCTCATGAAGGGATGATATTTTTTCATATCTAACCAGCTTATCTTACAGCAACAAAATACGCCGTTTGTCTCTTGCCGCTAGCTGCTTTAGTTCACGAGATACGAAATATCTGGTGTCTTCAGGGTCGGGGGTAGGTCATAGCCCAATAAGGGTTGTGATTATGATGTACGCAGCATGCCTATCTTATAGCAACAAAATACGCCGTTGGTCTCGGGTCGCTAGCTGCTTTAGCTCACGAGATACGAAATATCTGGTGTCTTCGGGGTCGGGGGTTGGTCATACCCCGATAAGGGTTGTGATTATGATGTACGCAGCATGCCTATCTTATAGCAACAAAATACGCCGTTGGTTTCAGGTCGCTAGTTGCTTTAGCTCACGAGATACCAAATATCTGGTGTCTTCGGGGTCGGGGGTTGGTCATACCCCGATAAGGGTTGTGATTATGATGTACGCAGCATGCCTATCTTATAGCTACAAAATAGCAACAAAATACGCCGTTTGTCTCGTGCCGCTAGCTGCTTTAGTTTACGAGATACGAAATATCTGGTGTCTTCGGGGTCGGGGGTTGATCATACCCCGATAAGGGTTGTGATTATGATGTACGCAGCATGCCTATCTAATAGCAACAAAATATGCCGTTGGGTTCGGGTCGCTAGCTGCTTTAGCTCACGAGATACGAATTATCTGGTGTCTTGAGGTCGGGGGTTGGTCATACCCCGATAAGGGTTGTGATTATGATGTACGCAGCATGCCTACCTTATAGCAACAAAATACGGCGTTTGTCTCGTGCCGCTAGCTGCTTTAGTTCACAAGATACGAAAAATCTGAAATATCTAAGAATAAGGGTAGTTAGCCCCCCATGAAGGGGAGGAATTTTTCCATATCTAACCAGCTTATCTTACAGCAACAAAATATGCCGTTCATCTGATCTCTCTAACTGCTTTTGCCTCCGAGTTATCGCTGTGGTTTCGCTAGCGTAATATTACGCTAGCGTAACTGGCGTTTTTCCGAGAAATCATGGAGCAACAAAATCAATTCTTGCGGCACAAAATAGCAACAAATTAGCAACAAAATACTATATACCTTAGGATATGGACTTATGAAATTGTTACGCTAGGGTAATATACCTGTTTACGGATGATGAAGGACTTGCAGTTGCAAATAGTCGACTCGTCTTACTTCGTTGTGATTGTGCGCTCCCTGCTACTTGATTGATTTTTATCTAACACACTTTGAATATTGGAACACGATTATCGGTTTTGTCAATTAGTATGGATGAACTGGAATCATGTGTTCTCCGAAGCGTGGACAAATTTGTGTAATCTGTGGTCGCTCCGTTTTACATAGAAGATTATTACAAGAAGTATTTACTATAACGAACAGAATGTTAAAAAAAAAACCAACCCAGGCGGGGATTTTTGGATTCACTCTAGCGCGGCAGAATAACATAACCTTGCACCTTGTGAAGTACTCCCATATATCCTGAGCACCTTATGTAAGGTGAAACTAACTAACTAAATTAATTACCTGGTTTCATTAGTGTTCGTTCGTTATAGTACTTGTACATATTTAACTTAAAATAACTAAAGACCCCCGGGATGGAATTTGATGCGCTTTGGCACAGATGACCTCGACTATAATACCTTTCAAACAAATGTAGTTTAAGCCGTGGCGGACTTGGGTGCAGCATCCATACATTCTTGCCCAATGTCCTTTCTATTTAAAAGTAAATAAGAAATGTAAATATATCTATTTTTTGTTTTTCTACATATATGTATATCTATATTGAAATATGGAATAGATTTTAATTTTTAATCGGTAAAAGTATGTGTTTTAATCTTGACCCTACTAGAACCCGCCCGATTTCGTGATTTCGTGTGAATTTGATATTATTTTTTTACTTTTAGTTTAATTTTAAATTTTGTAATCAGTTTTATTTATTTTTTATTTTAGTTTAATCACATAGGTACATAAAAGCCCCTTAAAAATCCGTATACAAAGTATATTAAAGCTTCATTACAGAAATCAGGAAGAGAAATACAAGTTGTATCAGGAGTACATCGACACAGTAAAAGAACTTTCGTACGATGCCAAATATGCAGAGTGTGATAGTGACGCTATACTCAAGGTAAATATTTTTTGACTTGAAATAAAAATATTGTTCTTATTATTTTTTTGTTTCTTAGGTTTTCACGCACACCATTAATTAAATAAAACACGCTTAAACGGGTTAAATGCATTATTTTATTACTTTTTTCTAGAATTATGATTTTTATTTACTTTGTCAAGCTACATGCGAACCGAAAATATTATTATTATTGGTGTCTCGGGTATGTATGTTTTAAATTATGCTGAGTAGAATAGGGTATTTCACAAGTTTTAGAAAACAATCTCACGCTATTTTCTAATGTTTATGGAGTCCATAAAAACTGTATATTCATTATTATGTTGCGTATTTCAGTAAAAAATACTAAAACAAAAACACCAATTTAAAGTCGCCGCAAAAACGTTCCCATCAATATTATGGCTGGTATGTAACGTCATTTAATGACTGTCATTAAAACGTCAAACGACATACAATGTAATGCTATTTTGACCGAAAGTTTACTATTTGTGTAACATCATTCATTGTAGTTTTCGCCTATCCCAGGTGTTTTTACTCACGTGACGTGACAAAAGTTATTAAGTATTTGTTCTCCCCGAAAATCGCTGCTAATATTCACATTAAATACAGATGATAACAATTGGTACTTTATTTTTCATACTGTTCAATAGCCTATTATGCATCAAAAAATATGTGCTGCCGAACTCCACCAAGGTTCGCGGAACGTTCAACTAATGTGACATGACGTCACATAACGTGACTTGTGACATGACGTCTCCTAACGTGACTCGCGACATGACGTCAAAATGCGACAAAATCGCGACAAAATGTGCAGCGGAGTTGTCTCCCGTGCTCACGCGTTTGTACCAGTGCTCGTATTCTTTGGGGCGTGTGCCGGAAACTTGGAGAGTTGCTAACGTGCAACCAGTACCCAAAAAAGGAGATCGCTCAGACCCGGCTAACTACCGGCCAATAGCAGTCACCTCAGTATTATGTAAAGTCCTAGAAAAGGTCCTTAACAACCATCTGACCCGCTACCTAGAGGATCACTCCCTGATCAATGATCGTCAATATGGTTTTAGACCGAAACGATCGACGGGTGATCTTCTAGCGTACTTGACTCATATCTGGGGTGAGGCTATCGACAAGCGAGGCGAGTCGTTGGCTATTAGCCTTGACATTGCCAAGGCATTCGACAGGGTCTGGCACAAAAGTCTTCTCTCCAAGCTTCCGGCATACGGTCTGCCGGCCCAGTTCTGTTCTTGGGTAGCTGACTTCCTGCATGAGCGTAGAATTCGTGTCCTTACGGATGGTAGCAGTTCGCGGTTCATGTCAGTGAATGCCGGCGTTCCCCAGGGCTCCGTCCTATCCCCCACTCTCTTTCTGCTCATATTAATGACTTAATTCCTCTTGGGAATATTCATTGCTATGCAGACGATAGTACAGTGCATGCGGGGTATCTCGGACAAGCAGCGGCTGGGCAGGCGGTAACCAAGGAGAAACGGGAGAATCTTGTCATTGAGCTCAATCGGGCTTTGGACCACATTTCTGTATGGGGTACCAGGAACTTGGTTGAGTTCAATGCTAAGAAAACCCAGGTCTGTGCTTTCACGGCAAAAATGTCGCCATTCCTTTTATGTCCTTCTCTTCAGGGCACACCACTGGAGCTAGAGAGCAGTATCACCATGCTCGGTATGGAGATTCGCTGTGACTTAAATCCAAAGAATTACATCGAAAGTGTGATAAAAACAGCCTCACGCAAACTCGGAGTCCTGAACAAGGTGCGGCGTTTTTTCACGCCCGAGTAACTGTGCTTGTTGTATAAGACGCAGGTGCGGTCTTGCGTGGAATATTGCTCGCACCTCTGGGATGGCTCCGCTAAGTACTTGCTCGATGCTTTGGATAGGTTACAGCGGCGCGCAATCCGCATCATAGGCGATGAGGAGGTGACTAAACACCTCGAGCCTCTTCAATTACGCCGTGACGCGGCGTCACTAAGCGCGTTCTGTCGTCTGTACCACGGCGAGTGTTCTGAGGAGTTATTCTCTCTTATTCCACCTTCCCCTTTCCTTCAGAGGACCACGCGCGCTGGCTTACGTTGTCACCGTCTAACCGTGGCTACAATTCCAACGCGTACAAAGAAATTTGGTGACTCATTTCTTTGTCGTACTATCCGTAAATGGAATTCTCTGCCCGCTCACGTGTTCCCTCCCTCTTACAACCTGGGATCCTTTAAAAGAGGCGTGAAGAAGCAACTTGCAGGCCGGCAGGGTGAGGATGGCTGGTGTGGCAGTTAGAACTGCTGTATCAGCTATCTTCGCGTCTGGACTTCACCTTCACTTAACATCAGGTGGGGTGGAGTCATTTGTCGGATCTAACTATAAAAAAAAAAAAAAAAACGTTCGTGCGTTGAGCCGATGGTGGTTAAATGTTTAATAAATAAAAAAAACATAACTAATTGCTATTTCTTCTTTCAAATGTTTAATACCTGTAAAGGTATTCATTTGACATTGTGGGTTACCTACAATGCGAAGAGATGGCGCTGCTTTGCAGCCTAAGGCTAGAGCAAATTCGACACGGCTGTCAGGGCCGCGGTAGCATAATGGTCAGTGCATTCGCCCGGATAGCGAAAGGTGCGGGTTCGAGTCCCGTCTGCTGCCTGGTCCGAGTGGATTTTTTTCTAGTAAACTTTTCTTTAGATTTAGACGTTATCATGTCAAAAAATAATAGTAATGAAACTATTTTCAGGTACTCTACGACCGTGCCTCAACGGAATGCAATACTTGTTCCGGCCTACATTCCCTCCTACAGTCGTTCATACATCATGTGCATCGTTGCTCGTCTCGCACTACGTATTGTCGAGTACTGGACGCTTGCACCAGGCGATGCCCGCGCCGGCACACATTCTGGACCATGCAGATGCAACAGGCAGAACGGGATAAGAAGACTTTTGATGAGGTAAGTATATTCAAACGATATTAGACTTTAAAGCTTAAACACAGCATGCGACTTTTATTAATATGTATGTTAAAATCCTTTTTAAATCTTAATTACATTTCTAAATATATCGCACCTCCGGTGCGACACTGACACTTATGCAAAAAAAACATTTTTCAGGAGAAGCGTTTAAAACTTTAACATCCCAAAACATACAATATTTAAAGTTTTTTTTAATTTTTTTTTAAGATAAATAGCTAAGATGTATATGCTTTTCATCACGTAAAAATCTTTAAATATTGTATGTTTTGGGATATTAAAGTTTTAAACGCTCATCCTGAAAAAAAAATGTTTTTGCATAAGTGACAGTATCGCACTCGCACCGGAGGTGCGATATGTACACAATATGTAACGTCGTATCTACGCCGTCACATACATAGATAAATAAAATATGGTTTGACATCCGTCACTTAAGGATTTTCCCTATTTTTTTTTAATAAACGAAACACATCTTTAGAAATTGTCTTAATTTCATAAAACATTAAAATAAATACGTAATAATTGTCATTCTAAATTTAAGTAAACTTTTGTAATTTATGGTTAGTCCATGCCCAAATTTAAATTTTAATGCGCCTACACTGAGACTCGCGGCGTTTTTCGAAGTGCGACCTGGCAACATTACTTTTCGATTCCTTGCGGAGATGAGCAGTCACTTTTTTAAAATGTGAAATATAATAACCTTAAATATAACTTGTTTTTCAAAAATGCGCTCACCGCATTAATGTGAATCAATATAGGTGCCAATGGCCCTTTAGTAAAACTTTAAAAGAGCTGCGATTGCAGGTAAGAATTAAGATTAAAATTGTCATACATATATCTAGCCATGTTGCCTGGTCTCACAAATGTCTCTTTTGTTTCAGCTCTTTAACTGGTCTTTATAATCTTTATAATCCTTAATTTCTTTAGCTTCATCTTTAATTTTAATGATATCTTTATAAATATCATTTTGATATCTTTGACCATGGACCAGCCATAATAGTCTTAAGTAAATCCAATACTTAATGTACTTTGACGCCTGGAATCCAATCTGGTATGTACACTTTCACAATAAATAATTGAAGAGGAAAACACCTTTATCATTCAACCCTAGTCAAAGCTGGCCTTGAGATTAAAGCTGATGTTCCCGTAAGTTATTCCGGACACCTGGAGATGTCACCAGCTTCCCGGCGCCCGTTACAACTCTCACTTTAAATGGAAGCTGAGAAGCTAAATCGGCTACCATCACCCGGCCATCACCTCCAGCCTTTTTCGTTCTTTTTTTGAAATAACTAACTAGATAAATAGTTACACAGTTTTTTTTATTTTTTTACCTTACAATGTCGCCTCTCACATAGGGACAGGATTTTGACTAGGATATTTTGTAACTTTGTAAGTGAAATGTAGTTATTTTGCTATATCCATCATAACTTTCACATTTTGCTTAACATAAATTCATTAATTTTTCACTTTTGAACTGAATGTTATTATCACATAACATTCATCGAGTAACTTTTTCCATTTTGCTTCAAAGCTTTGTTTTGGCAAGCTTATAGCCATATTTTACTTTCATTATAAACTAATTTGCTATTATGTAATTAGTACATAATATATTTTAGAATAAATAGATTCTGAGAAGAAAATGTGATGCTAATAACCGTTCACACAACTTTCTTTGACCATATTTTGAGATTTTAAAAAGTTATTTGCAAATAGTCATTGCGTAATATTGTTGTTTTGTTATTTAATGTGCATTTCAGCTTTCAGCAAGAAATAAATATTGTTTCATGCATAATTTACTTGTGTTAACCTATCATTTACAGAATTGTGTAAACTTAATATAAGTTCAAGTAAGTACATGTGTTTATTACTAAGTGTTTACTGAAAATAGTTTAATTGTTTAATCCTGTTGTTAATCACTTATGCACAGTGTCTATTAATCAGTTTTCTATGCAATTGATAATGCAAAATTAACTTTTTTTTTACAACAACAATACATAACAAGTTTTATTACATGTCAAACTTAAGTTTTGTACATTGAAGTTCAAATGTTTTGATATAGTATCAGGTTAATTCTGATATTATACTGGTTAATTCATATTCCTGAATAACTCTTATTGTTTAATTTAACTGTAAGTTTCCATAAACATTGCATTTAACTTTCCAATTTGTCAATAAATTTCCACTTAAACTTTCATTGCAAATCTTAGTATACAATGATATGAGATAATTTTTATTGCATAAAGTGTTTATTTACAAGAATTAGTTCTTGGTAATTCTTATTTTATTGAATAATTGTAAAAATTATTGGAATTTAACCTTAAATTAATGTTAGTTTTATAAAAACAACTTAAATTTATTGGAAAACATTACAACTTGGTAGTTTTTGTTAAACTTACAATATAGTTTAATATTTTTCTGTGAAATAGAGAAAATAACTTAAGTCTTATAAGAATCTTACACTATGACGGATAAGGAGTGTCAAACTGATAAAATCATGGCAGGAACTTCAGACAATAAGACAATAGAAACCTGTATTTCATGTTATGTTGCAAATGATCATAGAACATGGTCTAAGTTCATTCCCCATGTTCAAAGTGCTATTAATAGTACTGTTAATTTGGTTACTAATTTTACTCCAAACTTTCTTATGTTCGGTCGTGAAGTCGTGTTGAATGGGTCCTTGCATAGATATTCTTCTATAGATGACTTGTTTGATATTAATATTGGGAAACCTGACGGTTATGGTAATTTGTTAGATTCACTTAAAGATATTTTTATTAAAGTTGTTGATAATTTAGCAAAATCTTATAAAAATAATGCTAAAATTTATAATTCGAATCGAAAAGTCATTTCCTATGACGTTGGAGATATTGTATGGAGGAGAAACTTTGTACAATCCAACGCAATTCATTTCTTTTCTTCAAAGTTAGCACCTAAATTTGTTAAATGCAAAATAATAGACAAAATTTCAAATAATGTTTATTTATTAAAAGATTTTGATAAAAATAGTACTGGTAGATACCACATTAAAGATATTTTGAAAATATAACTTAAATAATTAGGCATTTTGTTCATTTTGATAATTGACATTTATAGTTTTAACTCTCTAAATTTCACTTTGGTTCTTTTCACTTGCGTTTTGGAGAATGGGTCCTTGCATAGATATTCTTCTATAGATGACTTGTTTGATATTAATATTGAGAAACCTGACGGTTATGGTAATTTGTTAGATTCACTTAAAGATATTTTTATTAAAGTTGTTGATAATTTAGCAAAATCTTATAAAAAGAATGCTAAATTTTATAATTCGAATCGAAAAGTCATTTCCTATGACGTTGGAGATATTGTATGGAGGAGAAACTTTGTACAATCCAACGCAATTCATTTCTTTTCTTCAAAGTTAGCACCTAAATTTGTTAAATGCAAAATAATAGACAAATTTTCAAATAATGTTTATTTATTAAAAGATTTTGATAAAAATAGTACTGGTAGATACCACATTAAAGATATTTTGAAAATATAACTTAAATAATTAGGCATTTTGTTCATTTTGATAATTGACATTTATAGTTTTAACTCTCTAAATTTCACTTTGGTTCTTTTCACTTGCGTTTTGGAAACGATCCACTTGCAAGGTGATGCATGAGGGATGAATAAAAGGTTGTGGATATATTGAATGGTGATGTATGAGGATTCCTAAAGCGGAGAAATAGAATCTCGGTTTTAAAAATTAAATTGGTATCATTTTATTAGGCATGTTTTTGGTAATTACATTAATTTAATAATATTCTATCTGGCAATTAGATGTTTTAACTCTTTTTGAAGAATTTGATTCTGCTTCTAGCATCATAGGATCTTATCTTATCTTATCTTAGGCTATTTTGGGTCTTCTTATTTTTATAAGATCTCATATTTTTGGGGATTTTATATAGAATGTTTATTGCGTGTTTGTATAAATAGTTGAAGTTTAGTATTTACTATTTTTTAAAGTTTGTTTAGGTGTTTGTGTTTAGTCTGTAGTTTTAAGAACTATTACACGGACGCGACTTTTAGACGGACTTTCCCGTTTTAACTTTTTCCCAGTCGACTTTCCTCGATCTCTAGGTACTTTTACACCTTTAGGTGTCCCCTTTTTCCCTTTTCCATCAAGTTCATACTTGATTTGGTACAATTTATTTTATAGGTTTGCTTGACATCATTAGAATGTTCTGTGTTTTTCCTACAGCTTTGCTGGAAAAAATTCGTAGTGTTAGTCTTATGACTGACATACTATTTTCCCAGACGATGTATTAATAACTCGTTCTGTTTTTTTTTCCATTTTCCCAGACGGTGTTTCATTAATAACTCGTTCTGTTTTTTTTTCCATTTTCCCAGACGGTGTTTTATAGATAACTCGTTCTGTTTTCTTTATGCAGCTATGCGATTATTCTATGTAGGGCGAAGGAGCCGACTACATTGAATCAGTGGTATTCGATAGTGCATTAATTTTGTGATGCATTCATTCTTTTGTAGTGCATTCCTTTTGTAGTATGAAATGCATTCATTTTGTATTAGATTGCATTTAATTTTGTAGTTACTTGAACATTCTATGTAGGGCGAAGGTGCCGACTGCATTGAATCAGTAGTATTCGGTAACACAATACTTACTTTTCCAACTCGATTATTATTGTGTTTGGTAATTTTGTTTCTGCTCGATAATTTAGTGTAAGGCGAGGGTGCCGACTACTCTAAATCGGTTGAATCGGTAGAACGTTTTTTTTTTCTCTTTCCTATTCCACACATTTATGTGTTAAGAATTTGAAACTTTCATAAAGTTTATTTTATTAGGAATATTGTTTGTATTCGAATGTTTAGTGTAAGGCGATGGTGCTGACTACTCTAAACCAGAAGCGTTTCAATGCATAACAAGAAATCCTTATATTGGAATATTTTCTGCAATAAATTAATTTTAATATAACCTTTGTTTTCATATTTAAATTGAC